AGCGCCGGCATTTTTCTCAAATTGACATGCAGGGAAAGTATTGCCCCGAAAGTTATTTCTTTTTCACCATATCATCTTTATTTTCCTGATGGTTTTAAACCATCTCAATCATGCTTTACGCAAGTTTAAATCCAGGAACATCATTTCCATTGAGAGAAATGTGAATAAAAGTATTCGTAACCATTACATGTTGTATAATCTACATGTAGATTAACCAGTTTCCTTGTCCGAAAGTTATCGATATGTGGCTATTTTTAGAACAGGTCTCTTATCAGTGACGTATACGATGCTTATCTCAGATCTTTCCCTATTAACTCTCGTTGATTATCTTCGTAATAGAAACTTACTGATTTTTTGCATGATAATAAACTAACTGACATCATCTGTCCAATATGTGAGAATATTTGTTAGATTTACCGTTTAAATAGCTTTATATTGACAGAAAATCAAAATAATTTGCACGTTTAGCGCGGTAATTGTATAATTATGTGTGTAATAAAAGTATATTCACACTACGGTGTAATTTCTATAATGAGCTAAGGCGTGTAATTGACATTACGCCAGAGAACCAACTGATTCACGTGACCCGGTCAGTAGGAACCTTGGACAAAATACGGTACCAATGTATTCACAAAGCTGTTATGCCACTTATGTTACCAATTAATTTACCTTATATAATGTGTGTGTATATAAAATGTTGATGCTTTTAATAGTTTACTTGAATAGTAGGTATATTATTCAATTTATAAATGTATAACGGTTTTTTAAAAAAAAAAGTAAAAATCAATATCTGCATTCACGTATAAATGACGCATGAAACGTTTTGCCAATATCGTGTTATTTCTTGTTGACTTCAAGGAAATTCTAAAAAACTGCCAAATATCATTACAATTTACAAATTCAAAGGGATACTATATGTAGAACATTATATGATTATGTTATGATCGTTTGATTTTGAAATTGAAGTAGCACAATAAAAACAGTAAAATTATATATGTGACACAAATAAAAATTAAAAATATTTTTTCGAGTTTTATGTGCAAAATTCGGTTTTAGATAATACATTAATTTATTCAGAAATTGTTAAAATTGATTAAGAAGAGATTGCATGCCCTTTATACATTTTTATTTTTATGTGATTATGTATTGTTAACATACTTTTGACATGATTCACGACAAAATACAATTTTATTCTCTTTAAAATAAACGTCACATACATCAGACATGTTGTTAATTGGTAATAAGTTTCGTATTAAGCTGATCTGTTTGAATATTTAATTTTAGTTTATTATTTATATTTTAAAACTTTTAAGTTAATAGAAGTATTCAGGTTATATAATTTCACTCAATGTTTTATTGTATTTACCCATTATGTTTTCATTTTTAAGGCTGCGTCTTTATTGACACTGTTCGTTACAAACGAAAAATTGTCATATCGTCTGGATATTCTGGGACCTTATAATATATAATGTCATTATGAATAGATAGAATATAAATAAACGTGGCTTTGTTTAAACCTTTTCATTTACAATGCATTGTGTTATATAGCCAGAATAAAATATTTCGTACTTATTATCTCCATATGTTGAAATCTAATAACTTTTTGCAAAAATAAACAAACTTATTCGATCTGTCAATATGTCGGTATATTTGGTTACAAATATTTAATATATCATAATAAAACTTCAAATTGATAGAGAATTAAAATTATTGCAATCTGAATAATTACTTCTGTACCATTGTCTTAGCCAAGTACTTGTCGGACTTCGCAGGCATTTTAGCGTGGAATCGATAACGACAGCTTATTGGTTTATCTCTGTGACCCCTGCCAGTTTGATTGACATGCGGCGTAATGTCAATTTACTATCTGGAACGAATTAATCGGGCGGTTTTATTGCTATCTCACCGTCATGGAAGAGTAGATGTTCAGCAGAACAAAATATACATTTGTTAGAATGTGGTAGAGTGTTATTGTTTTATAATCACAAGGAGTGCAGTAAAATTCATCGAAATATTATGATTAGATGCAAATCAAGGTATTTATTTCAGTTTTTTTTTCAGTTCATGTGGAAAAATATGTATCATTTCCACGTAATGTTTGTTTATTTGTATTAGTATTTGTTATAGATTAAGAATATAATGTGAAAATCTGTAAGGGCTGACGGTTAATAAGTTGACTTCTTATGAAATATATTGTTCCGTATATACATATGCATTGTACATCACTTCTCTGTCGATTATCGATTATAGTGAGACCCAATAACACAAAGAAAGGTGACTTTCATTTGAAGGAAGAAATACAAAATGAGCAGAAATCGGTATTGTTTTTTTACAAAAAACACACACATGATTTAGTAACATATCGTTATCTTTTGCACATGTGTAAGAAAATCGATTTAATACCAATAGATGCAAAAAAAAAAGATAAAAACATATGAGTGAAACAATTCAAACGATATTAGAATGACAATATCTAAATATCTAAATGCGTTTTTTTCTTGCATTTATAATAGGACATGTGAATAATAATAAAATAAAAACGCTGTAACTCGTATCTTTATATGCCATGTTGAAATTGATACAAATTGCAGACACGTGTAAAACAACTTTCGAGTAGCCGATTAATTGTAAATACTTTCGCCGTTGACGGCGTGTGGTCTGAGCCCATCCTTATCTCAGCTGTAATCGATCTAACTGGTTTATCAGCTGAAAAGATTCATGCTTTTGATTATAAATAGGCGGGGCTATTTCCTTATTGCTTTGATTGTATAACATCTTTATACTCTGCTATTACAGCGGGTTGCAATATCTGTTGCTTTAGTCCATTCATTATATTGCAGAAAAGATATATAAAATTACTTTAAGCAAAGGCCAGTATACAGAGAAACAATGTGAGAAGATATGCAATCCTTGTATATTATATAAATGAAACAAATGAGCTATTAAATCATCGTATGAGAGTTATTTTTATTTATCTTATTACATTAAAATTTTACGCTTTTCATAAATAAAGAATATGGTTTTACAATATTGGCATAAGAGTTTAAATAATTCCAAACTTATTCTGTTTATTTCATTTTAATGCTTGTGATCAATAAAGTAAATGATAACGGTTATACTAAGTTGCATTATAAGCAATTTCATATTGTTTCAATATTTGTTTTCAGATAAAGGCAATGTCAAGAAACAGACGTTATAGAAGAAACCAACAAGATATCACTCTATACGTGAATGAAAATTTTATCAATTGCATGTCAAACTTTATTTTATCATGTTTTGCTTATTTATTTTTGTTGTTGTTGTTTTTTTTCTTCGTTTTATCAATTAACAAACATATCTTGAACAATAGATTATAGATGTATCGTACTAAAAATAAATAACAAATAAGTGACGACCAAATTTTCATAAGTATTTTAAAGGCGCAAAATGAAGAAGATAGAAAGATGATTAAATAGGCGATGTTTAAGTTCTTTTCAATAAATACAGGATTTGTTTTTATCGATTGAAACTAGTATGAAAATAAATATTTCGCGAATATTTAAATATTCGAACTTTCATGCCACAGTGTGAAAATTAATTAATTCCGTAGGTATAGAAAAAAAGTTGAATTTTCTGTTTATTCCGTTTGTTCGACATTTAAATTTGGAATATTTCTAATTTCGTGATTTGGCTGATTTTAGAAGAATGTAGTCCGGCAAGACACCAGTGAAAATACGGAAATATGTTGAAAATAGATAAATACAGAAAATATTGAAACAAACTACTCACTTTCATGTTATCAATATTTCTCAATATTTTAGGATATTTAATGATATAATGAAAAGATGATATCAAGGACTTTTTTTATATAATAACATGGCTAATTTCATCGAGTGGTATGAAAATGATTATTATACAATTTGTTATAAACACGGATAAGATATAATTAATTGGATAATCATGAAATTTAATCCCGTTATTTTGGAAAAATAATGAACTTTTTTGTTTATTAAATGCGGTTATTTTATTTAAAATTGTTACAGATATTACAGTCCCATTTTTATTTATTTTAATATGTATATTAATGAAAGAAGTTACGACTCGAATGAAAGTACGGAAAATATGATACACAACAGTAAATGTAATCTTATACAGAGAAATATATGGAACATTAAAATACGCATTCCATTGATGAATACATCTGAATATTTTTTCATAAGTGTATAATTAATGAAACATATACTTTACACTACATGTATAGTATAGAATAAACAACTACAACTACATAAGAATAAAAAAAATAAAGATCAGCATGCCTATCAATTTGTTATGTTTTCAATTTACTTAAATGATAATACGTGTACGGTTGTTTGATAAACATATTTATGTTGTAAAAAATAAGTTGAAATAGTGTACAGATAAATGTCAACAGTTTTATATAAACCATTATTATATTATTTATTGAATGTAATTATTATTGGGTGTATTCTTTGTGTTTCTTCTTTATATTCTCAAATAAAAGTATGAAAACATGTATCGAAAATTAACAGACATTTCCGTTATTATTTAACCTTCCTTTTTTTATATTAAAAAAATACATTGGCCGTCTACAATTAATTAAAACGGCTTTTGTAATCCGCACAAATGACAATAATATTGACCCATTTAAAAGCAAGCAAAATCTTCTTCTATATGTATTCATCAAATAGCCCCCGAAAAACGATTTTCCAACATAATCGTCAGAAAATAAACTCGTATAAAAGGTAATGGAATATTATCCACAGAACGGACAGGTACCAAGCGTTTCGTATGAGGTTTAAAAGATAGGGGAATTATTCCTCTAAGTTAGCGAATACTCTATCTCTCTCTGGGCATGTAAATTTGTTGTCGAAAAAGTGCATTTAGGTCGACCCCCGGAAAAAGGACATCTGGAATTTCCTTTTTTATTCTGGAACGCATTTATAATGAATATAATAACTATGAAAATGACAAGACAAAGGATGATTCTAATAACCTATTGATCAAAAGCGTATAATACCTGGCCATATCCAATCTCCTCTTGGTATTCTTGCCATGACCTCAACAACGCCAAATCTGATGTTTGTTTTTGACTTGATTTTTCCGGACATGACAGGAGGCAAAATGCCATCACTACCCCTGCGATAGCATCCATAGCGATCAGCGTTGGTACAATATCCATACATTTCTTAACAATAAAGTACAAAATAAAGTCGCGAAATAAATATGATTAAATACTGGATTAAAATTTTTAAATAAAATGATACTGCTATAGTTAGAAGAAGTTATTTAAAGTTAAAAGTAGATGCAGATCGCAATTCAAAATATAATGAGAAAAACTAGGTTTTAAGGTAATAAGCATTCTACAGGTTTATTGTATGTATGGAATGATCAATTTGAAATAAATTGGAATTCCCTTTTTATTGATAAAACAGAAAATTATTGATAACTTTTAAAAAAATTGGTAGGCTGATATCAATAACTCTAATCTTTTACAGTCATATTGTGTCTTTATTTTGAATTCGAATTAGTACAATATTTGAAAGTAATAACTGATAAGAAATATAGAACTACTATGTCAAGTTTTAGAACTTCATCACATAATCTTTTTATAGAATCAGGAAGATATAACGATACTCCACGAAAACAGAGACTCTGCAAATCATGCAATGTGAAAACCATTGAAAATAAATACCATAGTTTGCTTGTATGCACATTTCATCGTGATTTAAAGAAGTAAAATTTGTATTTGTACTTAAAAGTACCGAGTCGTTTCAGTCAATAATTTAGGAAAAAGATATTCTCTTATTTGACATTTTTTAGATTTATCTGCTAGAAATACATCTATTCATCAGTACATTGTAAAATCTTATTTGAGATGATTGCAATTTGTGTACTATTCAGAATATCAGTTGAGCTGATCACCATTATATTGACAACACAGACACATTGAATGGTGGTTAGTTACTCACGTTTCAAGTCCATAACACCAGTGTGTAATGATGCATCGTTATAGTTGGGGTGATCCGTAGTAAGAGTCTGAAAATTGCATGCAATAAATTGTCACGTGATCTTAAACAATACCATTACTCTTTGAGTTAATAAGAAAAAACTTTCCAGTTATATTTGCAATTTTCCTTTTTTTCTATTTTTTTTGTTGTATTTATTTACTCTTTTTTTTTTTGGGGGGGGGGGTAAAAATTTTTCATTAAATATACAAGTATATATACAAATATATATATGTACTAGTATTCGTATAAGTAATACTTGAATCACAAATGATATTTTGAAGTAAAATGCAGTCATAAAACAACTTTATTTTCCCTCAGTGTCATACAAACAATAATTTGAATTTGATTATATTTTTACAATTAAAACTAAAGAAAAAACCGAAATTTCATGAACTATGTCTATGAAATTAACTTACTGGCTTAATAAAAAGATGACCGTTCCTCGTGAATACGTTTCTTGCATCCGGGACATATGCTTGCACCTCCCAGTTCTTAAAATAGAAGATGTGCTATCATTTTCAGAATATTTAAATGAGATAAATAACATCAGTATTGCTTTAAAGTTGTAAATATTAGTGCGCTATCCTATAAATGATAGTTCTTTTGCGTAGAGAATTGAACATCATAATTCATTTTTAAGATAGAGTGAAAACCATGCTGTGGTTTTAGCCAAAATTATTTGCTTACATAACCTCCGTACATGGAAACTTCATAGTCCCAATTGCCTGTATTAAAAGATCCATAGAAATCGTCACGGAGCACACGGCTACATGACCTTTCAACTCGGCTTGGTGGAGAAATAACTAAACCGGTGACCTCTAAAATGTAACAAAAATACGATGGGTGAATTGAAGTTTAAGCTCATTCAATTAAATCCTAAAAGACTTATATATTGTGAATAATATATTTTTGAATGAATGAAATTCTTAGTATTATGAAGATGCTAGATCTCTCGCAAGCTCTCGTAAATAAGTCGGCTCGGGGATCTCTAGTATCCTAGTGGTATACCATGTAAGGACGATAAAAAGTATTTTTACAATTAATTTAAAGATTTAAACTGTATATACATGTACAAACAAAACTGACGTACGTTGTTATGAATAAAGTAAGTATATATTGTAAATTTAAGTAAAAAAAACTGTTTTATAGGGCAAGTTATTTTACTCCTGAAATACCTCTCGTATATCATTTTCCAAGAAATATACATCATTGCAAAAACGAAATTAATATTATCTTTACTCAACTAATATAAGGTATCAACGCCTCATTAAGTTTCCATTTCTTTTTAATACATATTCATTTTCTTACCTGCTCAATTTATGTAATGGATTTGTGTAATATTGAATTTGGAACAGTCCATTTAAAGTTTAAAGGATTTCAATATGAAAAAGACTGGGCTACCAATAGTACAGATCCTAGTGAGACAAAACGGATGACCAATCACTTTCATTTTCAGCAGATTAATAGTTAAATGGTGTTGAGTTTATGACATTTGTTTGTACTCCTAGACACTTACATGCTTGCTCATTTGTGGAAATAAAAGAGTACAACAATCACGTCTGGTAAACGAAAGAGCTGTCTGTTAGAACAAATATTCAATATTTTCTTTTTTAACTGATGTTTTGATCTGATTCCAATCTTATTTAATTTCTATACCTTATATCTACTTAAAACGTATTTGTTTTTAATCTGAATCACTGTTTAGATTAAAATTGGATGAAAACTAATCCGTTTCACGATGAAACGGTCCATTTCAACGCTGAATAATGCCACCACAACTAGCCTACATTTCAAGCACAGATATAACAACTTAACGTTTTTCTTGAAACATTAATTAAATCTACATGGCATAGCATTCACCGAATTTCGATATTTTATGTAGAGTTTACAAAATATTTGAAAAATGAAAACACATGACACTTGAGTTTAGCGATATGCACTAGCTCGGAAGTAGCGATAGAGTAATTTACCGTATACCTCCGAAAGAGGTAGCTCTATCGTTAACCAGGCGTGACATAATGTCTAAATTGTAACAACACGACGTCAGCTCATGATAAAAATCTTTTAAGATTGCACAAAACTTGACCTTCTCCACTGAAAGTGGATTTATATATAATTGATAAGATAGTAGGAGCAGAGGTCCAGTGGTAGGACGCGCGCTTAGTGATCGAGAGGTCCTGGGTTCGAACCCCACCAGGGTTACTTCTAATTTCCTTGAGCAAGACATTTTCCTGCGATTGCTTCACTTCACCCAGGGGTAAATGGGTACATGCGAGGGTGGTATAATTCCGTTGCGTCAAAGTGTCGGCTGCACTAAGCGGAGTTAAAAGACTCCCTAGGGAGATTGATAGATAGAAAGCAGTAGCCTGATGACCAGGGGTAATAGCTGTAAAGTCGTTGAACGTGCGTAAGCATGAAACTTAGACTATAAAAAATGCCAAAAAATAATAAAGATACAGCTAGGATTAAAATTTGTATAAAATATTATTTTTCTACATATATACCTGGTTGTAAGTTTCCTTTGGATACTATAGTTTTTCCCTCAATTTCCCCAACGATGGTATATCCAATTTTGCCTTGACCGTCGAATGCTGCAGCATGGTTGCGATGATACCAGCGACCGTCGGCTGAATTAGGGACAAAAGCAGCATGAATTCGTCAGACTTAACAACACGAGATTTAAAAAAAAAGTTAAGGATTAATATCATGACAACACTGCTAAAATCATGTAACTATACTAACATAAATTATATTTTAGTTATTGATCAACGTCAATGGTTATCATAGCTGAAACATACAAATTATGTTGGTGAACATAATTAGTTTTTAATCACTTTTTTATTAAATCCGCTGTGGTAAAAATATCTTATAAAATCATTTGTTTAAGGTAAGGCGAGAGACTTTGATACGTATATTTAATTAAACTGCAGTTGTAGGCTGCATTTTCTTCAACATTTTAAATAGCATCATTGTCAAAAACAGTAGCAGTTATACATTTCTTACATACCTCCCTGATGAAAAGGTCCTTGGTGCTTTCTGCCCTTGATAGTGTACATTACGTCATACACTTTCATTCCCGGAGCTCCTATAAACAAGCACTACATTTTTAAGGATATAATATCAATTTCAAATGCTTGGTTCGATATCATATTACAAAATTTTAAGATTTTGCTGGAGGTAGAACACCATCATCTGACATTATCGATTCGCAAAGTTATATTTGTCGGTTTTGTTAACAGTAAAATAAGTTAAAGATACTAAACATTCAAAGGGTTATAGACTTATGTAAAAAATGCGAGCAACAATTATGAATAGTATCAGCATTTCATTATTATAAGCACATTTTCAATCTTTTTTTTATAAATACAGTAGATATGAGCAAAGCTAGGCATCACAAAAGGTTTAAGATGCTTTAAATTTAGAAATAAACAGTGAATTAAAAAAGGTTTTGAAGAAATAAACTTGATACAGTTCAAAAATGTAAAAACAGATTGAAGATGAAGGAATGAACACAAATAAGAAAAAGAAATAAATTTAAAAAATAAACAACTAAAAGCACCGACCATCTAGTGAAATCTCCACATCTCCAGAAGCAAGATGCGCTAGTTTTGGATGAGGAACATCCGCGGAAAACACCGACACTATTAGGCAAAGAAAGCACGTGGTAATCATGCCACAAGGTTTTGTCGCTGCGTTTGCAGACGGTATGTATTAATGTACAAGGGAAGGAAGTTTTTATATGAAAATCTTATCTGTAAAATTGATAACGTGCCCTTTATGTCAGAATTGAGGATATAGTCCCTGCTATAAAGAACATTTTATATATAACTTTCGCACCAATTATACTTTGACCTCAAATTTCATAAAATTGCATCTATCTTTAAATTTAAACACTTATTTTAAACACAGTATTTCACAGTTTTGTTTTTGTTTCTATTTTTTGTTTTGTTTTTGTTAGTGTTGGTTTTTTTTTCGTTTTTTTCCAGAAAATATTAGTCTAGACGATACAAAAGCTGCTTTATCTAGTTGCTATAATACCTGTATATTTTTTTAACGATAAAAGTTCAATCAAATTTATTCCACTTATATAATATACCAGTTCGTTTTTGCAACAAACTAAGAAAATTCAGCCGATTTAAGATTAATGATCCAAAAACTTGTGTCTTACAAACAATTTATTTAAACGCGTATCTGCGAGATGGCGCTGAGCAAATTTGCAAATATTTCTTGGAGTACAGCAGCACACTCATATTAAACTATTGTTTCGCTCGACTGCAAAACAAGTAATCAGTTTCGAGTCTGCTGTCTGGTACTGAACATTACTGGTCGGGAATTATCTGCGTGTTCAAGCATCTGCACAAAGTCGCTGTGCTGTTCAAAATATCGGGTACTTTAAAGGACATAATCCACGCCCGTTTAACTCACAACGAGTGTAAAATGTCCATCGGTAAAAATGTTGTGAGCAACTTCCGTTCCTCGTTGTGAGCACCCATCTAGGACGTGTGACACGATAAACAAGGTGAGTTTTTCATAATTTTTGAAGATTACATACATTTATGTAAAAATATCGGACATTATGGCCAATCTTAAATGTTTTTGGACAATTTGACCTTCAAGGTAAAGGCCATTCAGGGGTCAAGGTAAAAAATACAGGTCCGTAGGAAGGTCTTGTGCTAAGGGATGTTGTGTTCAAATATGAATCAAATCCGTTTACTAATAAGGAAGTTATGGCCAATGTTAAAGTTTTCGGACGGATTGACGGACTGACGGACGGACAGTTCAAAACTAATATGCCTCCCTTCGGGGTATGCACAACGTCTTGCAAAGAAATGCTGCTGTGCAAAAACGTTTTAATTGCTTTGGTAGATTGAAAATTATATTTTCACCATCTGAATTACATATTAAAACCAGACACGCACTGCGCTTGTCTTGCTCACAACGAGGTTATGGTGCTCACAACGAGGATTAAAGCAAAAAAGGGTATATCTTCGTTTCTATGAAGACTTTCAGGTAATAATTTACGCTGAAGACTTTTGGACATCTGTTTTAGGTTAGAATGCACAAAACTTCATCAGAATCGACGTTTTTAATGTTAAATTTGGTCCGGAGAGAAGTTGTCTCCTGTTTTCCAGCTACCCCGAGTGACTGCGTTGCACGGTATTTCCATCAAATTGTCCACCAATATGCAATATCTTTACATGTGCATACTCGGAAAACACATCGCTAGCTAACTGCATTCCGATATTTTTACATAAATGTATGTAATCTTCAAAAATTATGAAAACCTCACCTCGTTTATCGTGTCACACGTCCTAGATGGGTGCTCACAACGAGGAACGGAAGTTGCTCACAACATTTTTACCGATGGACATTTTACACTCGTTGTGAGTTAAACGGGCGTGTTATCGGATAAGGATTCTTTTTGTTTACGTAAGTAATTAATAAGGTGACTTTTGCAAAAAGTCCATTTCAAAACATTTTCTATTTGGCTATTTTTCAGAACGAAAGTGTTTCCAATCTATTTGTTTGCGTTGTTTTATTTCCTTTTAAAAGTGATTCAAATTTTGATTTAAATCTTAAAACAACATTCAACACAAAGCAATTAATTGAGCCATGTTTATTTTACTTGTTTTACCTACTTTTCTTTATCAGTTATTATCAGAAGTTGATGACCTTGTCAATGTGCTGTTTAAATATCAAAAAGGAAGGTATTTAATGCACACATCAATCGACATAAACTAGTTTATTGTATGTAGGTTTGCAATACGCTAGGTTGATTTTTCACCAAAATTGAAACAAAGAAAACATTTAGTTGTTTGAAGTATAACATAGCAAGCAAGCACGCACGCACCCCACACTTGTATATTTGAGTTATGGGTATTGCGATAAATATCTTCATTACTAACAGAAACATAGCATTTTTTTTCATAATTTTACAAAAAATAGCGTGCCATGCCAAGGTGTTAGTCACATTGATCTGACCCAAAATATATTCAATCTTGCTTTTCATGCAATACAATATCAATATGTTTAAAATCTGGAAAAAATTGATTTAATTCTTTGCTACATTGTCACAGACAAGGCATTCAACACCCGGCTCTCAGTGTCAAAATTCTTTATCGGATGGCAACAGTTTTATTGGCTCTGTTTGATGCAGGTTGTTCATGGACAGCAGTGGTAGGTGCAAAATACCGGCCGCACCCTAAGCATGAGCTTAAGCAGAAATTAACATACATAAAAAAGTCAAAGTTTAGATTTGGAAACACACTCAGATATTTTTATTCGGCGGTGGCCATAGTACTTCAATTATGTCATTCCATCACTATCATGTGAAAAACCATTTCGGGTCCCTAAAACAGACAGCGGACATACAGTTGTCACTTTCGTGGCCTTTAATGGCTTTTACAAATTGTTCCTGATATTATAAGAAGGTTTTTGTTTATTTTAGGTTATATAAATGTGAAAAAAATATTTATATAGGCGCATTAGATGTGTTAGTTTATCCAAGAGCATCCTTGTGAGATGTTTTATCCACGTTATGTACATAAGTGTTCATATTTATACTGCTGATAATATCCAACTATACATGCTATATATGTAGATTATTGCAACATAAGCAAGTGAAATATGTTATTAGCTGATTATATGTTATCGTATATACACTTGTGGATAAATTATTAAATCTGTTCGTCTTCCTTTTACTGACATTTGAAATAAATATTCATAGTCGTAATGGGAGGAGCTACCTCAAAGGACCTAAAGGTAAATCAATTATTTATTGTCGATCATCTATAAAAGTAATAGATGTCCAAGAGGATATCTTAAGATGCTATTTGTATTCTTAATAATTATTTTGTCAAGTTCGTGCTTGCGTGAAATGGTGTCTGAAAAGGGGGCTTCATATCATTTATCATAGTAATATAAAACAGCTTAACATTATTGATAGCTTTCAATTTCAGAAGGTTGGTGTCGAATTGAATAATCTTAAGGAGAAGTATGAAATGCAGAAACAATATATATCGGAATATGCATCAAAAGTCGACAACAATTTGGAATTGCTAAAGAAACGAACGGAGGATTTTGACAACAGGGCGAACAAACTGCTCGATCTTTTTGAAGCTAAATCATTAGATATCAAATGTTTGGAAGATAGCATAGCTCAACAGAAGAATTTTAGCCAGGCAAGGTTTATCGAATTGGAACAGGAAATCCAATTGTGGAATAGAAAAGTTGACACGACCATGGCTCAAACGGAAATGTTACTCACAGTCTCACAAGATAGAGAAAGGCACATGGAGAAATTAGAAAAGCTTACAACGTAAGATATTCAATTGATTACAACTCTGATTTACTTTTCCCAGGCTTAAAGCTGTTTGTTTTAATTTAAATATTGATTATTGGTTTTATTTTATTTTGTTTTAAAGTTAAATATATTAATAAAACTTGACTTAAACGTAATGTCATACTTTGTATCTAAAACAGATGTATTACATTTTTATATAAACATTTTCGAATTTTTTAGGATTTTTAAATGAATACTTGAAGGTAATTTGAGCTTCCAAAATAAATCGAGTACATCTAATCAATCCAGGAACATATCTTGTTTCTAATTTCTTTTTTTTAATTTTATTACATAATGGAAGGAATATCTCGTCATGTTGTTTCTTTTATTACACAGCAAGCTTGTCTATACACAGGCAACTAATGCAGGGGTGGATATAAACGGTAAGTGTCACAGTAATTTTCGTCATATTCTTTTCAAAAACTTTCATTTTGTACAATGTGCCCATACGGTTATGACATATTAGGGTTCTGCGAAATATAGCTCATTCTTAGCTGAATTATAGATCATTCTTTGGGTCACTATGAGTATCTTTTTTGTGAAAAAAAAAACTGTTTAAATTGATGAGATATTTTTTTGTACCGAATATTTATTGCATATCAAGTTGCATGTTGGGGCTTTCTAAGAAAAGGCCTTCCTTTTTACTTAAATAAAAATATTGAAAATAATGTACTGTGGTGTATTTTTATTTTGGTATATCCTGATGTTTTAAAAAATGTATGCTTACAGAAGAACCCATCAGAGAATAAGTGTCTAAGAGTATGCAGTAACCTTTGACAATCACAGCAACGCATTTACTGAGGTTTTAAATATACGCGCAAGTCAAACTTGCCCAAATTGACTGTTTTATTATGAAGAACATAAATATTTGACTGGTGATTCATTTATATATGTGAAAACTAAATCATAAACAATTAATAACAGATGTTTAATTTTTGTTTTGGCCAGCAAGTGGTCCAATAAAACGAGGTTCTAGAATTTGGGAAGCTTGTTAAACATAATAAATAAAGACAAACAAATGAGTAAGTTGTAATTGGGCTTTTATTAAAGCCGGTATATATACAGTGCACCTTTAAATTTTGTTATGACTAGAAATAGTACACAATAATATGTTATTATGTTTTATCTGGGCATAAAGATTATGCCAAAATAAACATGAAAAATGTAAAAACAATGATCAACATAAAAACAAAAGTTAGACATTGAAAATAATATACACTAGTTATTGGTTGGAGGAAATGGGAGATGGAGGTTAACGCAATAAACCGATGAAAATCGTGAAATGAAAGCTGACAAAAGTTTCTGAATTCCTTTGTCTACAACATGTGACGCTTATAAGAGCGCATGCGCAGAAAAAGCACGCGCAGGGAAATCACGCTGCACAACTGATAAAATTGAATACGGACAACGGCTGTTGTACATCAATAACTTAAAAAGTGACCATTTCGTCCATAAAATATTTTACTGCATAAAATTCATTTATTAACCTTGATATCAATAATATTTAAAGCAATAAGCCATAAAAATTCATTTCATTTTCACGCATGCACGCATACATACATACATGCACAGCCGTGTGTTCGAATCCCGACAGGGTCTTTAGATTCTTTCTAACTAGTATCTTACGGAACATCAGTGGTTCAACTCAGTTGCCAGTTCGTGCATGAAAGAATGCACGGAAGTGCACCTGAGGTCTTTTCTCACAAGTCAAGCTTGAACGTCGGTGTGACGTAAAACACAATCAATAAATCATTGTGGCTATGCTTTCATGATTGTTCTGCTAGGCGCTGTGCCGTAATTGGACTGGCATATCGATGTGGTGGTATGTGTGTATATATTCTCTCATTTCTATAACAATTTATCTGCACACTTGTATCTTAAGTGATCCCACGCAGGGGAAAGTATAACTGTATTGAATTTAACTATATCCCTTTATATATACTTTTTCTGTCTAAATTCATTGTATCCTACGGATCTACCTGATCTTACGGGATCCAGTTGACTTTCGGAAATAGATAAATAGTTCTCTGGTCCCAATAGTGAAGAAGATAATAAAAATGTCATCGTTGATTTATGAGACATGATAACAGAGAACAAACTCTATATATGCGAATGTTGAGCTTGTTTCAATGTGTAGTGCAGTTTGTGACTGTATATAAAGCTGTTCTGAAACCATCATTTTCGTGATGGTGGATGAGCAGTGGCTATGCTTTCATGACTGTTCTGCTAGGCGCTGTGCCGTAATTGGACTGGCATATCGAAGTGGTGGTATGTGTGTATATATTCTCTCATTTCTATATATATATATATATATATATATATAAATCTCTAACTTGCCGTATATAATCAAAAACGCTAATTAAATTTGCCGTAGCTTTCGGTCTTGCGGCCTTCTTCAGCAGCATTTATTTTACATACTAAATATCAAAACAAAACGATTGAAGTGACGTAACGTTAATGAACGACGCCCGCCGTGGCGTTGTTTGCCGTCTGCCGCGTTATTCTTTGGTATAAACTCCATATGGTCTATAGGTTCTTAATTTATTTTTCCACAATTTTCTATTGTTTTTCTGTATTGGTCATTCCCGTATAGCTTTTCCAACCCAATTATTGAAAAATCATTAACTGTGTGGTCGTTCGTGTAAAAATTCGCCGCTAACGGATCGTTGTACTTGGTTCGTATTCTGGATAAATTTAGAAGATGTCTTTGGTACAACGTATGCCCTGTTTCTCCAACATAAATATAACGTTCGCAACGCTTACAATAAACTGCATACACCACATTCGTAGATTTGCACGTGATCTGATTTCGAACCTTATACGAGGCCCCGTTCACACCAATGAATGTGTCTGCTTCAATAACGTATGGACAAATCACATACTTTTTGGATCTGCTAGGAGCACAGGCATTCGGCTGTTGAAAAAATAGTTTATTGTGTTTCTTATGAACAAGAATGCCCTGTAGGTTATTTTCTTTTCTAAATGTCGCAATTGGGGGATTCGGAAATAATTCCTTCATTCTATCTGAGGTGTGTAATTCAGGTAGATGTTTTTGTACTATTTGTCCTACTTTATGGAGCGCTCGGGAAATTGTCAGTACCAAAGGGGATTCTTTCAGTGTTTTCTTTATCTTCATTATACTGTAATAAGTCACTTATTTTCTTACTATCTACTTTATTTAATTATGTTTCAATATGTCGATCTTCATAGCCTCGTTTCTGTAACTAGGTTAAATATTCTCCCTATGTTGTTTTAAGTCAATTTATTAGTACATATTTGCTAAGCACGGAGGACAAGTCCATATGGTATTGACTTTTTTGTCGATTCCGGTTTAGACGAGTTGTTATGCAAGTACAGGTGTTTATCTGTTGGTTTAGTGTATAGGTCTGTTATTAAAATGCCATTTTGAATCTTCGTCATTACGTCGAGAAACTCAAGTTTTTCAGTAGAATATCTTAATTCTAATTTTATTCTGGGATGAATAATTATATATATACAATCTGATGTAATTTATTAATTCCACTGTATTTTCATGAATTATATATAATTTGATGTAATTTAATTATTCCACGCCAAAAATAACATGCCATACATTTATGATGACTCTTTGAAATTTGTCAGTTTAAGTTTACTTGTAGGGCCGAGTGTAAATGCAGTTACCCTTAATGCACATGTTTCATATCATTGATTTTATACAAGTCACTATAGTACACATATCCCTTATCTTATCTTAAGTGTGCGACATATTTTCAATTGTCCGCATAATTAACCTCATACATGTAACCCAATAGTATATTCTATCTACATGATTGTGTCCTAATTAGGCTATAGGTAAACATATCTGAGTGAAAAGGGTAAAGGTAAGTCGCATAAGGGTGAAATTGTATCTTAATTATGTGGTACGTATGCCTAACAGGGTGACGTCGTAAGTTAAGTCATAATTAGGAGACACTATTTCACTTGTAAATAAAGGATTGTTCAAATTTCGTAAAACTATCTTATAGGTGGGTAATATTTAACTCCTAATTGGGTGAAAGCATTTCCTAATAAGAGATAAAAAAATCGTACTGTGGCATTAGGACGTATACGTATCCGTAGATAAATAAAAATATGATGCACATATATCTCAAGCAAAAGATTCAAATCAATATTGTTCTTCCTTTCTTACGTCATTAGGCCGTTTGATTAGCATTAATAGGGTAATAAATCATAGTGTTATAGGGCCTTTTGTTAAGCGTAATTACACTTTTTAATTCGTGTTAAAACGCCTTTGGATTGGCATTATTACGTCTTTAATCTAGTTTTTAGGCCTTGTTTCGCTTTATAACGTCCTTTATTCCGCGTTATTACGCCTTTAAGTTTGTGTAATTTCGACTTTATTTGCATTATTGCGCCTTTTGCTCCGCGTAATTATACCTTTATTTGCCTTTAAACGCCTTATAATCGTTATAATCGCTTTTGATTTGCGTTATAATGGGTTATGCATTTATTTGCGTTAACACGCCCTTTGTTTCACGTAAATATTATTACAGAATAAAAGATAGCTTTTTGGGGGATAAATGGGGCTAAAGGGCTCGAATGCCTCGATACTATTATCATGACTTTATTATTTAAAAAAATATTAACATTGTTTCATTTCAACATAATCAATTTCCATTGCAACATCATCGCCATGCCAAGATCCAAGCCAACTGTTTCTACCGTGCCAAAATGACCCTTTTACATCTGGTGAATCATTTCTCCACGGTTTATGCGAGTTGTACGTCCAGCCATCGGGGAAAAATCCATTGGTTCCAGCAATAGCAACATTCAGGATCAAATAGAACTGAAATTTTAATTCAATTTGTAAATCACAAGCAACATTCTTGTTTAAAATGACTCAGTTTTGGGATTTAGCCAAAAAGCTCAAGCTGTTACGGAACAAAAAAAATCAAGAATATAAAGAAGATCTTACATGAGTGCTAATTTATAAAACAAGTTGAATCAAAGGGATTACAAATGAGACTGTGTCAACAAATGAGACCTTTTTGAACTTAAAGATTTTTACATAGTTATTATGTAATTGTAATTATGTTGTTATTACATGGCTTAATTATACACCTACGCCATAGTGTATTCGTAATGTGATAACTGTTTTTATTGCGTTGAAAGTAACTGTAACACTGATCAAACAATTTTGAATATTACGACAAAGCTTCAGGAAAAAAAAGCGTTCTAAGTTGAACAAGACCTTTATTCAGTTAGCCTTTTGAGTATCAATGACGTTAGGGTACAAAGGTTACAACTAGGCTGACGCGTAAACTATGTAGCAATTAAACCAAATTAATCTAAGTGGTACAAATGCGTCTTAGGTATAATACGTGATTCGCCTTATCGAACGCGCGATCCAAAGATACCGCGTGTTCACTTACATTCTTTTTTAAATGGACTCTTTAGAGAAATATAATTAAGTACCGCTGTTTTCGATATAAAATACTGTTACCGGATATATACTAATTACATGTGAAAAAAGTGTTCTAACCGAATGATCAAAAGGAGCTGCTTTAGTACCAGCACCCCAGATATTGCTGCCACTAAATCCTCCCTTTTGCCAGAAACTCTCGTGAATGGGAATGTTTACCATTTCCCGATGATCATCAGTCACTCTGGAATCAAATGTATTAACAAAATAAGAGAATATATATGCAATAGGTGTGCCTTCATCAATGTTGTACTCTAAATAATAGATACAAAATAGCTACAGATTTGTGAATAGTGTAGTAAGCAATAAGTGCCATGTGGAATATGTAAAAAAATTCTGTACTTTTCTTCAATGTTTTTCTAGTCATTCGGATCTTTGATTACACTCAATTAGTGTTAAAAATTGAATTAAACCAGTGCTAGGTAGCATAAGAGATGTTGCACTTGTATGTAATTTTTCATTTCCGGACTCAATCATACCAAGTCTGCAACCTTTGTTTGATGTTAGTTTTCTTTTGAAAGGATTTTATTACACATTGTTATAATTACCGTTAAACATTATGTCTAGACAAGTCAATGTTGTTACAATTTAAGAAAAACCGATAGTAGCCGCCGGTTTGGTAAACTATGAAAACAAGATAAACAAGGGACGATGGGATTCAAGAAACGCACCCCAACACAACCTAGCAACAAAGGATCATAGGCCAGGATAAAGCATGTGATCCTGGAGTTACAAGTAAACACTTTAACCACAAAGCCAATATGACAATTGACAATAAGAATATAAAATGTGAGCTCTAGAACGGCACAAAGCAAAAGCGATTAAGGTCTAATTGTCATCATTATATGTGATTGACCAGTCTGCGTAGCTGCATCTGTTTAAGTATTTTCATATTTAAATCCCTCAAAATAGCAAAAGAAAAATACCATCTCAAAGCAGTGCCAAGTATAGCTTGCAATAAAACGCCATAAAATACAAGAGAAAAAACAACAAACCTACCGTATTTGGTTAACACTCCAAGTAAGATGATAGGTATGTAGGCCATGACTCCAATCTCCATCTCTGGAAAAACAAAGTACATAACCCAAGACTTATACGCCGCCAGACACAATATGCTTCATATTGGGTTGTCTTTGCTTCGAGATCAGTTATTTTATTATTATCTATTTTTTGTTAATTTTTATTTTTTTAAATTTATAATATGGTGATGGCAATTTTATGTTGCAGTTGCACGGAATATCGGAAATCAACAAATATCTTAATTTCTGTTTGATTATGAGGTATAGATTATTACGAAAATTTGCAAACACGATATGGGCTAACCATTGTATATATAAATGAAAACTGAAGGTGAAACTAAAATAAAAACACGCACATAGTATACTTCAAAGTGGGAAAGTTTGCAAAAATGCAATTTGGAATGAACAAATTGATCGTGAGCTTTGATTATCTATATATTTCTTCAATCCTACAAAGACCACATTTTGAAATACATGTACATCATATGTCTAGCTATATCGTTCACTTTGAGAGAATAACAAAAATAATTGTCTCTTGTAAAATGCTTGTATTCTCGAGGGATGTTGCACTTATTCATAATCCCTCATGTACAGACTCGTTCAAACCGCATTTTCATGTAATATTGTTTTGATTAATGCTTCCGAGGGATCACTTTGTTTTCACATTTGTAAATTTTTTAACTTGTCAACCGTGACAAAAACAAAAACATACAGTACCATAACGAACCAATGTCGTGCAAATGCTACAGTGTACAGTCGAATTCAAACAAAGGGAAAAAAACAGCAACAAAAAAAAACAGACTGAATGAGACGGCAGATAGCAGATAGAAAATAGAAAAACAAAAACAAATAACTAAGAAACTTTGATAAACTTGTACATACGCTTTTCCATGTGTTAGAGAAAATCTATTATGACTAGCATCAGGTCCCCAGTGCATAGTTGCCCCTACTTCATTGACACCATGATTGTGTCCATGACTATCAGTGGCCTGTGTATTACCTAGGAACATAATTTTACAACGTAATACACCCACAAATACTTAGTCAAATTTTTAAGTTGTCAATCTTTGCAGAATAAGTTGTAAACAGATTCAAATTAAGAAATGCTTTAATGACTTGTGTTCCAATATTCCTACTTGAATAATGTTAAATCACCCTTAGGGTATGTTGCCTGACTTTCAACTTTGTCTTTTGACGTCATCTATGATATGCAAGCCTCATAACCTCTGATACCCTTTCAAAATTCCCTTTTGTTTAGTTCCGCCCATTGTTTTCTTGTTTAGGGCACACCCTTGCTATGACTTGAGGACCATACGCCGCTTTTCATGGATTTGCACGGAAGTGTGGCATTAAAGGTTCTATGATGAACGCCGTATGAACACATCTGGGGATGTTTCCTAATTCAAACTTTTATCATTTCTTGTTTAAATGTAGAATTTTGCTTAAGCTGGTGCTAGGGGGCGTTGACGGTAGTTTGCGCTTGACAGTACCGTCCATGAACAGACGCAATCAAACCGAGCCTGCAACATTTTCAATTATGCCGTTTTGGGGCTTCTTCTTTTGGGATTCCTATTTTCCCTGTTTATGTATTTTTTCTCTCGTAATTGATACTCAATTGCTTTAATGTGTGCGATTAAAATATATTTGTAAACAATATCATATAAATATTCATTGAATGATACAGAAAGTATGTCAGATATTTTCATTTCGATACCTTTTAAAAACGAAAAGAGGCGAAAGTATGCCGAAAATTCGAAACTAATCACAATGTTGAATTTTGCTTATCAGTCGATGCTAGGGAGGTGGGGGGCGTTGATGGTAGTTTACACTTGACAGTACCGTCCATTAACAGGCTCAATCAAACCGAGCCTGCAACATTTTCAATATTGACGTGTTGAGCTTTCTTTATTTATTTTCTTATTCTTATTTTCTTTATTTATTCGACAAGTTAAAATGCTTATTTAATACATTTTAAGAAATTACAATAATACAATCAGTTTCGTACAAACTGCATTATAATTTAATTTTCTTTTCAGTTATGTAAGGAATGATTTTAAGATAATTTTAAGGTACATAATCACTAATATGACATAATTTGAAAGTTCGCCTTACCTCTACTTTCCATGATGTCAATTTCCCCAGACCTAGGCCATGAACCGTAATGACTGTATTTAGGCAACATCCAGATAGCTAAAAATAGCAAAATATTATAAAAATATATCTCACAAAGATGCCACTATAACTTAATAATCAAAATCTCAATAACGTAATATAAAATAAAACTAAACATATTCTTTTTTTATATAATTTTGTTTTACTGCCTTTATCTATATAGATTAAGTGAAATGCAAGGTTTAAATGATAGTTAGTCTGATTACCTGGCCAGATCCAATCTCCCCTAGGTACTCTGGCAACAACTGTAACCTCTCCAAATTTGATAGTGCTTTTTGATTTTAACTTGCCAGACATTACTGGTGGTAATAGACCATCTTTTCCTGATCTGTAACAGCCCCAATGGTCGGAGTTTGTACAGTATCCATACAGTGCTAAAATTTTAATTAAAGTGTATAATACTCTAATGTATCATCAAAGAATCAATCATATAAAGTGCCTTACTTGGATTTTAATGTGTTTACTTCAGAAAGAAAAATGTTGAAACCCGTACTTTCCGTTCTTAATAGATAAAATATTTATGAAAATTTTAAAGTATTGGCAATAGTCATTTTGCTACCTTTTGATTTTTGTTTATTAAAAGCACGTCTAACCTTTATTGTCAATGAAAAACATTATTGTAAGTAAATGTACTTTGTTAAAACTAGCAATTATTGTCTACGAAAATTACATATAACTTTAAACATGTGGTTAATACAACCGTTTATACAATGTCATTTAACCACCTATAAAATTTTATAAAGCATATAGACCTTCAAAGTTTTATCGGAATACAAATATAAGGGTCTAAATGTAAACCTTTTAAGTCCATGACACCGTTTGATAGTGTAGATTCGGAAAAGTTCGGGTGATCCGTTGTAAGTGTCTGAAACATTATAAAATCAAAAGACGTATAAAATATTTAAAGTCATTGATGATCAGATAAAATTACAGATGTTCTTATAAGACACGTAGATGTGTGTACCAGGAATATATTTTGCTGGTAACAATTTGCATTTGTTCCTCTAAATCATACCGGTATTTGCAAATCTAGAATAAGACAGGGAAAGGTACGAATTATACCGATTTTTTTAAAAAAAATTGCGATGATGTATTACAAAGGATATTGAAATGATTATGAACAGTTTTTGTGATAGAGAAGTGTAATGTAGCACTTTAAAACGATTTTTGAAATACTTACCGGTTTGATGAAAAGATGTCCATTTCTAGTGAAAATGTTTCTTGCATCTGGAACGTATGCTTGGACCTCCCTGTTCTGAAATTTACGCCAATTTGTTTTGAGATGAAAAATATAAAATACATAAAGTGATATTTTCGCTCTTTCAACTATATTTTACATTCCTCTTGCAAAGTATCTCGATTTATAAAAGACAAACTAATATATAATAAATGACAGGTATAAATTTACAAAAAACATCATTATATCATGTTATTAGAATAATTTTCTCTTACATGGCCTCCGTACATTGACACTTCATAGTTCCAATGTGAAGGATCAAATGCTCCGTTAAAGTCATCTCGAAATACTGTTTGACATGCTCTGACTACTCTTGGAGGTGCAAGAACAACGCTTCTTTCCTCTGTAGATTAACATTAGATAAGTAGTTTATTGACTTGCAAGAAATAGTAAATGCGAAATTGCCAAATGATATACATATGTAATGGAAAGGTTCCTTACTGAAGTAATCGAGTGAGTTGAATATAATTATAGAAGCATTTCTACGTGAGCATCTTGTGTAATAAAAATGTTATAGTATGAAGCTCCACGAATTTCCTTACTCATTATGATTTTTCGATAGACACACTTAACAAAGGCCTGTCTTTAAAGTTGCCACTGCGTACTAAGGGCGTACGTTCTGTAATATTTTCCTCGCTGTTCCTACCTACTTTGTAGAGATACTCCTGTTTGCCTCAGTTGGTACCAGATGCGCAGTATATACGTTTCTGTCTTCTTTATTTTTGCCGTCCAAATTCTTTAAATCCTTTAAATCTTTTGCTGATGCACGACACATTTTAACTACTTACGGAAGAGATCGCATAGCGAGACATGTGTAAAATATCAGTTTACTTACGGGGATGAAGTTTTCCTTTGGTGACAACAGTTTTGCCATCTATCTCTCCAACAATTATGTACTTTATCTTGTCCTTGCCATTGTATTCAGCTGCGTTATTGCGATGATACCATCGCCCATCGGCTGAATGTCAAAAAGTAAAGTCAGATTTGTATTCTTCTATTCTTTTAACTTGAGCTCTGACCAAATGCTCTTTTCTCAAGCGTCAACCAAGGTGATAAATGAGCACCTATATTTATCAATAGATGATCGGTTCTTAAGATGTAAAGATTGAAAAAAGTAATCTTATTTTAGCTTGTAAGGTATCTATACAAATTACTTTTTAGACAAAGAGCACTTATCAAAATGTGCAAGACATTCAGCTAATTAAATGGTTTTTCTTCAGTCGAATGATTTGTTTCTTTGCTAGACTATTTTAAATTGGTCGTTGCATTCATTGCATAGAGAAAACTAGCGCACTAGATGAAATGCGTTCAACTTAACCGAAAAATGTTGAGGTTGATAATGGGCATGGTTTTGTTTTCACATATTAATAAGAAACCATTTAGCACATTAATTATCTTGAAAGGCTCAAAATCTGGACGACTTGCTTGTCCAAATACATTTTAACAATTTTTCTATGTATGAACAAACTGTTGGCAAAAATAAAATGAAATTTAGGATTTCAAAATATTTCAAAAAGAGAATTTTGTTTTACTAAAACCTTTTTTCTGGCCAATCACTTTAAGTCTGAGCAAAAAAATTAATCAAAGGCATATATATGAATCACAAAATTTTTAATGAAAATGTCCAACATTACCAATGACACAGCAAGGAACGTATAACAAATCAAGTTTCTACCTCCCTGGTGAAATGGTCCGTGGTGTTTATGTCCTTTTATGTGATATTTGACATCATATACCTTCATTCCAGGTGTACCTTTAAACAGATAAAGTAATAAAATCAGCACAAGAACGTATTGGTAAGTAAAGTACATTCATTCTGGAAGAGCAAAGGAAAACACAACAACAAAAAATCCTTTTTTCTCGTATAATGGCATGAATTCCGCAGGTACTAGTACTGACGATATGGACAAGTCACTCGCGAAAATCTAAGCAAAATAATTATGAAAAAGGCTATCAACATTTCCACTGTCATAAGCAATCATCTACATGATTTATGTAACGTTTAACATAAAAGTTTACATGTTTTACCGGTTTAAAAGTTTACAAATAGAAAATATATTATTTTGTTTTTAGAGTTTTTTTTTATTGAATTAGCAATTATTTCTTATCTTTTTGTTAATACAAAATGGCTGCTAATTTATGTCAATGTACTTCTTGAATTATATTTCTTGAATACAATAATATGTCGCATCCATAAATGTATTTATCTAAAATAAATGATAATTTATGTATGTCGGTTGTTTGTTTTCGAAATTTTTCTCAGTTTGATTTCAGATAAAAACAAGACACAATATAGTGAAATTGTCATTTAATGCTATTTAAATGACTAAATGTGAACAATGCATAATAGTTAAACATACAAATTTAAAACAACACAACATTTCAAATGAATGCAATTGTTAGAAATACAATTATGCAACAATGCAAAAAATATCAACTATTATGCATGTATGGGAAGAGAAATCAAATGTTGGTTAACCATCAAAACGCCACATATTGCAAACAACTGCCTAGTTTGCAATATAGGGTTTTTTCTTAGGTCGTATAATTACATGCATTAAGGTTATTTATAAAAGGTTTTACAACAACGTGTATGAAGTAATTCAAACATAAAAAGAAAAAAGGTTTATCTTAATGTTAATAGTTTAAGGAATGTAGTGTAAGGATGCAATCATATTAAAAGAAATAACATGTTTTTCTTGTCTTTATTGACATCTGCTCTGCCATTTTGTACAACGATAACTTACAAGTAATATGAACACCTACATAATAAAAAGGCTTTTAAAAACTTCAATATTATTACCAGAATCAGGTATCGTCTTCTGCCAATATTGATTAGAAGTAAACATACTGGTCGGTTGTATAAATAGGTATTTTATTAAAACGATTCATCAACAATATTGATTGTAGATTTAAAGTTGATGAAAAAGAACGTTTAAGGAAATAAATGTCGATCCACTTCTGAAATTGGAAACATATTAAAATAAAGAAAATAAGATAAATAAGGAAAGAAAATAACACTGACCATCTAGTGAAATCTCCACATCTCCAGAAGCAAGATGCGCTAGTTTCGGACGAGGAACATCCGCGGAAAACACCGACACTATTAGGCAAAGGAAGCACACGACAATCATGCCCAAAGTTTTTGTCGCTGCGTTGGCAGACGATATGTTTAAATGTAAAAAAAGGTGCATTTATATTAATATCTTATCAGAAGTTTTGATAACGTGCCCTTTATGTCAAAATTGAGGCTATAATCTTTGCAACAATGACGTCCCTGCCATTTTTCACCAAATATACATTGACCTTAAAAAGGATAAAATCTTTCTTAAAGCTGTAAATGCGAATACAAAGTTCCTTTGCATAAAACTTTTAAGTATAGTGAAACAAATAACAATTCAATCAAATATTATAATGTATGGAATCACGTATCCAGTATATGCCGATGCACTTTTATGGAAAGCCATAGCTGTCTGATATTGTTCTTTTTCAATTTATGTAACCATTTGGATAATAATTTATATGAGTTCACTTCGACTATATATGAATTGAAAACACCTTTTTATTTAACCGGAATTCATTATATTAATCCTCAGTTACAATATATGAAACCATACTGTCAGTGTATGAAACCGAGTTAGCAATATATAAGTTGATTTACTCAATATATGATTTCAATTCTTCAATATATGGTACCAAAGTAGCCATGTATAGAACCAGATGTCCTTATATGAAACCGAATTATCAATATATTAATTCATTTTTCAATATATGAAACCAATGTATCAATTTATGAAACCAAAGTAAAAATATATAAGTTGGTTATTACATTATATGATACCAATTCTTCAATATATGGTACCAAAGTAGCCATATATGGAACCAGATGTCCTGATATGAAACCGAATTATCAATATATTAATTCATTTTTACAATATATGAAACCAATTTATCAATGTATGGAACCAAAGTAGCAATATATGAGTTGGTTATTACATTATATGATACCAATTCTTCAATATATGGTACCAAAATAGCCATGTATGGAACCAGATGTCCTGATATGAAACCGAATTATCAATATATTAATTCATTTTTACAATATATGAAACCAATTTATCAATGTATGGAACCAAAGTAGCAATATATGACTTGATTATCACTTTATATGATACCAGTTCTTCAATATATTGTACCAAAGAAGCCATATATGGAACCAGATGTCCTTATATGAAACCGAATTATCAATATATTATGTCATTTTTACAATATATGAAACCATTTTATTAATGTATGGAACCAAAGTAGCAGTATATAAGTTGATGTTACATTCTATGATAGCAATCAAAATAGCCTATTTTCATGTCAACAAGTCAAAGGCCGAGGTCACTGGGTTCTGTTATTACAATGCATACACTTTTTAATGAAATTAATTATTATTTGACTGATTATTTTTAAACTTTGTGAGTAGATTAACCTTGATGTGTCCTACTGGCCATGCCCATTTTTGATCAAAGGTAAAGGTCGAGATGAACTTATTTTTTAAATATGTTTTTGTTAATGATCAGTACGACTCAATAGCTTAAATTATAACATACAATTCGTACATATATAACGATAAGTTTTGCCTGCCCAGCCCATTTGAAGTGAATGTGACGTTAAATTCAAATATTTCCTTATTTAAAAATTGTGCAGTATGCAATCAGTGGAGCACGCTGGTTATTTGACAGTTCAACAAGGAATATTGGCGCGAAACTGTAATACCGGTGCAAGGATAGAAAAAGTAAATAAGAAATTCTAGGTAGATCAAAGGTTTCAAGATAAATAATCTAGAATATAATAGAACTATCTCAATTTGCGGATGATACAGATTATTTGACGGGTCAAGCAATTCTTTAAATAAGGTATTAATGTTTATCAAATTTTACGCATCTATCGGGATTTAATGTAAAATTTGATAAGACTTTGAATTTGAATGTAATTTGAAAGGAAAAATAAATATACATCAAGCAGTATAAACACAGATAAATTAGCACCAGTATAAACACAGATAAATTAGCACCAACTATTTTTTAAGTAAATTAAATTATGACAACCCTTTTTGCACCTTTTGCAAAAATGAAAAAGATATAATTGAACATTGTTTTCGCAATGTAGTTTTGTAAAGGACATCATAGTGTATTTTAAAGCAAAAGAGAAAAATTTTCCAACATTATATGCCGGTGTATGGTTTTTGATTTTATGTATTAGAAACGTTATTCAAAAACTAAAAATCTAATCTTTATACATTTACATTTAAATTGCAAACGAGTATTTTGTAGGAGTTAAAACTACATAACATATTGTTAGAATAAATTGAAAAAGAAAATTATGAATAACAATTTTGAAACTTTTTCATCATGGAATTCTTATTATTCCCATTTTACCAAATATGAAGACTTTATTTTTACTCTCTTTTTACCTATCCCAAAACTGCACAAACTATTACTTACGCTCCAAATATTTTTAGAGATAATGAAATAACTAAACTTAAGTATTCAAAAATTGATTTAATATGGCTAATTATATTCACAAGTAGGGAAAAATACTAATCATATATAAATAAAATTGTTTTCTTACGGTATTTGTACTTATCATATATTTTTTATTTTGCGTACGAGGACATTACAATCACACGACATAGCAAACATATAGCAAACATACGTGTAGCAATATAATTTTGATATTTGTTAACTCGCGATATTTGGTATATCAAATGACTCGAGGGACGTTCATATAAATTAATCATTTGTGTTATGTAACGGCCATACATATCTTTCAAAGCAATATCGTTTAGAAATCATTTTTACTACTCTTTAACGGCAGAACAGTTCACCTGTTTGGGCACCAGATTAGGCACCCTTCATACAATGGAAAATGACACCATCTAAGGCACTGCAATAGTCATATCGACGACTTTTATATTTTTGTAATAGATATTTGTTTGTTTTGAATGAATATGCTATATTATACAATTATTGACTTGTGACCCATTGAATATGATGTGATATTCACCGGCAGATGACATATTGACCGAGGCGATAGCCGAGGTCAATATGACTTTCTGCCGGTGAATATCACATCATATTTAATGGCTCACTAGTCAATAATTGTTTTATTATATGAATAGTCTAATTAATAAAAAAAATCACAAAAGTACAACCTTATATACATGTTCAAATTTTGTCACGTTGAAGCGCGGGAAAAAAGACGCACGTGTTAGGCGTGCAACGACTAGTACGCGAACGCTGCGCATACAAAAATAATTCAAGTTTATACTCATCATTGCAGTGTAGCCTTATAGTATAATAGTAAAGTAATGATATTTCAATCGAGAAATATGCCATAAAGAACAAAAAGCAACAATTATTTTTTAATCAGCACGCCTAAATATCAGTCTACGGTGTATGATCATTGAATATGAGTCTCAATCTATTTTTAGACTGGGAAAATCCAATTGAGCCAGTGAATATGATACTACACCCAGTGAATATGAGTTTATAAAAAGTTCTGTTGACTACTGTTTGGACCAATGAGATTGCAGCTATTTTTAGATCATATAATAAATCATGATGACAGATGAGAAAAAATGTTTAAAATTGTGGATGTTTTCTTACTACGATTTGTTGATGTTTAACATATTCACGAAAAGCAAATACATTTTCTTTTTAATCTATATATTAAATGTTGATTCTAACATCCCTCTTGATTTTGTCACAAAGAAGAAACAAATTGTCACAACACACACACGCACGCACGCGCAATCGCACACGCACAAACAAAGAAACAAAAATTACTTAACTGCTAATAAACAAAGGTTAGATGCGGCTTTTTATCTCCGTCCGATAAGATGAATGAAGAAAGCCTTTTAAGGCAACAATAATAACACATTTAATTGATATTTTCCGTTCTTATTAGGTTATCTTTTCATATGATGCTAGAATAACATTTCACATACACCACAGATTTAATCATCAGCAGTTTTACAAAATTTTCGGCAGTTCATAAGCAGCGAAATAACGTCATCCTTAATCATTAAGCCGCCAGAATGAGGTCATTTTAAATTGCCATTGGTGGGAGACCCATTTATCGGGTATCGATGTAAACAAACACAATCCAGTCGGACATGTACGTTTAAACAAGTTAAGCTTACCAAATTCTTTCAAGGGAAACCCGTTTTGATGCGAAAAGAAAAACCCCACTCAGGCTTACGCCTTTCGTGGCTTTTCCTACGTGTCATAACCCAAAACTGGTATTAAACACTGACGTTCGGGACATTTGTCTAAAATTGTGGTCAAATTATCAGAAACAAATCTCCCGCAAGAAATGCGTTCATTTTCGCAACATGTTTTATCTCAATATCTTGATACTTGAGGATAAAGCATTCCATTTGGTTGATAATTTATTTGTGTAACCTCTTTTTCTCAGGGGTTTTAATCGTTATCAGATGTTGACGACCTAGTCGATTTACTTCAAAAATGAAATTGAAAGTACAATTCACACAACTAGTTACGTGTATAGATAACAATTTGGCACAAATGTGCCCTTTGTATGCACAAAATGTTGCATAGGATTTGAAAATACCAGTTTGTACAGGTATATGAGAAGATTGCTGATAAAACAAGGAAGTCGTAACAGGGTTTTGAACTTCATTGTTTCATTCATATAAATATAGAATATGTATGTGCGTGAGTGCATACTTACATCATACAAAAAAAAAGAAAAGAATAAAGATCAACAAGGCAAAGGCAACGTTCACAGGACGCGGCCCCCGACACACCCAAGCATGGCACCCAGAAGGCACCAAACAAAAACCCGGAGCGGACACAAGGGTGAAAGGAGTGGGACATGTAATGTGAAATAATATCAACTAAAACGGGCCCATAAAGGAATTAAAGTGATAAGGGCTGTAAGGGTGAAAAGGTGGGGAGGGGGTTAAAATGGGTGTGGGGGGGGGATTGAGAAAATACCTACCGTCAACGACAATCCAACAAGACAGACATCACAAAACATGTAAACATCCAAAACAAGTTATAATACAGACATGAAAAAACACGTGAAGGAACTCAGAGGGGTACCGCCTTGGAACGGTCAGTGGTAGTTAACAACTGGGGAGTTTAAACATAAACTGCTTAGTGCTAAGCTACTTTAAAGCTTTGTAAGTGACATGAAACATAAAATTTTCACATTAAAAATAAATCTTCATGTCTATACACCTAAATCAAATATATGTCTTGGTGGAAAAACATTTTGTAATGCAACAAATTATACCAAAATCTGCGAACAAAAACAGAAATTTCTCTATATGCCTTGTTGTTATAATAAAAAATTGAGGTTTATTAATCAAATCTTGTCTTATTTCACTTTACAAGAAGTGTACACTCGTTCTCTATCAGAATTATGCACCAAAGCCGTTACTTTCGCAAAACTTGAACACTCATTAACAGTCACTTTACATGTTTAACAAGGGTGCCATAGTCACAAAATACGCCCGTTTACGAAAGCTTTAGATGGAGATGGGGGCATTATGGATAAGTGTTATCTAGCAAGCAAGTTTTTATTCTTGGCACTGTGTTGTTAAATGAACCTTAAAACAAATCAGTAGGGAAGATATGCACAGGATGTGTGACCTTGACCTTGGTCGCAGGGACCTGAATTTTATGCACGGCACTCAGCCTCACAATGATGAACATTTGTGCCAAATTATATTGAAATCCCTCTATGCATGTAAAAGTTTTGCTCCAGACAAGCGTTTTTCTATGAGCTCTAACTGTGACCTTCACCTTTGACCTAGAGACTTGGTTCATGTGCAGGGCACGTAACGTCTCATGGTGGTGAACAATTCTATAAAGTAACATTAAAATTCCTCCATGCATGTAGAAAATATGCTCCGGACAACATCTGGATATTTAATCATCTCCAGTGACCTTGACCTTGCAAATATTAACCTAAATTAAATGTGTCACACCTGTAGTCATTATAGTTACCATTTGTGCTACAATCCATCAATAAATGATGACTAAATGGTCCCTATACACATCTTCAAATTTTTATCTGAACTTTGACCTCTATGTGTAACCTTGACTTTGGTCGCAGGGATCTGAATTTTGCGTGCCTCACAATGGTGAACATTTGTGCCAAGTTATATTGAAATCCCCCTATGAATGTAGAAGTTTTGCTCCGGACAAGCGTTTTTCAATGAGCTCTAAGTGTGACCTTGACCTTTGACCTGGAGACCTTGATCATGCATGGAGCAATACATATCATGGTGGTGAACATTTCCATAAAGTATTATAAAAATTCTTCCATACATGTAGGAGATATGCTCCGGACAAAATCTGGATATTTCACCATCTTTAGTGACCTTGACCTTGCATATATTGACCTAAAGTACATGTTCACAGCCGTAGTCATGATAATGACCATTTGTGTTACAATCCCTCAATAAAAGTTGATTAAATCGTCCCTATACACATCTTCATATTTTTATCTAAACTTTGACCTCTATGTGTGACCATGACCTTGGCTGCAGGGACCTGAATTTTGTGCGCGACACTCCGCCTCACAATGGTGAACATTTGTGCCAAGTTATATTGAAATCCCTCTATGCATGTGGAAGTTTTGCTCCGGACAAGCGTTTTTCAATGAGCTCTAAGTGTGACCTTGACTTTGACCTAGAGACCTAGTTCATGTGCGTGACATGGCTTCTCATAATGGTGAACATTTCTATGAAATTTCATTAAAATCCCTCCATGCGTGTAGGAGATATGCTCCGGACAAAATCTGGATATTTCATCATCTTTAGTGACCTTGACCTTGTATATATTGACCTAAATTATATGTATCACAGCCATAGTCTTGATAATGACCATTTGTGTTACAATCCCTCAATAAATGATGACTAAATGGTCCATATACACATCTTCATATTTTTATCTGAACTTTGATCTCTATGTGTGACCTTGACCTTGGCCGCAAGGACCTGAATCTTGCTCGCGACACTCCGCCTCACAATGGTGAACATTTGTGCCAAGTAATATTGAAATCCCTCTATACATGTGGAAGTTTTGCTCCGGACAAGCATTTTTCAATGAGCTCTAAGTATGACCTTGACCTTTGACCTAGAGACCTGGTTCATGTGCGCGACACTGCTCCTCATAGTGGTGAACATTTCTATGAAGTTTCATTAAAATCCCTCCATACATGTAGGAGATATGCTCCGGACAAAATTGGACGCCGCCCGCCCGACCGCCAGGGGCGTTCCCATAATACGTCCCGTTTTTCAAACGGGCGTATAAAAATCATGTGTATGCATAAAATGCATACGTCATTTGATAAAGCCTGTAAAAACTGCTTAGAACAAATGCGTTGTTTTGTGTAGTATAATTTAATAGATTTGTTGTAATGAAAAAATATCAGTAACAGATAAAAGACCTTTAAAATGCTTTAAATGACACTGAAGACAAAGTTTAAAGAATCATAGATAGAACACAATGTTATCATTTTCATTAGATCTATTTTACCAGGAGAAATGGTTTTAGACAAAACAAAAGGAAAGTTCACGCAGTACCATGTGTACCATTTAAACTAAAGAGAAACTTAAAATACTAAAGTAGTGAGGTGTCCATATTAGCTCAATGTTTCTTTGGTTAACTCCACACTAATAAACGTGCAAGTTTGTTTTACACACCATGTCTTCCATGACTTAATATTTCAAAACAAAATTAATTAATTCAAAGAGAACAGTAGATGATTTTATCTTTAAAGCAAAATCAGATAATTATGTTGCTTTTGTCAAATGTAATGAATTTAGTAATATTTAATGTTTTCTGAACCCAGTTGAAATGTAAAAAATGTATTATCAAAATAAAAAAATTCATGTTCCGCACGCAATAAAAAGTGTTATCTCCAGAACCGAAGTAATTAAGGTCGCATAAAACATATCCGTTCTATCCAGATTCAAATTTTTGAACTTCTACAAGTGGATTTTATTCCATCCTGATTCAACACGTGCTTCCATATAAAATACTTTGTCTGATCTAACGGTAAAAAAAAACACAGGAATAAACCATTGTTCAGCTTCATGACCAATGAGTATCATTTCGAAGGCCAAAACGAAAAGCTTTAGGAATATTAATGCAAAAAGGATTCTGGGACTAAACAGGCTTTAATCAGTATTAAAACAGCAACGGTATTATAAGTTAGTTTTATTACGTAACCAATATTAACATTGTTTCATCTCAACATAATCGATTTCCATGGCAACATCATCGCCATGCCAAGAACCAAGCCAATTGTTTCTAGCGTTCCAAAAGTCAGCGTTTTCGTGTGGTGAATCATTCCTCCATGGTTTAGGCGAGTTGTACGTCCATCCATCAGGGAAAAATCCGCTGGTACCACCAACAGCAACATTCAGAATCAAATAGAACTGAAATTATGATTAAAATTTGCATATAACCATCTGTTAAAATTTGTATTTACATGTATCAAGCTCAAACTACAAAGAAAATTTAAAAAAAAAACTATATTTGTTTTCATTGCGTTGGATGTAATACTAATATAAATAGAGTAAATTAAATTCAACACAGCATCCGTGAAACAAATACTTTTAGGCGTTCTAGGTAGAGCAAGTGTGCAGTGGTTATTTATGATGCATCAATAACCTTTAAAATTAGCAACTGATAAGACATACTTGAACTACAAAGCATACACGTAACTATCTGACTAATCAGCCTCGCTAGCAAAAAAACATCATCAAAACATGAGTGGCACACGTGGATCTTATGTGTTATACTAACGTGTAATTGATCGAACGAACATTTTGTTAATTATTCTCTATACATGGAAAAATTTCAATTTCCACTGGTTTTTGTTTAGTAAAAAAAGTACATTTTACTAGATTACCGGTTGATCAAAAGGAGCTGCCTTAGTACCGCTACCCCAGATATTGCTGCCACTAAATCCTCCTTTTTGCCAGAAACTCTGGTGAATGGGGATGTTCATTATTTCCCGGTTATCAACAGTCACGCTTAAATCAAATGAATAACAAAATAGAAGAATATTCAAACGGCTTGATACAGGTATTCAATATTTAACATTAGTGTAGGTTGTTGTATTTACCTATAAACTTGTAAACTGTTGTGACAATTTTAGAACACTGAGTGGGACAACCGTTTTTGGTTAACGACCATGATCAAGTCTACAAAATACTTTTACGAAATAATTTTGACTTTTTATAAGGTGTATATGAGCCTAAGAGCGAAAAAAAAACCGATAGATTTACGTCTCTTAGCAATCCTTATATTGCTTGACAAGCCTGCCGAAGTAAACATAGTAGTCTAATCACCCCTTAAACTTTTCGTTGTTCTTTTTTATGTACTTTAAATTATTAATAGTGGAAGGAGAAAAAACAGAGTTCAAAACAGTAAGAAGTACATTTTGCAACAACAGAGCCAAAAATAATCCTACCGTATATGGTCCACAGTCCAACTAAGATGATAACAATGAATGGCATGACTCCAATCTCCTTGACTGAAATAGGAAGTATATAGCTCAACTCTTGCATGCGACCGAGCAAAGTATATTTGTTTTAAATTGCCTTCAAATTTACAATGCAAGTGAAGGTCTATCTATCTATGGTGTGTTCAATTGTGTGTTAAGCTGAATATATCGGAAACGAGCAAATATTCTAATTTCTGTTAGATTATTTCAAACATAAGCAGTCATGATATGGGTCAACCATTGTTTTTATAACAGAAAAGTGAAGGTGACGCTAAAATCAAAATACGGACATAATATAATTCAAAGTAGAAAAGTTTGAAGAAAGCGCTAACAGGAGTGGAAAAAATGATCACGTGATTTGATTGTCAATGTATTTCTTAAAACTTACAAAAAAATCAAAAGGATGGCAACCAACCCTAGCCATAACTTTAAGACTCACGAAAATAAATGTTTTTTTTTTTAATTGCTTATATTTCGGCATAAAAGACATATCAAATCATTCTGCATTTCTTCAAAGATCTTATATCTGATAAACGGTTTTAAAAAAAAGTTTAATTAATCAAGCCTGTCGAAATTGACAGAAACAGAAAACACAGAACTAAGGTCGTTGACATTCTACAAAACACAGTAAAATTTAAAAGAACAAGAAAATCAAAAAATTTGAAAGAGCAGATAGCAAATATTTTGGAAAAATCACTAAGCCAGTACATACATATCTCCATGTGTAAGTGTAAATCTATTTTGACCAGCATCAGGTCCCCAGTGCATAGTTGCTCCAACTTCATTGACACCATGATTGTGTCCACTACCATCAGTGGCCTGTGAATTGCCTAAAGATAGATTTTAACAATATTTCACAAAATAAAATACCTTGTCCAAACATAAAGGTATTTTAAAATACAGCAAAAGTTGTGAAAAACATTCAAATTACCAACACTGTAGTAATGATTCATTATAAGGACTTTTTGTTCAAACTTTAAGTTCATTCTGTCACTCCAACTTTTCCAAAATAATTATTTGTGTATATGTTCTAACGCTGTAGAATAACTCGCGCTTAAATCGTACTGATTACAACTTCCAATTTAATTCTGAGTGAATATCTTTTCTATGTTTTTTTTTCACATTTTTTTCGTTATATTGCTGATCTAAGTAGGATTTTCAATTTTATGTCTTTAGACATATGGACCTCAGTGGAGTTTCCTAAAGTGCATGAAGTTATATATGTTCCGCCCATGTATTGTAAAATTATTGTTTATATAAAGATTTAAATGATTACAAAATACCTAGAATAGAAATAATTGAAACTGATTTTGGCATGCATGAAATCATCGCAAAACATACTATTAAAATAACAGTTGGCTTATAATTTTCGTGTATATCAAATCACATAGATATTCTTTGTTACAAATCCTACCAGAGACGACCATTGGTAACGAAAATACATTAACTGCTTTGTTTTAATTCATTACAGAATCATTCACCAGATATACCTTTAATGTTTACGTGGAAAAAATCACGATTTCTACATACACAAATAAACAAGAAAGAATACATTTTAGAGGCTTATTACAATTACAGGTATTACAATTAATGTAAAAGAAAAAGGACGAGTTAATAGCAAATATGTGAGCCATTCTCAATATGCACTTCCTCATTTCGACGCCTTTTTTCAGGGTGCCGAAGATTACTTATTTCTGTCATATGTAACGAATATCCGGTCGAGGACATTGGGCGCTTGCAAGGCTTTCGGATGTACGGTCCATGGGCGGGTACCCACAAGACGGATATTTCGATATGAACCTAAAACACGTTAGATTTTATTTCTTGCATATTCTACCAAATCTAATCATATTTCAAAAGGTCAACCTCATTAAATTAATCATACGTTTTCTTGGAAATGAATGTGATTTCATCCGTACCTATTTTCCTTTAATAGCGTATGAAATTTATAACAGCAAAAGATGTCATCCTAGACATGCAGTTTCATTTTAAAATATGATAACATGACGTCATTTCAAAGAGTGCGACACATCTGGAACTCCCATGACAGATGAAATTTCTAGGAAGGGTACAACTAACGGTTACGACTGTTTTATACCGGTATGCATTAAATAATATTCCGACTATTTGCTTACCTCTGCTTTCCATTATATCGATTTCTCCAGACCTAGGCCATTGGCCATAATGACTGTCTCTAGGCAACATCCAGATGGCTAAAATAGAAATATATTTATAAATTCTACCCAACAATAATGCTAATTTTAATCTCGGTTACTAAATGTAAAATATCAGAACTGAACAAAAGATTATTTATTTTCAATATATTTATTGCCAATATCATTTTTTTTTAATTTTCAATAATGTTTATTTGTGTAAATTTGGCCTTAATGCCATTTTTTGTCTGCACGTATGTAGATGAAGTGAATGCAAGTTCTGTAAAAATGTAATATGTAAGTTAATCTGATAACCTGGCCAAATCCAGTTCTCCCCCTTGGTACTCTGGCACAAACAGTAACCTCTCCAAATCTGATAGTGCTTTTTGATTTTTAATTTGCCAGACATTACTGGTGGTAGGAGACCATCTTTTCCAGCTCTATAACAGCCCCAACGGTCGGAGTTCGTACAGTATCCGTACATGGACTGAATATGAATATTTTTTAAATAAAGTATCATTTATTTTTAAAAGATTATATATTTGAATATATAAAAAAAAATTAAAGCTTTATCACATCTATTTCTAATGTTCCATTTTAAAAGCGTTTTTGTGGACAAGAGCTTTGTTGTTCAATGGTACATTTTTAGTTTTAAAGATTGATTAGCAAGTAGCATCTCTTTAGGTTTATACAGATTTTTTGAGTTTTGACTGATGTAAACTTCTAGATATTAACCTTTCAAGTCCATGACTCCGTTTGATAGTGTAGAATCGGATAGTTTTTTCGGGGTGATCTGTTGTAAGTGTCTGAAACATTATAAAAGCAAAATATGTATTAAATACTAAAAATCATTGATACAACTTTTAAGAAAAGATGACGTGTGTCAGTAAAACATTTTGCTGACAAGAGCTTTGGTGCTCTTCATAATACTGTCGATTGCATATCTATAAAACGACACGGGTAGGGACGAAATATGCCAAAAGTTAATGATATTAAATGATTATTTAAAATAGGTTATTAAAGAGAAAACGACAGTTTTTGATTTTTGTAATAGAGAGCTGTTATTAATCATTTTATAATGAGTTGGGAATAACTTACAGGTTTGATGAAAAGATGACCATTTCTAGTGAAAATATTTCTGGCCTCTGGAACGTATGCTTGGATTTCCCAGTTCTGTAATTTATGTCAATGTAATGCTCCCAGTCAGAAAGTAAATGAATATTAGTTTGTTTTGAGAAAATAAAGAAATAAACTAAACGATACTTTTCATTCTTTTCACTATTTTTACACTCCTCTTGCAAACTAACTAAGTTAAAACAAAACAATTTATTTCAACAGGTATATATTTACGGGTAAAGGGTTTTCATGTTGTTAGAATATTACTCGATTTATACAAAACAAAATAGTATATATTAATATAAGGTATACATTTACAACGAATCATGTTTTTATGTTAATAGAATAACTTCTAAATATAAATAAAAAATAGAATTTTCTTACATAACCTCCATACATAGACACTTCATAGTTCCAATGTGACGCATCAAATGCTCCGTTAAAGTCATCTCGAAATACTGTTCTACATGCTCTGAGTACCCTTGGTGGAGCAAGGACAACGCTTCTTTCCTCTGAAGAATAACATTGAATAAACAAATTATCTAGATACCAATACAGCAAGGGGATATACTGTAACCACCAAATGACCAAGCGTAAAAGTTAAAAATATGTGCACTAGAAGTAGTTAAATAGTTACTGTTTTATAAATAATGTGTAAATGATAAAAGAAATCAGACCTTAGCCAACTTGCCTTGTGTAATCCGTCAAAAAGATAAAAAATATTAAAATACCTTTCCTTAATCTTTATTTCTTTAACATTTTAAATAAGACTTATTTTGACAAAAAGTAGTACATTCTTTAATTAAATAGTTTCCATATAAAAGCCAGGCCTTTCAAACTGAATTGTTCGGTGTGAAATTACTTTAACTTTCAGCAAAAATTATCGAAGAATGGCAATACACGTTGAAATATATATATCTTGATTTATAATAGTCTCATTTATGCATAGTTACATTGATTTCATCATAAGAGATAATCAGGTCATTATATATAGCCATTCGTTGAGTAGAATTACATGAAACTTAAAGTATTTTACATATTTTACAATTAAAATCATAAATATAGTCTGTTATATTACAAATTATATACAGTATAATTATATATAACTTAACCACGTCTATATTGACATCGATTTACTTACGTGGATGAAGTTTTCCTTTTGTCACAACAGTTTCGCCATCTATCTCTCCAACAATTGTGTACTTTATCTTGTCCTTCCCATTGTATGCAGCTGCATTAATGCGATGATACCATCGCCCATCAGCTGAAAGTCAAAAGTTTAAGACTGATCAGTTTTTTCTATCCTCTTTACTCAATTATCTTTTATCAAATATACTTTTCTAAGTTTATAAACAAATAGCTATATATATGTTTATTATCATTTTATAATCTGTACAAGGATGTGAGCACTAAGAAAAAAATTAACATACAACTTGAGAGTTATCTATAGAATTTCAAAGTTCACTGATTAAATATCTACATGAGAAAAGCATCTCAAAATGTATTATTTAAGTCATCATGGGTTTTCTTCGGTCAACGCAACCACTAATATTGAAGTTGATAATTTACATGGTTTAGTTATAAAAGATAAATGAGAAACATTCAGTACATTGCTGATGTTAAAAAGGAACAAATTTAGACTTGTCTAAATCCATTTTAATAACGCTTCTTGTGATTCACGGAAAACAAAAAAGCCAACGACGAAGGCTTGACAGGTTAAGGCGGAGGCATGCATGGGTTGGCCGGTATTTGAATAAACTAATTTCAGTTTCAATGAAATTGTGTATATCAACACATAAACTCATTGCCAAATGAACTGACCAAACTGTTCATGTTTGTTCCTTCGTATTTCGTTTTCCTTGACTCAAGATGTGTTGATAAAATCGAACGATCATAAATCATGTTGACAGTTTTAGAAATGTTTCAAACTTTACAATCTTAGCGATATTGTGAATGTTTCATGCAATTGTTTGACAGAATTCATTATTTTTTTTTACTAAATTGTACCCCATTACAAACGTTATCAACGCTATAATTGTATATTCTGACACTTTAACTATGCAAGATTTAATCACTGAAATTTTGACTTGCTTTTACTGATAAGGAATTATTCAGTTCATAACATTATAACAGGCGTGACATTTTAAATGAATGAAATAGCACATGTATCATCACCCAAATGTCCGAGATTATATATTTAGTATTGTCAATGGCGTACAACAAATCAATATTTTGTACCTCCCTGGTGAAATGGTCCATGGTGTTTATGTCCTTTTATATGATATTTAACATCATATACCTTCATTCCAGGTGAACCTTTAAACAGAAAAATAAAAACAGTCAGCAAAGAAACGTTTTGGTAGTGAAATAGCAAAATGTAATATGGTTTACTCTTACTTTCGTTATTGACAAGATTGAAAAGGACTCTCGAAATTCCTACCGAAATAGATGAAAAAAGCTCTGAAGATTTGCGCTGTGTTAACCAAAAGAAAGCTGGCATAAGATAAGTTGAAAATGAAAAAGGTTTTCTTGTCATCTTTGAAAATTATAACATGATTTTCAAAATGCTAACCACTTTAAATGTACAGAAATAATAAATGATTATGTTTTCTATTTAATTTATTAATTTTATTTCATTGATATCATCTCTAGAAAAAAATCTCCATTTCACACACATGTTTGCAACTATTAGAAGCGTTTACGTCAAACAATAGTCTGGGATATCATTTACTTCAATTCTATCATTATTTCAATGCTAGAATTAGTAATCATGCTGGTTTTTATATAATACGTATATAGTTATATTGAGAAATTGAGAAAGTGGTCTCAAGAATATATTGTAAACAACGATGGTAATTATATATATTATAGTGTTATAAAACTGTATAAGATACCATAATATATGTTGCCGACCATTGTTTATCCATACAAATGTAAATGTGTAATATAACACATTCATGAAAAAGGTAGTTTGTTCAACTAGAATGAATTTTGGAGATTTACCCGTTTTATGCAAAGTATCAGAACTCACTTTTTACATTGTAGCATATTAAAGCTTTAAGAACGTCGGTCAATGTTTAGTGAAAATTGAACAACTGACATTGCTTTTGTACTAACTATGGTTTTATCCAATTATTAGGAAACAGCAATATCACCGTTTTACTTAAAATATACAACTTATTTGTGTGTAAGAGAATTTTTTTTTATTTTTTTTTCAAATCAAAATTTGATGTTTTCATTGTAAAGAAAAACTCTCATTAAAAAACGTCAAACTATAAAACAACACATCATGCGTTGCGTATTTGCAATACACAGACACGTATTCGAAGCTATGTGTAATTAAAAAAAATCTTCAATTTGTTGTCCGGAATAAGGGTGTAACGATTAAACGGGCTCGGTCGGTTTTTGACCAAAAACAGGTTGAGGAATTAAATAACTGGAAACCAACCGAGGTTAGCATAAGACCAACAGATAAAGGCATTTCAGATTGGGTTTTAACATTACCTTTGTTTATTTAAGACAATATATGACATATTGTTGAATTATAATGTTGCAGTAATGATTGCATGATATCTAATTGTGTACGGTACAACACTTTTTTTCCATAATCAGATATGTTTTGTAATTGTTGTCGAGTGTAATTAAATAATAACAAAAGGTACGGTTTACGGGATTACTGTTTAGCGATATTCGGTTCTGTGGGTGCTGAACATTTAATATTAAATCAATAGGACGCTCTTGTCAAATGAAAAAATAACTATCTAACCATGAACAAATTCATGCAAAATTGATGTTTTCAAAAGTTTAACGAATAGAGTTACTATCATCCAATGGTTCACAAAACTAATTTCAGATATGCATTAACAAAAATTTACAAAGCTTAACATGATTTAACCCTTCAAAATACTATGAAAAGAATGACTGCTTCGTTTCATTATTTAGGTGTTTACTACATGAACACTGCAACATTATCGTTTATCCAATAATATGCCTTCATGCAATTTAAGTAAATGAATAAGAATGAATTAAAATGAATATATACCAAATCAGAATCAAAGAAATCCAACACTACGATATAAAATCACATCCACTTGCATAACTTTATATGTCCGTTGGAACGCAAAAAAATCGCCTGTTATTCCATGTGTTCTGCCCGTTTGATTGATTTGGTTAACATGCTACCAATTTACAATTTTTAAAACATCCAAGTATTAATTGACGTAAAGTGACTATGAATTCCAATAAAACATATAGCAACCCATGTTCTTATCTATAAAAATAACCATAAAACTTACAAATGTACACAATTTACAGTAACTACGTTTTTTATATCTGTGTTTTATTTTATCTCCAAATCAAAAAATATACATGTAGTATATATTTACGGCAGTCCTTTCTTGTGTTAAAATACACTCTGTAAATAGACAACTAATTCTCTTCACTTGTTTAAAAGATATCATTATAGATAAATCGTTAGCAACGGATGATTTTGCTTATTGCATGAATAATATCAATTATCATTACGTGCGAATTTTCTTTGTACTCTTTTCTTTACTTCCTACGCTTTTTTGTTGTTGTTGAAGCATAAAATATATTTTAGTAGCATGCATTTGTCTATTAGGGTCTTACGTACATCTTGGATTTTAAAACTTTATCTTTAGTTTATTCTTTCAAAATACTTACCTAAATAAGACTTAAATTAGTTAATTTAAAGTCTATAAGTTAGTGTAAAGAATCGAAACATAACGCTTGCAATCGTACTTTATCGTGACCTTTATAACATTTTATCGTAATGGATACCACCACCTACATTCACTTTTCGATAAGTAAAATCCAAGGTACACTACACCTATAATAAACACTGTCAATTATATTTATTTAAGAGCTATACGTTCATCATATAATCCATTTTTTTTTATTTACTTCTCTTAAATTTACCATAGACGAGTTTACTTGATCGCGATCACTTTGGTTGTCATGACAGTTTAAATCTATGTAAATATGTAGAAGACACAGAAATGAGCTATGCTCTGCTAAGCTAAACGAGCTATTGATTAAAAACCTCTAACTGTCGGTTGTTATTACCTTCCACAGATATTTCAACATCTCCTGAAGCCAGGTGATTCAACTTTGGTGTTGGTATTTCAGCCGAGAGAGCGGCCGCTACCAGCAAACTACACAAAACAACGGCAAACATTCTTTCTATCCGATGACTCTAATTGCAATCAGTTCAGTCGTGATACTAACTTCAAATTGAAATGTCTGTACTTATTGTATGGATCTGATATATAGTCTTATCTCTATCCAAATTATGACATTAAACTGTGTTATGTGCAAGCCTGGTCGTATTCCTCTTACATAAATCAGGACAGGTCATATAAAATGGCATCAGTTTAGTGAATTGTTGTTTTTGTTGTTGTTTTTTTTTCAAAGTACTAGTATCGCCTCTGGAAGGGATACACTTTAAATCAAAGCCATTTTTTAGAACATACACAAATTGTCTTTGAGAATTTCAGCACACTCAAAGTTTTTTACAGTCTTTAATTTCAGAGATACTGCAAAATGTTTGATACGTGTCCTTATTAACAATACACTTTTCATGATGGCTTGACTACAGGCATCCCATTTTGCATTTTTTCTTTCCCGTGACATATAATTCTTATGTAACATGTTCACCAATGATTGCAAAATGTTATGGTACTTTTCCATCGGTTTTAACTAATTTGAGCATGACCATAGGTTTCATTCAGGACTAAAAGCAGAAATTCATTGAAATCTTCCCATTTTGCAAGTGCTTATATGAGTACTGTATGAAGTAAAAGGTGCTCGCTCTGTAAACATATACTAGGTATTGCGATTTTCTTGACATTCTTGAATATAGCGTCAGACATACGTTAAATCTCAACGTCAAAACTTCTTACTGACCACTCATCCTGTTTTGAAGATAATGTATTTCTTTTGTCAGCATATAGTCGAATATTTTCTTGAATATTAGAAATCCTGTCATTAATGTATACTAGAAAGCCTTAGAAAGACCTCTAAGGACTCGAGTATTGATATTTAAAAGTTACAGAAGTATTTGATGCAATGACCCCTTGTTTTCTTATAGCACGATTCTAAGAGAACCACTGAAGAAGAAACTTTTGTACGCCGATAGAAGAAAGTTTGTATAGGAGTCCTTGATGCCAACTAAAGAATATCGAAAGCGTGGAGTATATCACAAAATGAAAACAAGTTTTGTTTCATCTGGGGCTGTTGTGAACGGTTAGATGATATATTGTTGAATGCCTTGTAATGAAACCAAAATTTAAATGGTTTAAGAAAATTATTGGAAATTACATACAGTAGTTATACAAGTATTAATGGATACATCTTACAATAACTTTTCCGAAATAGCTAAGGAGAGATAAAGGTCTGCAGTTACATGTTTTGGAAGGATTATACTTTTAATAAGTTAAACATACATTGGCAAGTTTCCAGGGAGAGGGAACTACATATGTTAATAGAAGTTTGTTGAAAAACCTTGCAAGTGGTAATGTTAGTCTGAACCAGATGCCTTAACTGACGGAGTCATGAGTAATGATAGTTAAATGAGGAACATTGTTAATTCATTGATTTCTTTTCAGGAAGTTCTAACAATTCACACCACTAAATGTTCTATAATAGAGTGTTATTGGGACTAATTAGGCCAGTTTTCTATGTACATGTAAGCATTGAACAAACTATAAAACATGTAGTGGTGCTGAAGTGTTTCACATCAATTACTATTTTCTCCATAATCAATGATGTGGTCTAGTTAGATATTCACAAGCACTCATTTGTATTACAAAATAAAAAAACCCTTATATGATGGTCTTTTATTTTACGCCACCATGTATAAGATAAGTACCTGAGAATTTTAAATATTCATCAAAAAACTTATTTTATTCTAGTAATTTTACATAGTTACATTACATTTAACATTGTTGCATGTCAATATAATCGATTTCCATGGCAACATCGTCTCCATGCCATGATGGTAGCCAGTCAGCTCTATGGTCCCAGAAGTCCTTAGGTTCGGTTGGTGAATTGTTATTCCATGGTTTCGGTGAATTATATCTCCAGTTGTCAGGGAAGAATCCGTTTGTTCCAGCAATAGCAACATTTAGAATCAAGTAAAACTGCAATGCAAGACAAGTGCTCGTATATGGCAAAAGTATAGCCCATTTCACTACGATTTCTCACGTAAATTAGCGAAGTGCTACGATCAGATTCCGAGCATATAATCAACTGACCAATCAAATGCTGGTGGATGCATGTACAATCTATTACTAATAATAGTAACATAAAAATAAACAAAGGAAATTTACATGGCGGATTCTTACCACAAAGTTGAAATATTTCGAGAAATATGCCGTTATACGGCATAGTTAACTCATTGACGATAATACATCAGTTTAAACTTCCTCCTTTACCTAACGCCACGATAACGAGTCGATATCGACTTTACACCTGTCCTGCATGTCACATATATGCGGCTAGATAAGACTTGCTTTACTTCCCGGTCGCCACGTTGTAGTGTCGAGGTATTCCCCGAGAATATTTAAATATAAGCCAATCAGAAATCGTCAGCATTTGAGACCGATGCGGAAGATAATCCATTGGATTCTGATAATGAAATGTTTAAATTTGACATCAGAAAGCAGTTTAAAAAATGAAAGTAGGGATTTTGACTGAAGGGGATTATGTCCGTACACCAAAATGAAAGTGTTTGTGAGAGTTTTCCAGAAGAATAAGCATCTTTTAATTCAATAAACACTCGCTCGTCAGCCGCTGAATCACCCGCCATTGTCGTAAATATAAACAATACATGTACACTCGAGAACCAGTATTTCATTGGTCAAACATATTAGCACTTTACCTCCCACGTGATGCGTGTCTACAAATGTTTCCGATAAATTACGAAAGGCTGGTGAAATGGGCTATTCGGAAAAATAAAAGATCTATTTTAGGTTGACATTATTTGGTAGTTTAAGTTCAATGTACGACAGTCTTCAGTCGCCAAATCGAAATCGTAACGGTAAGATATGAAAATAATTTGACATGGTTTGGTGCAAACGAAATTAATAAATGAAATTAAGAAAAAAGTTCAATATTAAGATAAGTTAAAAGTGAGGAAAAGTAATAACATTGTACGAGTACATCATGTAGTCATGAGCCACCGCTAAGCGGCGACCAAGCAAGATTTTTTTAATTTTCAAGAGCAAGACCATCAGGGTAGACCTTGTAGTAAATGGTTTACAGAACTTATTCATACAACTTGAAGACTTTACCCAAAGGGTTTTTGTCCAAGTATATATGCAATCCATTGCAAAACAAAAGAAATATGACCAACGTTGAAGTTTTCGGAAGGATACGGCATTGCAAACAGCAACGTCAACGTGAACAACAACATATAACTGTAGCAAAAGCTCACACTTTTTAAAAAAAGAAAGTTAAAAATACAAATCGTATGTCTGGCTTGCAACGGTTTATGATATAATAATTTAGTCAATTTACCGGTTGATCAAAAGGTGCTGCCTTTGTACCACTTCCCCAGATATTATTACCACCGAATCCACCTTTCTGCCAGAAACTTTGTGTTATTGGAACATCCATCATAGTGCGACCGTCAACCGATATACTAGAATAGGAAAAAACAGAGTTTTTTCTATGACAGTGCCCTAGACTATACCCAGTACTTCACAGTAAGAAAATGGGCATTACTCCGTATAAAGTAGCTCTGAGCTCAGAGTAATGAAACATGTGCCAATCATGCTAGACAATAGCTGTGAACAAATGTGTTAAGTTTAAACCCGTTCCCTTCAGTAGTTTAAGAGATACCAACTTGCGCGCAAAACCTTAACCAAATTGTGTTGTCGGAGATACCGATGTAGGTGTGGGAACAATAGCTGTCCCTATTCTTCGAATTGTCTAACTGATGATGGTAAAACAAAAGTGTAGAAACTTATTTTGTACAGTTGATAATTGAAAATTTCTACATATAATTCAAATGATCCAGCAGTGTAAGACATATAGCTGTCTTGTTAAAGGTAAAATCCGAGGACTATAACTAAAAATCTTCGGTCGCTTTTCCTCATCCAGTTTTGAAGGTAAAATCTATACATTTAAAACTTACTACAGACTTTGATAAATTATGATCTTCTATTAGAATGTAAACATGTTGTTTTCTTGATTGAATCTGATGACCTAGTTCTTTTACAAAAGATGTCCAACTTTCAAACATTAATATAAGCATTTTTAACAAATTTTGACGAATATAAAAGCAAAATGGTGACCTAAAGGCTCTTTACAAGGAGTTAACCTGCATAGAGTGGTAAAGCTCAGGTGAACTAAAATATTGGATATATTACGGTAACGCGTTCACCAAGTCAATGCAGATAATTTCGGATGACGACAATCTGTGCATAAATCACTTAGTTTATACTTACTGAATATGATTAACATCCCAATCCAGTTTGTAAGTATGCATAGAATGGCTCCAGTCACCGTGTCTAAATGAAAAAAAGAAGATCAAAATTGTCAAAAAGTAATACATTAGTTAAGACTACAAAACTTTAACAGCATGTTTCCTTAAATCTTAACATTAGACATCGGTAACAAAATGTTGAGATCTAGTCGTAAATATATATCTGTCTTTTTTATTTTTAAAATGATCGCTATTATCAATCTAACAGTTCTAGTGCTAAAAAGTTAAGAAGAGCAAATTAATATCCAACTTACACATCCCCGTGTGTAAGGTAAAACTTGTTTTGCCCTGCATCAGGTCCCCAGTGCATCGTAGCTCCTACCTCACCAACGCCATGGTTGACATTGTTTCCATCAATAGCCTGTGTGTTCCCTGTGGTAAGTTGAAACAAAATTAATGTAGGGTAAAACCCACGTAAATTGCACACCTTTTTCCGTGACCTTGATAATGAAGTAGCCAACGATTTCTGGAGAAGTAGCAATAGCAATAGCAAAATATCGTAAATATATATAAAAAATGTTCTTGTTTATTTCTGCATAACAACCATGGTTAGCAAAAATATGCGTATGTACTAATGTAGTTTAAAACAGAAAGGCAAGTGAGGATTGATTAATATCAATATAAGTAAAAGGAATATTATTGATCATATTTACCCTGTGATCACTACATGAAAAAACAACACATCTATGTTAAATGTTTAGAGCAAGGCAAGTCTACACATATATGTGCAGTCTTACCAGATTGGTATCATGGGAACAGAATTCAATTTGTGGTGATAATGCCACTTGTTCAAATTAGGTTTATTTACAACATATGCTCTGTTACCAGACTATACATGTATACTGCCTCGTATTAAATTTCTTCTTCAAATCTTTAGAAATTAACGATGAACAAGTAAAACCTCAAAAAACAACAAAATGCATACAAGTTATGTAAAGCATGAGTTATCTTAATAAACATATCAGGTACCTCTGCTCTCCATGATGTCGATCTCCCCTGATCTTGGCCATCCACCATAATGACTATCCCTTGGCAACATCCAAATAGCTACAATACACTGGTCAATTAGTAAATACATGTACTTTTAACACTGAACTATCATATCTATAAGATAATGTATACGGTACAAATTTGTCGGAATAATTGAAATGTCAACTATCGAGTATGATACTGGACAAATGTACATTTACCAAATCATGATACTAGTATCTCAAATAAGTAAAGAAATAAATTGGATATATGTGAACTCTTTGCTCAAATTAAGATAATCTGACATAAAACATTTGGGAAAACTAATACAATGCCTACGAAAATGTAATCTGATATCTTACTATACATTTATGTCAAAGTTAATTATAAAAAAAAAAAAAAAAAAAAAAAAAATAAGCTTAAGACATTATCTCCTCATGGTATGAATGCAAAGTTTTGTACAATATATAACTTTGTCATTATTGAGCCGGTATACGTATACATGTAGTATGTTTTTGCTCATTTCAAGGTTTTTTAGTATTATTAATTATGAGAATTTTTGTATCACATGTGCAGATCCATATTATATGTGTAATTTATTGTATAATGCTGTATTTATATTCATGAAAGATTCTGTATTTATTGGACAAAGTTTTTATTCCCGTGTTAACGTCACGTTCTGTTTAGCGTATAGTTAAACGGACGTTGCGTCATTTGTCATTTATTATTTTATAAACGTCATTTTTTTCTGAAGAAGACTAAACGTCGAAAGATTAAGAAAAGCGTTTGTTTTTGTTGAACTGATTATATAATTTTTATTATAAGTAAAACAAGTTGAGCCTGCATCGCCCGATTCAGTCCAACGCTCTACCCATTGAGCTATCCGGACGGTGTTTTGAACTGCATTTTAAAAACATGCATATTACATGCATTTGTAAATTACCTAAACATGTACCGATCACATTTTTTACAAATAAATTGTTGTCGAGTACTCTTTAGTAATAGAAAGAGTATCGAATCACGAGGCTATCTAATTTGTACGAGGGGGGGGGGGGGGGCGTAGCCCCTGAGTATTATTCAGATTGCCGACTGTTTCTATGTTATTTCTCTTTTGTATCATAGTCAAACATAAAAACACGTTCCCTGTTGCCACAATATGAAACCCCAGAAAAAAAGTAACCAATGAACAAGCATTTGAATATGATATTTCTACCGCCTTTCCTTCCTCTGCCGTCACAATAAGTAAACCCCAGCAAAAATGAGACAATCAATGGGTATTCTCTTGAGTGCGTATAACTTATACCTGCACTCCAGTTAACGCATTGTGCGTGTATATGTATACACATTTTCAACAGAAATGTCCCCAAACTATGATACGATCTCATTATATGATACAGTTCTATAACCTTGTACTAACATGTTTCCTTTTCGTGACGATTTATAACAGACTTGATTGTAAGGTTAAATAACGCGACGAAGTCAACTCCGAGTGACAATTGTCTCATATTCAACTGATAAGAACTAAACCCATTTATAGTGTCAGTCCTTGTCAGGTTGTGTATTTCTCGTTCCAGATAATAAATGGAACAATATTAATGACAGTGAAATGTTAAGTAATGCACTGCAATTTTTGTCCTATGACAAAGTAAATATGTTGATAATTCGTATCATATAATAAGTATTAGTTTTGTATATGTGTTAACCAAATGAATACCATATTTACACACTGTCAGTTTTATTTAAGTGAAAGATCTGTCTTTAACCCTTATAACAGAACATAATGAAACTTCAAATACCTGGCCAAATCCAATCTCCTCTTGGTACTCTAGCTCTGACCTCGACAGAACCAAATCTGATGGCACTTTTTGACTTGATTTTTCCGGACATGACTGGTGGCAACGTTCCGTATTTTCCCTCTCTCAGACAGCCATATCTGTCGGCATTGGTACAATATCCGTACATAGCTAAAGTCAAATGACAGCTGTTATTTATGTTGAAAAGGTGCCAACCACAAACTCGAAGCCCCTTTGTTATTTCAGCCTCAACGATTGCTTCCACTTAGATATACTTTCAATTAAACCGAATTTCTTGCACGTGAATCATGATTATATCTACTGTTTACACCGGTTCAAGAAAACCCTGTTTTTCTTCCCCTTGTAAGATCATTATGATCATTATGTATTAAGTATGGCCATAGCTTTCGCAGAAGCGGTGGGTCTACCGGTGCGGCGATGGAGATTTCGTCGCAGAAGCGGTGGAAAAACATGGCTGTCGGATAGTTTTTTGCTGGTGTCGGTAAGTTTATGACTTATTTGTACGTTATGTTTTTTATGTTTAACTGATAACACCTAGTGAGACTGGAGCCCACATATGTACTCTTCCAACTTATTACACGCATGGGGTGCAAACCATGACCAGTTATGCAAACACTTCTGTACAGTTTGACGAGGGGACGCCACTTTTGCCTAATTTTGTTTATAACACTACAAATGTACTCAAAACTACCCCTAGATACACTGGCATCGCATCGTATGTATGATAATTACACAAAACAACCATATTTTGGAACTTTTGGAAATTGATATTACCATTTTCATATAAGAATTTACAAAAAATGATTACAACGCAGACGGCGGTGGATTCGATTGCAACGCAGTGCGAAGGGCCCGATATCATTTATGTCTTTTTTTAAAGTTAAAGTCACAGACACTTAGGAGTTGAGCTCCAAACGCCTAAAAATACAAATGAAATATATATTTGTTAATCCTAACACATATAGTTGTTATATATATCAATGAAAGTAAATATACGCTTTTTTGAAAACAAAATGACTTTCAGATATGCTGTATATAAATGCGCTTTGAACCAGCCTTGCTATAATCGGAGTCATTCGGGATAATGCGGGTTCTCACATTCATAGCGCACCGCATTTAAATACGACAGAGCTGAGTGCAACGCTTGAATTTGTTGAAATATTTTGTAAATAAATAAAACGGCGATAGTTTACATTTTGTCACATAGTGTGTTTGTATATTGAAGATGAAGTTTGATATTGTTGAAAAAGAAAAATATGATGAAAATATATAATAAGTACCAGTAATATATGTTTAATGGATGACTCGTGTCGCCTGTTGACAAAATGATAATGTGAAAATATTGGAAATAGAATCAATTGCAAGGTGATTTGGAGGATGTGCGAATTTTTTCTAACACATTTTTTTTTATCTTGTGTATATTTTTGACGTATAAATATTTACTTTTTCTTCAAAACAGCATATATGTAAGTTTTATTGAAATATATGATAAGTATATAGGCTGGAATTAATAAATATATAATTATTAGGATTTTAAAGCAGCACGCCTCAATATTCATGTTTATTTTCATGAAAAGTTTGAAAATGTATTTATGTTTTACTTTTACCACGGTACATGTTCCTCCTTGTTAATTTGTGTCATCCTCAGTAGAGTTAAAATACAAACATAGAAATTTGATTGATAATGTCTGGCAGAGCCAGACGTCTTTATTGTCTAGAAATAGATTATGATATAATCAAAAGATTAACCAGAAACTTCAAATACGCTTTCATATAGAAAAATATTGTAGCAAACGTTATAATAGATGACACAAAGTTGGACAACAAAAACGACCAAACTGTCCAACCAAAGGAGGAACGACAGACCGTGAAAAGCAACGAAAACGAAAGAGCGACAATTTAAATTGTGACTTAAAGATTACAATTACAATTTACAAACAAAAATATACGATAATTTGAACGCGTGCATGTGCAATTCGCTCATAGGCCAATAAACAACATTTTCGTCTACCTTTTTTGTCAGGTATTTTGTAATATTTTATTTCAAAATGCATTCTATAATTTTTTATATTACATGCAGCCTATTTATAGCTTTGTACATGTTAAATAAAAATTTGATATAATTTAATGTTAACATGCTAAGTTATATTAAAAAAATGAAATAAAATTAAATAAAAAAATAGATAAAGCAATACTCAGTAAAGCTAAAATTAGTGTCACTATCAACAGATCTTATCTCATCTCATCTCATCTTATCAATGTATTAAAATGTTATCACAACTGTTCATAAGTAAAAATAAAGTTCAAAATAAATTTATGACCAATGTGTTAGTAATACATAGTTAATGATGACTCTTGTGTGTTAAACTACAAAAACATTTTGATTTGTTAAATTGATAAATTAAATTCAATATACGAGTTTAAGCTATAATTAACATTTCAGCGATACATAGTTAACATATACTTCAATATGTTGAACTAGTGTCCAAACTAGGATTTAATTTATCAAGACATTTTATAACTTAAATGAATGCATAGTTTGTAAAGAAAATACAAACTTTAGGTATTTTTTAATTCAATTTATAAGTTAAAATTACCATTAAAGCACTACAAAGTTAACATACATCCCAATATTTTAAACTAGAATCAAAAATAAGGATTGTTTTATAAAAACATATTGATAAGGTACATGATGCATAGATTGAAAATAGAAATATACATTATAATTAATTTTTAGACAACCCATACATAGAGGACATTGAATAAGTGTAAGTTCAATACTGAATTTATTGCAAGAGTTGAATAAAATTATATTATGCGAGCCTCTGACGAGCATGATATTAATTTATTCAACGAGTGCAATAAATTCAGTAATGAACTTACACGAATTTAATATTCTATTTATCACATACCCAAAATAGAGACCGTTTAAAGTGAAATAAGAGTCAGTTTTCATTGACGCGCCTATAGTATAACGCTAACATTAAGCGCGTCTTTACACTATGTTAGCATAACGCTAATGACGCTAAGGAAAGTCGCAAAATCGGCACGGGTGTGTGATAAATGTAGCTAACATAAACCCCAATATTTTAAACTAGTATCTTAAACAGGGATTGTTTTATAAAAACATATTTATAATGTACATGATGCAAAAAAGCGTATATTTACTTTCATTGATATATATAACAACTATATGTGTTAGGATTAACAAATATATATTTCATTTGTATTTTTAGGTGTTTGGAGCTCAACTCCTAAGTGTCTGTGACTTTAACGTTAAAAAAAGACATAAATGATATCGGGACCACCGCACTGCTTTGCAACCGAATCCACCGCCGTCTGCGTTGTTATCAATATTTTGTCAATTCTTTTATTAAAATGGTAATATCAATTTCCAAAAGTTCCAAAATATGGTTGTTTTGTGTAATTATCATACATACGAATGCGATGCCAGTGTATCTAGGGGTAGTTTTGAGTACATTTATAGTGTTATAAACAAAATTAGGCAAAAGTGGCGTCCCCTCCGTCAAACTGTACAGAAGTGTTTGCATAACTGGTCATGATTTGCACCCCATGCGTGTAATAAGTTGGAAGAGTACATATGTGGGCTCCAGTCTCACTAGGTGTTATCAGTTAAACATAAAAACATAACGTACAAATAAGTCATAAACTTACCGACACCAGCAAAAAACTATCCGACAGCCATGTTTTTCCACCGCTTCTGCGACGAATTCTCCATCGCCGCACCGGTAGACCCACCGCTTCTGCGAAAGCTATGGCCAGTGTGATATTATCAAATAAGGATCAAACACAGGCTGTCTCAGACCGGAGCATCTATATATATATATCTCGGGTAACTGTTTAGAGAAACATAAGCAGAGCCTTGATACCGCCGTTAACAGTTACTCTCGAGCTAGATATTCCGCTCTGTATTGGCAGTCAGTGTAACATCCATATTGTCTGTGACTTATTTTTTCATTTCGTTTTTTTTTTACTTGAGCAAGTTTTCTTGAAACGAAGCAAACATATCTATCTAAGACTACAATACGTACATGTATAAATAATTATTCGACAGAACGCCAGTAAACAAATACTTATAGCATACAACTATACACTGTAAAAGTCACATTAAAAATTGAGTACGGCTATTTGGACATTTATCATGACTTTTCATAATGGTATTATGTAAAATACTTATTACTGATAATACTGCCATATACCTTTCAAATCCATGACGTCACTTGTAAGTGAAGTGAACCTAGGATCGTCTATTGTCAGAGTCTGAAATATTTACAAAACCTTTTATGATGATCGGTAGAAAAAAGACCATTTTCTAGCTCTACGTATGGGTATTATTGCCAACATAAATGTGTTCCCTTTGTCTTGATACATGTGCCATTCACGAAGAGTCATTTTATGCCTAACGTATAGGATAAATTGTGTTAACATCTTTGTCAGATTCAAATAAATGTAGATCTCCTTAAGACATGTGCACGTACACACAAAATACACCTGTTCAAGAAGACAAGATAAATAGACACGCGTGCTCTGTAAAGCACTATTTTTCCCTTAAACCTTATATCGTCTCCTTAACTAAGAAGAAACAAACAAACACAATTATCATTTCATAATTTCATATTTAATTGCGGAAAGCACTTGGGTCGCTATACTGAAAAAAAAAAAAAGAAAGAAAATAATCGACGTGTAGAATGGTCAGTAACCCAAAGCTGAACTGACACATAACTTGACTACCGTTACGCACGAAAACTTCGTGCGCTAATCGCGACCCCTATCGGAGACTTTACACGATTGAAGGGAAAATAATTTCTTTCTAATTCGTCTGCTCAAACGAAAGAAATTATATATATCACATTACTGTATACCTGTTTTTGTAAGGAATTAGTGTTTACATAAACGATAATTTGATGAATACAGAGCTAGATAATATTTTGAAAAAAAAAACTAATAATGATGATGAACAAGACGATGCGGATAAACAGTATACACTGCCTTTTATTATATACCTATAAATTTTCTCCCTAAAATACACACAAATATTGAAGCGCAAATACGCTTCAACGGATAGAAATTTCCGTATTATGTTAGTGACAAATACGGTACCATATATGGAAGAGCCGGACAATATTTGACGTTGGTTCCGATCATAGCTTTGTATAACGTTGCATTTGGAAATGGGAACCAAAATTATTAAAGGCGTGGCAAGTTTGCAAGAATTGCGTATTCATCCGTCAGTCATGAATTTATTTCTTGACAACTGATATCAATTTTCCACCGCTGCTCGTAGAAAAATACAAAGCCTCAGATAGCTACTACAGCATAATATTCCGTATGTATTACATCTCACAAGGCTTTTAAAATGTGTTGAAAAAAGGGATCACTTACGGGTTTAATGAAAAGATGTCCGTTTCTTGTAAAAATATTTTTGGCATCAGGAACGTAAGCCTGTACTTCCCAATTCTGAAAATATATGTGTAACAAGTTTCAAACAGAAAATTTTAGAATAACTCCTTAAGTTTCTGAATAAAATAAAAAAGTAACACCTTCTCTAGCCTCCTATATTATAATGGACGGTTAAATTTCTCTTAGGAAAATTACCCGACAAAACAAACGAAAGTATTTTAAATATAAATTATCAATAACTTTTATCGTATTGGCTGTCTCAGTTTAAGTTTTGCTTTTTATTGATATGAATGGTCAAATGTTCTCTTCATTACATATGAAGTTAAGAGTGAAGTATTATTATATAATGATAATGTCCTTACATATCCACCATACATAGACACTTCATAGTTCCAGCCGTTTGGATTAAATGCTCCATTAAAATCATCTCGGAAAACTGACGAACATCTTTTGACTATTTTAGGTGGAGCAAAGGCAACGCTTCTTTCTTCTACAAAAACGGCAATTTTCTTTAGATTAATACAACCCAGAGGACAAATGTTCTCATAGATTAATTGTTTATCAAAAGGAAATTAAAGCTGTATTTGATATAATTTTTTATGTTTACATTAATAACAGCGGAATATACTATATACTAAGAAAATTGACATTTTCACAATCTTCGAAGTTCATTCTACTTTTATTTTCATGGAAATAGTACACTGTACAAAATGAGTATTATTTTGAAATAAATAAAAAAATGTTTTATACCAAAATACTAGTACACAATTATGCGGGTATACATTTATCGGCAGTAACATATTTATCTAAAAAAGATATGTAATAACAAATGGTGTAAAATTAACCTGGGTGAATTTTGCCTTTGGATACTACAGTTTTTCCATCAATTTCAGCAGTAATTGTATACTTGATCTTTTCTTTCCCGTTGTATGCCGTTTTGTGATTTCTATGGTACCAGCGACCATCAGCTGAAAAATCATTCAGTGAGTTATGTTGCGACAAATTGTAGAATATTCGGAAGTGCATGATTAGAATTATAATATGACTTCAGATTTTATTTAATTATTAATTCTAAACAAATTTAATCTTTAATCTTCAAAATGATTGAAATAATTGATTCGAGAACAGTAAAAAAAGTCAGTAAATGCATTTAAAATCGTCTTTCACTGCTAATTTTTAGGCGGTGGAGTAATGCAATCTAATAATTATTTCTTATATAAGTGCATAGCGTTATTTAGAGATGATCAGACTGTAGAGTAACGTATCTGTTTGGACTGACTTTAAGGCAATAATGAAGTCAACAATATGTTGAGGAATGTCAAACGTGACCTCCATAACAGCAGAAAGGACTGGTATTTCTCCTGCTGACCACATGGGTTCCTCTCTCAATAAATGAGCGACAATAGATAGATATTTTTCAAGTCTTTCCGCAATGCCAGATTTAAATTAGAACTATTTTGGTTGATTTTATTACTTAGACTGGCCTTTGATATGTTTTGTATTACAAAACTTAAGACTTTGAAGTTCACTCGGTGATTTTGAAAATAATTTTAAAGTTAAATACCGATAAAGTATGTATGAAGCAAGATAAGTATTTTCTATTGCATATTACCAACATGAGGAAAAGCACATACATCAATCTTATAAGTGAAAGTCATCATCGGAGAGGTAATCAGACCTCCCCACAGTGTTGAGGATGATTGCTGGTGGCATCCATTCTTTGGTTATCAAATTGAAGTTAATAAATCTTACTTAATTAATGGCTAAAATCATTACAACCAATCTACAATATTGTTTTGCGCATAGTCAGCTTCTAAATACGACTTAAATCGGTAAAGGAAAAGTCGAAAAATATAATTTACTTTACAATAAATGGCTCTTTCCGTTTGTCACCCTTTAAATCTGAATAGTATACAATTTAATGTTTCGAAAAATATAGTAACAGCTAAGCAATAGAGCTACAAAATACTATGTTATGAAATTTTGTTGCTCCTCTAACATCGGAACATCTCGCTGATTATTCCTAATTAAGAGATTTTCCGGAAACTGACGAAAATTACAGATATATTGCAATTGTTCACAGATGCAGTTCGACCGATCAAAAATTCTTTACTGTAATTTGAACAATTAAAAAAATCTTAAACAGCTGCAAAAAGACTTCTTGCATGTTTCTTTTCAAAGAAGCAAACACGTTATTGTACTCCTCAGATCACATGCTTATAAACATGACGTGCATGTACACTATATCAAAGAAAATTACATTTTGACCAACCGCCATGAAAATCTAATTAAACGACCAAGTTTAACAACTTTTATTTATCATGTATTGGATATTCAAATAAGATTAACCTCCTTGGTGAAATGGTCCTTGGTGTTTATTTCCTTTAAAACTATATTTTACATCGTACACCTTCATTCCAGGGGCACCTATAAAAAGAAATAAGCATTGTTTTTGTAAAGCACTATACTGAAACATGGATATTTTGCACGCACTTAAAAGAAGGGGATGGAATTGTTATTCATACTTATCACGTCATTATTTATTCCCAAAATTACTACATCAATAATTTCAAATGACAAAATTAAATTTTGACCAAGAACCATGATCGAAGATTTTCTTTTTTAAAAACTTGAAAATGCTTGAATGAGAAAATAATTGGAAATTTATTGCTTTATAAGCGAATGACGCGTGCGCAAAAAATCATTGCTAAACAGATAAAACCTTTTTAAAATACCTAAATTATATTTTGTTCCGGAACATTTTATTCTGTTTACGTACATTATTCATCTGTATTAAATAACAGAGACATTCTAATAAATGACTATGTTACAGATATTTCGGAAATCAACCATATAATAATGGAGCTTTTAAATGGGTTTTTTAATTAAAATAATTCATCAGTTTATAAATTTATACCCCTTTAAAATGAAAATTTTTTATCAATTATTTTTTCCCTTTTTTTAACGTTCAAATTTAGGGGGAAATATGTAAAAAATTTGTTTTAATTCCATATAATATTAAAAATTAAAAGAAAAAGGGGACAATTTTATGATTCACAAATAAAACGGTTTTTCTACATTTTTTTCAATTTTAAATTGAAATTATCTAAATTTTAAATTAATTTTTTTTAACCCTTTCAACGGAAAATTTCCACAGCCACCGGATTGCCAGTGTGTAAGTCTTGGCTCGCGAATGTTCTGCAGCAAACACGAAAAACGCCACCAGGGAAAAAATCCGACAAATCATTGGCGTAACAATCAAAGGGCCTAACTTGCTTCAAGTTCAGCCCTTTAACTCAATTTGGTGTATTCTTTAGATATTTGTTCGTTAGTTATTTGGGAATTGCCACGGACCGTTATCACCTTGACTTAAAGGGAATAACGTTAAATTCACAGATTAAGAACGGTCGTTGGGTTCACATCAATTTGAACATCTATTTTTAACGGTGAATAAATAGAACGATGCAACAATTTCAAAAATATTAAATTGGGTTTAATACCACAGTTTGTTTTGGAGAAGGGCGGGTTCAATACAGCCCCTTATAAATCATAAATTATCGTTTGATATGAATTGCTTTCCCCCAATGTAATTATTCTAGGCATATCAAACCCAAGTTTTATTGCATAATTTTTTTTGGGGGAGGCCTATGCCTCCCCAATGTGTATACCATTCGTCAAATCTTACTGCCGCGGTAATCAGGTAAAAAAATAGTACCTTGATTTTTTTTAAAGCTGACTCATCACTCACCACAGACATTTACAATATGAAAATACTTTCATTCTTTAATTTTCATATCTGCAATTTTGTAAAGATAATAATTATCTGAAACATTTTTGTTTATTTTTTCAAAAATCACTACTCCGTGACGTCATACTGCCGCGGTAATTCAGGTTTAGGCAGTCGTATTACGTTGGTCATAATAGTTCTAGTATGAAAACCCTTCTATATAAATAAACTTTATCAATATTTTTTAACAAAAAGCATAAATGAAAAAATTTATAAGTAGATCTAAATGCTTTAATTTGGGGCAAATATTCTTTTTATTTTTTGATAACAATTTTCCCAATTACTACGCAGCGACCAACTGTCTATGACGGGTCATTAACTAGAACGTTGCAACACCGTATTCTCAATATCATGCATGTTCTTTTGTTGTTATAAGCCATTAATAGTCCTTAATTATTTTTAAAGACAAATAATTGTAAACTGTCGCTTACATCAGATCATGATTGCGTGATAACAATGGAAAACTAACTTATTAGTACACCCTAGGAGGATGTACGCGGAAAACGCTCATAAACCGCTATATCATATAGCTGTTAGTAAATATTTTGCATACATTTAACTAAAAATTCACTGATGGTGATGAACATATAATTTGAAAACATTATATTCTTGAACCATTAATTAAAAAATCTATTTTACTACAAAACCCGTAAGGACCCTCCGACAAAATTTCAGCACAAGATTACATTTTACATTTAAATTTAGCAAAATAAAAAAGCAATACTTATATATTTTCATCTTACATTATTCATTAATCAAACTTTTAACATAAAAGTATCTTTTAGAAATATGTCTGGCAATTGACAGTTTCCTACTCTGATCTTTTATTTGTATAGGAATAAATTTAAACATGTGCTCTTTTGTTTAGGAATATTTTGAAAGTCTTATATACCCACTAATCTCATAATTAGAATTTGACAGGTCAGGGATTTATTCAACCAGTTGTTAAGTTAACTACGCTCATTTTAATCCCAATAGAAAAATTCAAATATTTGGGGTAAAAAACATGACCAAGGTACCTAATAGTAGTACAGGTGGTGATCCCATTAAACTGATTATAGATTCGAATTTATTAGAAAACACAAATAGAAACATATGTGTTTCCGTACAACAAAAATCGGAAGTAAAGTGAACAGTTAAATGACAGAAATATATGGTCAAATATGTTTTAACAAGGAAATAATTATTTAAGAGAAAGACGCAAAGATCAGCCTTCAATCAAATGAATGACCCCGTATTGTGTAATTTGAAAGTTTATTCAATTCTAGGGCAACGCATCATAATTTAATAGTCCATGTGTAATAAAATTCAAAGTTTCAATACAGATTATGAGATACATAAAAATATTTAAGAATAAGATGCTTTAAAAAAGAAACTTTAATTTGAAAACGATAGTTGCGCGCGCTGAAGTGATTAATGTCTTTTTGAAAAATAAAAAAAAAAAATAAAAAAAACGGCGGCATAAGAGGAATTTCGTATTCATTTTACAACACTTGAAAAATTACTACAGAAAATGTGTTGTTGTTTTTTTGTTTTGTTTTCAACAAAAGTGTGTGTGTTTTAAGTTTATTTACTCGGCGCCGGAATAACCATATATGTCCGAGATTATAGCATCGGGGACGTCTTTCTCAAGCAAAATCTTCCTGGTAGCCCATTCTTCGTTTGTTGGTCGTAAAGGAAACGACAATACTGTCAAGGCATCAACTCTCTGACTGACGATAACAAAAATGGCATTTTTAGCGCCAAACCTCTAGAGTAAGTCACGACAGGTCAACCAATCACCTCTGGTACTTTATGATGACTTGACCATAACCTTGCCGTGTGCCTTCTCCGCGACGTGCACGCCCTCTGGATGGGATTGGAGAAGTTTCAACAAAAATTTCCCAAAACACGCCCAATTTATAACACCTTCATAGCACTGACGCTTCGATGTTCTCATCTATTTGCGGGAAATGGTCGACAGGGAAAACACCCTATAATAACCGCAAACCCTGTTAACAACAGATTTTCCGCAGTAAGTATATTTCAAGCTAATGAGGTTTAAAAATCCATGTATAATCTATCGATTAACTACCATAAGTTGCATGGTTGAGTGTTGGCGGTAAAAAAAAAGATATAAAACTTCCTGATCCAATTTTCACTTAGGTTGATTCAATTTTGAATAAGCTTGCAGATATGTATTTTTTTCAAGAAATATTTAGCTTTCATATTATCCAACGCTGTCAGTAATGAAAATGGGAATAATTTTTCTGAAACGTGATTTTATTCGAGATTTGCTTCTGGAGAAGACAACTTTCTCTCCGTAGAGCATGAATATTAATACCCATCACAAGACATTGATTAAGATATTAAGACAAGATATTGATCTCAATTATGGTACATGTAAATGTGTATAATTTTTACGTCCAATAAAAATGTTGCATAACTTGCAGTTGTTATTATCATTCAATGATATTAAAATGACATAAAGTTTTTATGATGAACAGTCCTAGAATATTTTGATAAAGAAACCGTCAGTTTGTAAAATATTATTGTTATCTTATAATGAACAGTCGTCATACTTGCTGGTATGTCATTTATTATAGACAGTTTAGGTTTTTCAAAAATTTGCATGATAAACAGTCCGAATGTAGACCTCAATGAAATGTTCTGGAATATTAGAAAAATGAATAGTCAACCATATTAACCATATATATGAATGGTTGAACACAACCGTAAGGATAAATAGCGCAATGTGCATATCTTCTTATTTTGGTAATAATTGAAATAACAGCAAATTTTAAGCAAAACGAAAAGAAGTCTGAAACATTCTGTCATAGCCTCCCCAATCAGTGCATTCAGTGCTTTGATATTACACCAGTTACATGTATGACTATTAACACAGTCAAAATTAAGCCATTATATATAACGAACAGAGCTGTTACAAACATAACGCCGGTATTTATTGTCTATGTTTGGCACCAGGCATGTGTTCAGAAAGAAATAAAGAAGAAATATATGAATCTTAATTTTGTTTCCTTCGCTTTTTAAGAACTACATTAGACAAATGTATTTTTTTATATAAATGTAACTGCTGATTTTTTTAACGTAAGGTAGAACATTATGATAACGATATCAAAATGAGGATACCATCATAATAGATATTTGGAAACACTAATCAGTATATCGTGCAAAGTTACTAAGATTTCATAATTTAATATCATTCCGACTTTGCTTTTGAGTTATTATTATGTCAGGAACAGCAAACAACAACAACAAAAGCAAAAGCATACTTGATTATAGAAAGTCTACAGGTTGAATTTTTTCTCTCAACTCAATATGAAAAGTCGAAAGATCTAGGAAAACGCGCCATATGATAAGAGTGCGACATACATAACCAAATTTGTTCTTATCACTCCAAATCATGGGCGTCCGTGCCCGAGTGGTTAAGGTCGTTGACTTCAAACCACTTGCTGCCCCTCACCGATGTGGGTTCGAGTCCCGACAGGGACTTTGTATTATTTCATGTGAGGAAGCTATCCAGCTAGCTTATCCGTCGGTGGTTCTACTCAGGTGCCTATTCATGCCAGAAATAATTTACGGAAGGGATCTTTACTCCACCAGTAAATTAGGAACATCGCCAAATGACCTATACTGTGTCCGTGTGACGTAAAACCCAATCAAACAAACACCAAATCCTGCCGCTTTAATTTTATGAATTCTTCAATGGTAAATACTACAATTGATGTGATTTAACTATTTTCATGCGGTGCTTATATATGTACTTATTGATATATAGTATGTTTTAGAAATGATGAACTTGAAAATGATGAGTACTTTATTGTGTGTAACAATATTATCATGTTTTTCCCCATATATTTGGATTTTGATATTCATATGTACATGTATATTACATGTAGCATTTATTTTGGGTGATGGTCATTTTGTTTTACATTCTTCGTACATAAACTATAAAAATAACTTATGAAATAGGACTTTGCACGGTCAAATATGCCAATGCAACTTGGAAAAAGATAAATTCGGGAGTTGAATTTGGTTTTATTATTTTGGGTTGAAGGATAACATATACTACAAATTTAATTGAGGTTATGCCTGGAAAAATCGAACGTAAGCCTATAGCTTGTACTCCCAAATGTCGTCCAAGAACATACTGAATTAAACGAGCTTGTGAAATTTTCAGTTTTGCCGTGTTAGCCGACCATAAATGTTTCCATATTTCACATTTATAGCTTCTGGTAAGAAAAAGTACGACATCTCTGTGATGCAAATATAAGAAATATCAGCTAGATTACAATGTATAACTCACATAGTTTACACTTTACTTTCGCTACGTGATGAAATAGTTATTAATCAAAATGTTTAAAGAAATGTAACTCGATTTAAATGGTTGTGTCCTAATGAACTGTATATGACAGATCATTATGTATTGTAGCATCTGATAAACAATGTTGCACATTTTTGTAGGACCTGCATCAGTTTACCCTTAAAGGGCCTAATTGGATGCACAATTCTCAGGCTCTTGCAAACAAATGGATGCATTAAAATATAATGCCAGCAGCAGAAATCCTGTTTAACATAATAAAACATTCAAAATCCTTAAACAATTTGGTTAAATAAGGAGTCGGACTGCCTAAATTCGATGTTTGACACCATAAAAAATTTATTGGACTCCCAGTGTATATGAGGGACCACTTAAATAACAGAACGTGATGTGACAAATTCGTCAAGTCATTTTTTTACTCAACTACCAGAATTATCCCATGCCTTGAAGTCTAACAAAATGAGCCCCATAATGGTCAATATTGCAATTTGAAAAAAATTCATGCTAGTTCTTTTCTATATCAGGTAAGACACTTACACATGAAATAATAAAAACTTTCACCGTTTATTAAGGTAGTAATTGTTATTTTTGTACCCCCACCCATAACCTTCAAAAATCCAACCAACAGTAAATAAATAAAAATTCTTCTTTATTGAAACTGAAAGAAAATTTCATTCATACTGGCCTAATGTCATACAGAATATATTGCTCAACAATACAATACTTCATAAATATTGATTTCATTCAACATATTTGAAAAAAATAAAAAATCATTACCCCCCCACCCCAGCTTTTACCACTCTCAGAAAACTATGAACGTTTTTAAAAAATCGACAAAAAAAATTGAATAAAGTGACAGACCTGAAATTTACCAGAAATTGATATCAATATGTATAAAAAGCTTTGTACCAAATTACAAAAAGATTTACCGTCTAGTTTTGAAAAAAAAAAAGTTTTCAAATTTATTGTCGCTCACTGGTCGACACATGAAAAATCTGAATAAATTTGTTTATGTAGCAAAAAATCAAAATTTAAACATTACTAGATTGCTTCCATCATAAATTAATGTTTCAAAATAGTAATACATTTAATACCAAATGTTTTAGCTAAACTATTGTGAAAAAACTGCTTTTCAAGGCTCAAAATAGTATTAATAACACTAAAAAATTGAACAATATGAGCCTATATCCCACCCACTAACATTTCACTATTTTTAAAAATAACATTAAGTCATATTCCATCCATACAAAAAATCAGGTCTGACATTTAACAAATAATGCCATCAATGTTATAAGTGTAACACATTATATGTTTTATGTGTTTACCATATTACCCTTTAGAAAATACTGCACATACAAAATGAGCTTTAACAATTTTTTTCAAAGTAAGCTGCAAGTTTAGGCACCACAGACTCTAGAGTCCTCTTTGCGTTGGTTACTCGAGGTTGGCCTTCACTATTTTTTGCAGTAAAAACATTTAACAGTCCATCTTCTCCTTTTCTCCTGAATATTGTTTTTAAGTGTTCAAAGTTCAGACCGGAACTTGCAATATTGTCAGCAGTTGCATTCTTCATCACCCCAGCTGCTATAAGTACTTCGAGAGTTGGAAAATTTTTCTTTTTTTCTTTATTACAGTCCATATTGAATTTAATATCAATCGGTGGAAAACTTTTTACAATCATACAATCATTTTGCGTTGACACCATCAGGGACACAAGCTCCGATAAACATTTTACATCAGCTTCTGCATTATGTGCATTGTAGCCCTTGCACAAAAGATCACGGGCTAGATCCTCTTGTTTGTATGAAGTTCTATTAGGATACACATGTTTTGAACACAGGTAATGAATCTACTAACCCTGTGATAGCCGACAAGAAATTTGGTAGCAATCCACAAACTTTATATGCTGCTGTCAATACTATAAAGTCAAATCGCCTTCCATTATGGGCAATAATGTAAATATTGTCAAACGATTCAAGCCATGAAAGAAATTTTTTCAATGCTACATGTAACGGAACTGGCTCCACTGTCACACCATCCACTGCCATCACCTTTTCATTAACCATAATAATTTTGGTAACATTCTCTGCAGCTGATGTGATAGGAATTTTTGGGATAACATACTTGTTGAATGTAGAACCAGTTGACATTTCAACAGCAGCTATCTGGGTGATGTGCGGAATTTGATCTCCCCTTACTGAAACATAAATGATCGTAATTTACTATAAAAATTATGTTCAAAGGTAACAATAACCATTGAATAAAAACAAATAAGATCAGTTTTCTATCCAAGTTCACAATACTTCATGTATTCTTTTAAAACATAACAAATACCAAAGAACTAGAAGGTTTTTTGTCAAAAAAAAAATCAAAACAAAAACATATGTCTCCCAATTATGCACTATTAATATGGTTGGTAACAACTATTTTTGTTTCTTTATTGAGAGTTAATTGCAAATTACCCAGCTGCTGTTACCAGTGTTACCTGTGAAATTACCAGTACTTTGTACCTTTCAACTTTTCCACGTAATAACTTATTGCCATATCAGGCTATAACTCAGGATCTGTTGATCTAGAGACCTGTGCTCCATCTGATTTGCTAAATTTATAGGTTGAAAAAAAGTCACTTACTTAGATCAGTGGTTTCCAGATCAGCTACAATGTAGGTCGGTGGTCCATGTGGTATAACTTGCTTGAACACTCCACGTGGAATAGGATCAGGTAGTCTTTCAATGTCCACCTCTTGATCATGACCAATGCCTGTCAGCAAACAGTAAATACACATAAATGAAAAGAACAGAGTGTAATAATTACTTTGGTCACAAAAACACTCAATTTATTTTCAAGTTTATCAAGCAAGACCTCAATTTACAGTCTGAAATTCATGGAAGGAATAAGTTAAATTTTCCGAACATCCAGTAGCCATTCAATATTAATTGTCATGTGAGGGCAAATATATTTACCAGATTGATATGAGACTCCTTCTAGTGTTTCATGTGCCTGCTGGGTAACCGCTCGCTCTTGTTTCAAGATAAGGCGCCTTTTTTTGTCGATGGCAACTGTGTCACTTCTTGACTATGTTGTCTTTTTTTCTGACATTTGTCAGCATAATCTATAGTATGCTTACCAGGGGAAATACCAGCAACAGTTTTCACCTGTTTGATAAAGAGAAGAATATGTACTATACATGGAAAAGAATTTTCATAAATAAACAAAGTCAACCACGGAACTATATAATATTCGGAACTATACGTGTATTATATTTGTTACATACATCTCTTAGTCAAACGTTTTATTATTTATAAAGATTTTTGACAGGTTATAAGGATGTATATGAGTGGTTATTTGCATATATAATCAATGCAACTTGAAATTAATTTGTAGATATATTCAAGAAAAAATAATTAACATAACTTCTTAAGATAACAGCAGCTGGGTGTACAGATAATATAGATTATAGAACACTATTTATATATAATTACCCAGTGGAAAGACACCAAACGTGTAGTATTATAAGGAAATGTTAACATAAATAATAAGTATTTAATTAAATCCATTTTAACATCACTTACCAAGATTGGACTGTGAAGTGACATTGGTATATGTCTATAAACTGTGCACAGAACAAGAACCAGAAAACTGTAATGAACAAACAGTAATTATAAAAGCTCTCAACAAAGAGCTTCAAAAAAAACCAAAAAACAAACAAACAAAAAACAATAATTTAAAATAAAAATAGAACAATAAAAAAAAAACATGAACAAGGAAAACAAATAAAAAAATCCAGAATGAAGTCTCAGAAGACATCAAGTTGATTGCATAATAAATATTTTTAACTGTTTGATTTATGTACAAACACACAAAAAAAAGAACTTCAAAAAAAAGAAGTGTAATATTATAACATTTTTGATGATGTCTGTGTTCATTCAAAGCACTGGAAAACATTTGCAATATCATTCCAACACACTTGTCTTGTTCTAGAGCAGACAAACTTACAAAAACAAGAAATGCGGCTGTTAAAGACAGATTGTTATCTAATATGGGTGTCCGCAAAATTTAATTCCACATTTTAACTTATTAAACTTCATAAAAAAAAAAAATGCTTTGTTTGTGTTATATATATTGGATCATTCACCTAGGCAACTCAACTTAAAAGATAACTCAACAGAACTCAAATATAACGAGAAAATCTGTATTGAAAGAAATGTACCTTAGAAATATAATGTCTCCCTTCATTGATGAAGGCAGCTGTTGCCTTGACTCGAAAATCTAATGCCTCTGTGCCACCATAATAAATATTCTTTGGTGCTCGGAGAGTGACTTCTCGATTAGCATGTTCACACTGCTGGCTGGAGCCAAGATCAGCAAACTGACTAGCTTTGAGTATTATTGGCTTCATTATTTCATCAAGCTTTTCACGCAAAACTTCTCCAGTTAAATTTGTTTTATACGGTAAAGAACGGTGAACATACTTTTCATCAGGGGTTCTCAACTGTCCACAAAAGCTGGCTTTGCACAACTGATGGTCACCAAAGTTATGTGGAACTATAGCACATAAATTTTCTTGAAGAGCAACCTCATTACCACTATTTTTTGACAAAGCATATGAAATGCATTTCTGTAAATGAATTATTGTGTTTTTACTTAATTTCACACCTTTTTGAGACTGTAAAGAATACAAACTTTTGCCAATGTTTTTCATTATATGGTTTTTATCAAATCTTTTCTTCAATGAAATGTTCTGATTATTTTTAAGTCTTGCTAGAAGAGTTGTATCTCCATCCCCTTCAATGTATTCTACAGGTGTACCTTCATTAGCAAGCTCTAAGACTCCCTTTTCCCCACTTGTGCTCTCCATCAGCCTCGCGCTTCCGGTATGATTACGTACACATCTGTGTTCTCGGACTTTCTTCCCTGGTCTGTTTCGTCTCCACCATGTGCACGTTGAACACTGCCTATGACTAACTATACCCTTCACAATTTTCTTCCCATAACGAGACTTGCTCATGAAAAAAGTATGGGCTGAAACAACAAAATGTTTGTTGGCACTAATAAATAAGTTGTTCTGAAAATCCTTTTTACTCAGAAAACTAAGCTATACATGATTCTAATAACAGCTAAACGTCTATGTTCTCTACAATGATGATTTCAAATAATTATGTCTCTCAAGAGCTAAGATACCTTTTAATTAGAATTATATTTCTGTTATTAATTATTATATTTCAGTGTTTTTTTTTCTTTATTCATGATGACTTATCTTACTTGTAGCTGAAAAAAATGCATAAAAAAATTCCCAATTTAAGTAAAAATAGCACATTTTTCCCCAATCAGCCTGGTACCAGCACCATTCCCAAAGTAGTGTAAAAAAATGCTGTATTTCATGATAAAGAATGTATCAGTTACTAAGTATTTACAGCTGTACACATTAAGTTACCTGTTTGACTGTCAAATCCACGTTTCTGCCATGCAGTATCCACTGCACAGGACATTCCATATCGCCGCTTGCATGGAAATTTGGGCATTAGCTTCTTCTTAGCCTTCAGTTCAACATCACTAGCATTTCTTGTACGGAATTTTCTTTTATAATGTTTTGCTGGAGTTTCCGAAGCAGGAGAGTCAAAATCCACAGTAGTCTGTTGTATTCTCTCTCTTAAAAGTATCAGAAGAAATATACCTAAATGCTTAATAAAATTAATTACATGAAAAACACATGATGGCAAAATTGTACAAAACAAAATTTAACTGCTCTAAAATCAAAATAGGTATTATAAATAATTCAACAAAAAATAAATTTTATTATGCAAACAGCCAAAATTAATGGAAAAAAGGCTAGAAAAGGTAACAATTCAAATCAGACTTTCAGTTTATAAATATGGATATCAGTAGAAAACTGGATACTGCTCAAGCTGGTGCTAGAAAGCGCAAGTTTCATTAATACTGAACATTTCATAATCTCTTATAAACAGACTCAATCAAACAGAGTTTGCAACTTTCATATAATTTTGCTGTTTTTCAGTTCTTCCGAGATATCTCTTTTCCAGATTTTTTTATACTATTCATCATGTACAACTAAATCAATGTATGTTGCACTTAAATACAACATAGAAACTTACTTTAATGATGGTGATGCATCAGGCATTGGACAAACTCCAAGGTCATCTATAAGTCCTTCCATATGTTTAGCTGCCTCTTCTGTTTCTTCATTAGCAATATCACTAAAAAAGGAAAATAATATTGAATGTGTAACTTTCATTTATTCCTTGGTAAATATACAATATCTCCTTGCATGTCAGACTGGGAATTCCCATCTGCCCTGGTTACTAGTGTAAGATTCACATGCTCTTAATGAAAATCAACAACATACATTGTATTTATTTCATTATAAAACATGCTGAAATATTATTGGAGTTGAAGATAAAAATGATGATATATAGTGTATACCAATCAGCAAATTTGAATTGAAACTAAATTCTCACCTCATTTCTTTCTTAAATGCATCCTTTGCTGCACTTCTTATTGAATTTTCAGCAACATCTTCGACGAAACTGCCTGACCTCCTTTCAATGTGTTTAAGATTTTTCCTGTGTATTGGCTGGATATTAAGTGTTGACAACAGATTATTCACTTTTCCTGCACCACCAACACTGTCAATCATAGCTGCAAAAAATCCAATATCAATATTATATATTCACAATTCATGTGTGATATTTTACAGCAATGGCGTGACTAAAGTAAAGGGAGTTAACCTTTAAAATATCAACAGGGTCTAAAAGTAATTTTCCATTTTCCGGTACATACCGTATTCACAGTGTAAGAAATTCAGATTTGAATCCACTAGGCTGGTCGGACTACCAGATTGGAATATTCACTAGCCCAAAAGACATTTCACTAGCACGATTTATTTGTTCAAAACAGTTGTTTATATATTGCCTCTGAAAATACAGTAGCCTGGTCGGGCTTGTTACTGTGAAAAGTTGGTAGCCCAAGAAGAAATTTAGTAGTCGGGGGCTATAGGACTACTGCTAATTTCGAACACTGTATTCAGCTAAAGGCGATTTAATTCAGTGCAGCATAAATTGATGCACATTTGAGTTTGACATTACTGACATATTTTCCAAAAATGATATAATGAAAACATGAGGCCTAGACTACCTATTTTCCTATTCGGGTAAGTTTTTGGTCACAGTAAATAATTTACAACCAAAAGATTAGAATTTATTATAGTGTCTGTTGACATAAATAATCCCATAAGAGGTGATTTTAAGAAAATAATATTCATATTCGGTACTTCCATTGGTAGCAAGACACCTCACCCCCCAGACACTTCATCCCTCAAATTTTGAAGACACTTCACCCCTTAAGACACTTCACCCCCCAAAATCAGTAAGACACTTCACCCCTCATCCATTTTTTTCTATAAAGTAAATAAAACAAGTTGGTCAACAGCAAAATGCTTATATCTGTTTATATTTATTATTTTTAGTATTATTTGATTAAAAACTTTGCTTATTACTTTAATTTTTAAGTTTTAAGCTGATTTAGGTTAATTGGTTGTATTGCCAAATGATATATCACAGCACTGTCATCCATTAAGTGTTTATTGCATGTCACCTTGTTTATTCAACATGTTGATTATTTGTTTATTCAACAGTTATCTCAAAATTGATTAGATAATTGAATTAAAATGGTATAATTGTATGAAAATTAAATTTATTCTTAATAAATAAATTATTTAAATAAATAAATAAAATGAATATAAATGAATATGAATGAATGAATCGATTGCTTTATAAAATATAGTAAATATAAATTATTTATCATCATTATCAGACACAATTATCCTGCATTTAATACAAAGATCATTCATAATGTCATTTATTAAACAAATAAATAGCACCAGTTATGTAAATTAAGCACAAGGATAAAGCACAAACCATCACCAAATGAACGTAACTCAATGATTATTATATGGTAAGGATCAAACTGAAAACAAACTTTAGTACCAAAACTTCAAGAATTAAAACAACTCAAAATTTATTACACAATGGGTTAAAACAATAAACATACTCAATCACTATTGAATGTATTTAACATAATCTACATAAATAATTGGCATAATTTTTAAACACAAAATAAAAAAATGAGGGGTGAAGTGTCTCAATCAAATTTCTTAAAATGAGGGGTGAACTGTCTGAGGGGTGAAGTGTCTGCAAAAAAGGGCCTAGGGTGAAGTGTCTGGGGGGTGAAGTGTCTGTAAGCCCTTCCATTCATATTCGTGAATATGAATTCATATTCGGTATTTAGTCATACCGCAGCATGAACACTCATAGGCATACTATACATGTTGTTGATCTGTTATACATTAATTCAATAAAATAATAAAATACAATGAAATCAAACAAACTTCCTGACTGCTTACCTATTCCGAGATTTGTGTTCGCTGTAAAGCATGGCATGCCTCTCTTTTTGACCCTGTGAGTTTTGCAGTAAGGTACACGATTGACTTCTCCACAGTCTATATTCTGACACTTGACGTATAGAAAGCCACCCAGTCCTTTCCTAAGCTCACCAACAACACTTCTATTAGTTAAAGGCACTGGTCCGAGCCTACATACAGAACAACACTTCAAATTGTCCAACAAAAAACCCAGATCTAGTACACGCATTCCAACTCTCCAACCATCGCGTTTCACGTTATTTGGCAGGTCAATATGGATATCAGACTCACAGTAAGGCCGATTACATTCCTGTCCGTTACACATCGTTAACGTATCAGTATAATTGTGGTCAATTTCAAAATAATTACCGTCTACGGACGTTTTCCTACCCAAAATAGTTTTGGAATATCTGCCCCGTTTGTCGCGAGCAGCCATTTTGAACATTCGGATGACGTAATGGTTTCCCACTATCGTGTTAACCGTTGAGTGGTAACCAGGAACCAGAAATTATTTACGAAACAAGTCGAGTGGTTACGATGGAGGCTACGGAATAGCACGGGAAATGTCGACAGAACACGATATTACCCGAAGCGTATTATGTGGCTCAGACCTTAAAGGGCCGTAATAAACGCATTACCGGACTCCCTACAATAACTGACCAAGAAATATACTTTAAATGAGAGGAAGTTGTTACATTTAGAACTTAATTGTCATGCTATACATGATGCCAAGCTTTACTTTTATGAGGCCTAGGCTCTAATGTTAGAACTTGTCAAACCACATTTGACATTTTATACATCTGTAGCCAACTTTACAACACACATGCGAGTTTGGTAAAATATGGTGTCATCCTGAATTCGGATTAAAACTTTTTGTAACCATTCTGATCTAGTTCAAGAGATATGTTATCAGTGTATGAACCACATGTAAACATGTATTTTGTTAAATATGTGTGAAGAAGTAATTTGAAGTAATTTAATAATATTTGAAAAGTTCTGAAACGTTTCATCTAGAGTAAAAACGTTCATGTTATATCCTCATAACTACATTTGTTGCTCGTTTGAGTCTATGAATACGCTCTATTCAAACATGCTGACTTGACATTTTACTAAAACAAGCCGACATGAACTTTATAAAAATGCTGACTTGAATTTTAAAAAGACACGGTCATGACATTTCAAAAATCATTCTGACCCTTTACTTTTTAAGCATACTGACTTGAATTTTACAATCATTAAGACTTAACCTGGCTTGGCCTTTACAAACACACTGACTTGAATTATACCAACAGGCCGACTTGACGTTTATACCTATGTTTACTTGACCTTTACAAACACGTTGACTAGCCCTTACTTTTGACCTTAATATGTTGATTTAACTTCTATGAACACGCTGACATGACCTTTTACATACACATTAAGTAAATATTTAACCTTTACAAAAATGCAGACATGACCTTGACAAACATGCTGAAATGACCTTGACAAAGATGATGGTATGACCTTTACAAAATGCTGGCATGACCTTGACTAACATGTTCATAGGACCTTGACAATTATGCTGGCATGAACTTTACAAAAAGACTGACATCAGCTTACAAAGATGCTGACATGACATGACAAACATGCTGACATGATCTTAACAAGCATGGTCACATGACTTTGACAAACATAATATGATTAGACTTCTCACAAAACATGCTGAGCTGACATTTACTCACATGCTGTCTTGACTTTCATAAAAATGTTAACATACTTTAACAAACAATGTTGTCCCGACTTTAACAAATATGTTCACTAAATTCTTTGCAAAACTGATAGAAAAAGCTTATCATAAAAGGTAATGTAAAACTGTCTACCAACAAATCCAGGAATATCAGGTTGGTTCCAAGACTTTTGTACACCATTCTGGTAATTAATTAGAGATCTAGTGTAATGGACCTTGATGTAGCATGTTCAAAACTGAAGATTTTCTTCCTGGAATGGAATGTCCTCAGTATCAGTAGCACTTACTATAACCAAACAAATAAAGTTACTAAATCTTCAGTAGTAAGTAGCTTGCATGGATTTCAAGTGGTAAATTATCACAAATTGTGCTGATTTTAAGAAGGCTTTAGATTCATGCATTAAATAGTACAAACATGTACTTTTGAGAGTAATAGTTTTAAACACAACTTTTTAGGCAAGTCTTCAGTGAACTTTCAATTCATCCCTGAAAAGCATTCAAAACTATTTGAACTACTCACATGTATATAATATACAAGATGTAAAAGTTAAACAATGATCAACAAATTTGCACTGTGCATCCCATACTTTTATCAGCTTTAAACATGATTGCATTTGAGAAAAATGCTATGCCACCGCATGGTTCAAATTTCATAGCTGTATATCAAAGGACAAGAAAGTATATCAAATCATCAAAATCTAGGTCAAAGTTCAATTTTACAACTAAAACTGTGCACATGGTCAAAATGTCATTGCTGTACATCAAAGGACAAGAAAGTAGGTCACTGTCCCCTTGGGCAAGGCATAATTTTGACCCAAGGGTTTAATAACAATCTTGATACAGAACCAACAAACAACATTTCAAATCAAATATCTAAGCCATAGCTTTCTCCAATTCAGAAAACATTTGTTTTATTTTCTGTTTTTACTATGTGTACATAATGAGAATCACTGCCCCCAGGCAGGGCTAATTTTTGACATTTAGTATGGGACCTTTAGATGATATTATATATCAAACATCAAAGCTCTATGCCTTGAACCTTCAGACAAAAATTGTTTTTTTTTCACTATTTGTACATAATGAAAATCAATTATAGCCTGGGGCGGAACCAATTTTGACCCCAGGGCTATAATTTGAACAATCTTAGTAGTGGTTCACTACACAATGTTTCATGCAAAATATCTTAACTCTATCCTTTGTAAATTTAGAGAAGATTTTTTAAGTTTTAACTATATACATATAAGATAAACCTATGGCTCCCAAGGGAGGGGCTAATTTTGACACAAGAGGCAAAATTTGAACAACTTTGGTAGAGTACCTTTAGATGATATTATTTAACAAATATTAAAGCTCTAAGCCTTGTACCTTCAGATAATAACATTTTTTATATTTTTACTATATGTATATATTGAAATCAATGACCCCCAGGGCGGCACAATTTTGACCCCGGGGCTAAAATTTGAATAATCTTGCTAATGGTTTACAACACAATGTTTCATGCAAAATATCTAACCTCTAGCATTTGTCAATTGCTGGAAGAATTTTTTAAAATGTTTTACTAAATACATATAAGGAAAACCAATGACCCCCTGGGGCGGGGCCTATTTTGACCCTAGGGCTATAATTTGAACAATCTGGGTAGAGGTCTACCAGACAATGCCTTATGCAAAATATCTAAGCTCTAGGCCTTTTGGGTCTTTACAAGAAGGTGTGTTAAGTTTTTACTATATGTGCATAGTGAAAATCAATGACCCCCGGGGTACTATATGTACATAGTGAAAATCAATGACCCCCGGGGTGGGGCCAATTTTGACCCAAGGGCTATAATTTGAACAATCTTGCTAAAGGTTTACAACACAAAGTTTCATGCAAAATATCTAACCTCTAGCATTAAAATTTTGTCAATTGCTAGAAGATTTTTTTTAAAGTTTTTTTCTAAATACATATAAGGAAAACCAATGACCCCTGGGGCGGGGCCTGTTTTGACCCTAGGGCTATAATTTAAACAATCTGGTTAGAGGTCTACCAGACAATGCCTTAAATAACTAAAAAATATCTAAGCTCTAGGCCTTTTGGGTCTAAAATTACAATAAGGTGTTTTAAGATTTTACTATATGTACATATAGCAAAAATCAATGACCCTGGGGCAGGGCTGATTTTGACCCAAGGGCTACGGGCTATTATTTGAACAATCTTGGTAAGGGTCTACCAGATGATGCCTTATGCAAAATATCTAAGCTCTAGGCCTTTTGGGTTTTTACAAGAAGGTATTTTAAGTTTTTACTATATGTACATAATGAAAATCAATGACCCCCGGGGTGGGGCCAATTTTGACCCCAGGGCTATAATTTGAACAATCTTGTTAGAGGTCTACCAGACAATGCCTTATGCAAAATATCTAAGCTCTAAGCCTTTCGGGTCTTTACAAGAAGATTTTTTTAATTTATCAGTATAATTCCTTTTGGTTGCCATGGCAACCAGATTTCTGCATGGAATGAAATTCTTTGAACAACTTTGGAAGCCCTTCACCCAAGGAACAAGCCTGCCAAGTTTGGTTGAAATTAGACTAGTGGTTTTTCACAAGAAGATTTTTTAAGTTCACTATATAATCTATATAACACACACACACACAAACAAACACACACACATACATGTACATACACACAGGTGAATCGCTATATGCCACCGCATCGCAGATGCTGCGGTGGCATAAAAAATAAACATTTGTACATTTCATGTTTTGAAAAAAGGTAGGTAACACTTGTTACTGTGAGTTGTAAAGAAAACTCAAGGTTGTCCCCCTTACCCTAGGCTGTGTCGTTCTTGTCCCCCTTTTTTCCCCCAGTATATTTTATTTATTTTCACAAAACAATCTTGTTGATGCTACATAACATTGAATTAATTTAATTGATTTAAAAAGTGGCAACCTGTTTATGAAACATGGGACTTATTCCAAGACACATATCTTAATTTAACAAATAATAGTCTATAGGTTAAAATGACCTTGAACAATTTAACACTCCATATACCAAGTAAACAGAAGCAGTCATTAGATAATGTACAACTCTTATGAACCTGCAGATCACTTGATTTTTTTAACTGTATATATATTAATTTAAATTTAGTACTCTTCACAGACATTTAAGTTCACAGCCAGTCATTTAAATATAACTTTTGTTACAATTTCTCACCGCTAATCTATCTCATGGACATGTCACAATTAACAAAGTTTGAACTCCTTTATGACCCATTACTATCTATTGATAGTAGATTACAATTTTTTTTTGGTTATATTCTAGGAGACACAAAAACTGTTAGGGTCAAAAGATCACCTCTTTGTTTCCTTATTAAAGGAACTCCACTATGGTCCTTAAACCTAACATAATACGGTTTGAATTTCTAACAACATGTAAAAAGATCACCTGGGTCACTCAAATGTGAAAGATATGCATAAAATAATTAATTATACTCAGAAATAAATTGGAAATGGTATTTTTGTGCTATTATTTGCATGATTTGAGTGATAAGCTTGGCAACAATTTTCAATGTTGGATCTTTTTCAAAATTAGAATAATTATTCTGAAAAAAGGGAGTGACTGAAGGATTTTGTGCACAAGTTATTTGTCTAGACTTATTTAAAATGGAACATTATTCTCGGAAAATTATTTCCAGTCTCATCATATCCAAAAGCTCAGTAATATAATGTAATTTCTATCCATTTCCTTACTTGAAATATGCAAAGGCTATAAGATATGAGGTTATCAAGTACAATAAACTATCACATTTTAATAATAGCACATGCAGTCATTGCAATCTTTTTCCTCCTATTTCAGAAATTCTAATGTTAAAATATAAACATATGTCTTTCTGTGATAGGCAGGCACCTTGTCATCACTGATCATCATTAAGTTAGAACTTGGTATAAAACTTTAAATTTAAATAAAACAAGAGCTGTTGGTAGGACAGCAACGCTCGACTATTCTTAGTGCTTGATAGTAAAAGACCCTTGTTAATGTACAATATTCCAAGCTAACAAAAGGGCCAAATTTTCCTTTAAATCCATGTTACTGTTATAGGCATTGAAGAGAATCCTATTATGCTCTCAAAGAAGAGTATAAAATTTCAACTTCTTTCAATAGTATATGAAAATATCTGGTATTCAAACTTTAACGTAAATTCTAAGTCAGAAAAGGGGTATAATTCTGTCAAAATGCTTGATACAGTTATCTCCTCCTGTCTACATGTTGGGGTTATGATGATGAACAAGTGTTCATAGTTTCAAAGCCATATATCAATGGACTTTGAAAATATTTGAGGTATTACAAAAACTTTAACATAAATTTTATGTCGAAATAGGGGCATAATTCTGTCAAAATGTTTGATAAAGTTACCTCCTCCTGTCTACATGTTGGGGTAATGATGGTGAACAAGTGTGCAAAGTTTCATAGCCATATGTCGATGGACTTTGAAAATATTTGAACTATTACAAAAACTTTTACGTAAGTGGTTACGCCGACGACAGGATGACTACAATAGCTCTACTTATTCTTATCGAATAGTCAAACTAAAAAGGGGCGTAATTCTGTCAAAATGCTTGATACAGTTATCTCCTCCTGTGTACAGGTTGGGTTTATGATGATGAACAAGTGTGCAAAGTTTAAAAGCCATATATCAATGGACTTTAAAAATATTTGAGGTATTACAAAAACTTTAACATAAATTCTAAGTAAAAAAAAGGGGTATAATTCTGTCAGAATGCTTGATACAGTTATCTCCTCCTGTCTACAGGTTACGGTCATGATGGTGAACGAGTGTGCAAAGTTTCAAAGCCATATGTCAATGGACTTTAAAAATATTTTAGGTATTACAAAAAAAACTTTAACATAAGTGGTTACGCCGATGCGGACGATACTCCGGTTACTACAATAGCTCTACTTATTCTTATCAAATAGTTGAGCCAAAAATAACATCATAAAAAAAGAGGACCCCACAGTGATGAAGGGTACTCAGTTTCTAGCAAATGATCCTATCCATGTAACTGGTGAAGACCAAGATTAGCCAGCACATCTTACAGGTAAAGGGGGTGTTGATTGATCATAACCCTACACCTTTTCCATAAAATCTTACATGTAACTGCAGTATTTTTTATATACATATGTAAATGTGTTTAGATATTCTAATATAAGATTGTGGTACAATTTCCTTATTTCAAAAAATAAATTATATGTGAAAAGTCTGGAAGGCCGTTATACAGGAAGGTTAGAGAAGTGACCAATCAATTTGATTTTCACCTGTGGCACATCCATGCTGTTTGACCATGGTCTGTCTGCACATTGTTCCCTATTCAGTCAGTACATATATAGAAATTGTCCCAAAAATGATGAACAGTTTTGTTCAAATTGAAGAAATGACAAGTTCATGTTGACAAGTTCATGTAAGACAATATAAACACTTTTCTCACTGTGATTTAATTTTGATCAAATTTTTAATAATAAAGTAAAATTAAATTCAAGAAGAAGCTATACCAAAATAAAACTGATCATATTGTAATTATTAAAATCATTTATAAATTTTCCTTTCATTTTTTCTCATGCTTGCATTAAATGATATTTTTCTTATTGACCAAATTATATTTTGCTTCAACATTAATGACAAAATTAACTTTTTTAGAATCTAGTAAATGTTCACAAATAAAAGATAAGATTTTGTTCTTTACTTTCACAAAACTTAACTTGCATCAAAAAATTTATTTCCAGTTAGTTTCACTTTTGTGTTGTATGTAATTTGTAACTCCTTTGAATTAGAGAATCAATATTCCAAAGAATGATAGCCTTTGCATAAATGCTAAACAGTCATGTTTTAGTTTTTGTCTGTACATGTTTCAGAAACTAACACAAACTTAGTAATAACTTTATAACTAGAGTTTTCTCTCCCAATCAAATTTCATGCCCTAATCTGTCTTTCAGCCAGGGATACTTGGAAAATTGTGAATTGTCACCCCACTTATATAGCTTTCCATCTGTTCTATAAGCCCAGTGCACTGCCTTCCTCCAGTTCCCTTTACAATAGTCATCTTTAGGTATTCCATAACCTTTAACAAACTGCATTTGTTTATGTCTCCGTCTTAATGTGCATTCAACAAATAACCTTCCTTCTCGACGCTCAAAATAACATCCCCGACATCTTTTCTTCAAAATATGACGCATCTTGTAATTACGGTGCTGTTGAACTTCAAGTGGTTTAATATCTAACAATGAACTCACTGGTACAGCTGCTTTTGAACTACTAAGAAGGGAGGTAAATCCTCTCGACAAAACATTGTAACATGGGACAGTTACTATTATCTTTGAAGGCAAAACTTGAAATGTCTTTAAAAGTCTGGTTAGGTGGTTCATCTTCCTGAAAAGAAAAAAATAAATATGTCTGTTTAATATAAAAAAAACTGCCTCAATAATACTCAATTGTAGAGCTTCCATCGATAGAGACAATATCATTTTAAAAAATTGCTCATTTTGACTAATTGCTCATTTTGACTAATTAATTAAATGTCAAAAAAATATGAAAATATGAAAATGCACCTGAAACATATACAGAAACAGTTATCTATGCTGTTGTTATATAGTGGAAATATTTCACAGTAGTGAATGACAAAAAAATACCATGTGTGGAAAAAAAATCATGCAATGGGCTTTTATAAACAGTACATGTTTTCAACACAGGTATAAAAGTGAATGACAGACAAGTAATTTTAGGTTATTATCAATAGTTCGGAGTATCATTGATATTTGTCATCCGATATTGATATATCCTTTATATGCTATGCACAGAATCAATGACAGCCTAATAAATTGTATAGATAATGTCATTCCTATCTCAAATTATGAACTTTTGTTTTGTTTCAGGTTTTCTAAAGAAGCCTAGTAACCAATCATGAAAATTAAATGATTTTATGTTCAAACATTGTAATTGGTGAAAATTGGAAGTTTTTTGTTTGTTTTTTTTGCTATCAGGCAATGACCACTTTCTTTGTACAACCCGAGTTAAACAATATTTGAAGCAAAATCAGTAACATTATCATAATTATGATGGTCAAGGTTATATTTGACTTATTCAATATGCTTCTTTTGTTTATCTAAGCATGAATCAAATAAATAAAAAAATAAAATAAAAAAAACCCCTCAAAAACAAAAGAAATGATAAATTTACAAGAAATGATTATTCATGGACTTGTGTCTTAATTATAATACATAGATATCAAATAGCAAACTATAACTAATTTTATTGTAAATTGCACAGATGCGATCATGATTTCTCCAGACTATGGTTAAGTTGGTTGATTCTAACTCAAGGAACAAATAACAACATAATGAAACAGTTTTTACTAAGTCAAGGGAAATAACTCTACAAATACTGGATAAATCCACAAGCGAAACCCCAGGTGCAAAACTAAATATGCTGAGCAACCTTCCCGTAAGGTTAAATGACTCTATGCCAAATCCTTTTTGAGTTACATGCGACACAAGTTGAAAATTGCAAATTTTTTTACTAAGTCAAGGGCAACAACTCTAAAAATACTAAATAAATCCAGACGATAATACCAAGGTGCACAACTACACATGCTGATCAATATTCCTGTAAAGTTTCATGACTCAAGTTAAAATCCTTTTTGAGTTACATGCGACACAAGTTGAAAATTGCAAAATTTTACTAAGTCAAGGGCAATAACTCTAAAAATACTAAAAATATCCAGATGAAAATACCCAGGTGCACAACTACACATGCTGATCAACATTCCTGTAAAGTTTCATGATTCTAGGTCAAATACTTTTTGAGTTACATGCGACACAAGTTGAAAATTGCAAAAATTTTTACTAAGTCAAGGGCAATAACTCTAAAAATACTAAAAATATCCAGATGAAAATACCCAGGTGCACAACTAAACATGCTGATCAACATTCCTGTAAAGTTTCATGACTCTAGGTCAAATACTTTTTGAGTTACATGCGACACAAGTTGAAAATTGCAAAATTTTACGAAGTCAAGGGCAATAACTCTAAAGTTACTAATAATATCCAGATGAAAATACCCAGGTGCACAACTACACATGCTGATCAACATTCCTGTAAAGTTTCATGACTCTAGGTCAAACACTTTTGGAGTTACATGCGAGTCAAAAGTGAACAGACGGACAGACAAGGGTAAATCTAAATGCCTGCCACTAAAGTGGGGGCACATATAAAACATATGTTTTAATAGTAACAAAATAACATGTAACTACAATGATTTCATAATTGAACAAAAAAACTATTACAAACAAGAGTGATCAGTGATCACATGTGTCGCCTCATGATGGCCAATTTCATGTTGGGACAAGTTTTGTGACAGACGGACAGACAGACGGACAGTGCACAACATAACTTGGTACTGATCATTCCTGTAAAGTTTGGATAAAATTGCACCAGCAATTTATGAGGTGTTATAAAAATAAGTCCGGACAAGCTTTTGTGTATCTGGCAACACACAGAAAAAAACACCTTTTTATCAAAGGGCCATAACTCGGCCAAAAATAATTCAACCGGAAAACCTGTGCAATATGCGCAAGGACTTGAGCTACAGATCAATCCTGTAAAGTTTCATTGAAATTGCATTAGTGGTACAAGAGAAGTAGTCCGGACAAACTTTAAAAATAAAAATTATTAAAGGGTCTCTCTTACAAAAATCATTGAACCGGAAAATGCTGACAATATGCACAACTACACTTGGTACTGATCATTCCTGCAAAGTTTGGATGAAATTGCACCAGTAGTTTATATGGATTAGTCGGGACAAGTTTTGTGACGGACAGACAGAAGGATGTTCCAACATTTTGGGTTTCGGGGCTATTTTCTTTGTTATTTTCCTTGTTTTCTTAAGGACTACTAGCCCCTAAACCCTTTGATCATGGAATGAACCTATTATTCTCTTTTGTTCTCTTTACTGTTAATTCTCTTTTGTTCTCTTTACTGATATATAGCCCCTAAACCCAAAATGTTTGCTCGGACGGATGGACGGATGGACAATTGCCACTTAAATGGACTAAGGGGCCATTTCTTTTGTTATTTTCTTTTGTTTAATAGAGGGCCATGGCCCCTTATTCTTTTGTTACGGAATGAACTCTATTGTTCACTTTTGTTCTGTTTACAGTTAGATGGCCCCCTATCCCTATTAGGTTGCTAGGGCGGACGGACCGTTCAATTACTATATGCCCGGGGTCATATAAATATCTTTGTTGGATCATTATCATGTAAATTATAGACATTGAATTAACATAACCGCATTGTTAGAAAACCCTCTTTTTGTCTGCTTTGTTTTTATGAAATCTGAGAAATATAAAACAGTGATTTAATTACTTTTAAACAAGCATTGTTTGAATTAAAATGTTATTGCATAAGTTTTCAGTTTTCTGGAGTGCGATTAATGATAATTATCATGATTACAAGTGTGACACATGTAATTTAGATTAATATTTGCAAGGTCAAGGTCACTAGAGATGATAAAATATCCTGATATTGTCTGAATATTGCCCAGAGCATAAAGTATCTCCTTTATGCATATCTAGTATATATCTATAATCGGTCCATACGGCTAGCCAATAGTTATAGCCGCTAGCCAGGACACACTGTAATGTATTGTCTAGCTGTATGGCACTTTTCAAAATAACATCAAAGTCAACAAGAGCTGTCGGTAGGACATCAACGCTCGACTATTCTTAGTGCTTGATAGTAAAAAAATGCTTGATAGAGTTACCTCCTCCTGTTTACAGGTTGGGGTCATGATGGTGAACAAGTGTGCAAAGTTTCAAAGCCATATGTCAATGGACTTTGAAAATATTTGAACTATTACAAAAACTTTAACGTAAATTCTAAGTCGAAAAAGGGGCATAATTCTTTCAAAATGCTTAATAGAGTTACCTCCTCCTGTTTACAGGTTGGGGTCATGATGGTGAACAAGTGTGCAAAGTTTCAAAGCCATATGTCAATGGACTTTGAAAATATTTGAACTATTACAAAAACTTTAACGTAAATTCTGAGTCGAAAAAATGGCATAATTCTGTCAAAATGCTTGATAGAGTTACCTCCTCCTGTTTCCAGGTTGGGGTCATGATGGTGAACAAGTGTGCAAAGTTTCAAAGCCATATGTCAATGGACTTTGAAAATATTTGAACTATTACAAAAACTTTAACGTAAATTCTAAGTCGAAAAAGGGGCATAATTCTGTCAAAATGCTTAATAGAGTTACCTCCTCCTGTTTACAGGTTGGGGTCATGATGGTAAACAAGTGTGTAAAGTTTCAAAGCCATATGTCAATGGACTTTGAAAATATTTGAACTATTACAAAAACTTTAACGTAAATTCTAAGTCGAAAAAGGGGCATAATTCTGTCAAAATGCTTATTAGAGTTACCTCCTCCTGTCTACAGGTTGGGGTCATGATGGTGAACAAGTGTGCAAAGTTTCAAAGCCATATGTCTATGGACTTTGAAAATATTTGAACTATTACAAAAACTTTAACATAAGTGGTTACGCCGACGCCGACGCTCGGGTGACTGCAATAGCTCTACTTATTCTTATCGAATAGTCGAGCTAAAAATGCATATGCTATTTTATGTCTTTATACAAGGATTTTAACCCAAGAAACAGCAATTGTCTTTGTATGTTTACTTTTTAGATATTAATCGCAATGTTGGCTACAGTAAAGATTAAAAGAATGTATCAGTATCAATTTTTGTTATGATTCAGATGGCAAGAAAAAAAGAGCGTTTAGATGCAGTTGAATAACACCAATTGAAATTGTTTACATAGTTATTATAATAACCTTTTTCTGTTTCAATAAGTTTAATTTTCAACACCTTTAGAAATGAAAAAAGCACCGAAATAAATGTTGTTTGGCTCTGATAACTGCGTAAATTTCTAACAGTTGAAGTTTGTTCATCATCTAGGAAAGTTTGCATGTTCCATGCAACGCATTCTAAAATTCTATTGTCATTCCCTGTATAGGCATTAAGTTAGGCTAATTGATAATGCTTATATATATGTTCAATATTTATTACAGATATACCTTTACCTCTATGATCAATATTTATCTATTTAACAATACAATTATACATATAAACACACAACACCAGGGTTCTAGTGACAATGAGTTTATTCTTTAAATCAACGAAAATTAGCTACTTTGGCCGTTAAGATTATTTATTCAATGTGCTTAATTAAAAAAAAAAAAAAAAATTAATAATTCATCTTTCATATAAATAAAACAACAAGTCATAAACATAAACAAGAGGGCCATGATGGCCCTGGATCGCTCACCTGACACAACCGCATCCAAGCAATGTCTTAAACAAGCATCATGGCCAAGTTTGATGACTACTGAGTCAAACATGTGACCTCTAGTGTGTTATAAAGATTTTTACATATTTGGGCAATGTGACCTAATTTTTGACCAGACACGACCCATATTCAAACTTGACCTAGAAATCATCAAAACAACCTTCCTGACCAATTTCCAGGAAATTTGGATCAAAACTGCAGCCACTAGAGTGTTAAAAAGATTTTTCTATTTTTAGCTCCTGTGACCTAGTTTTTGACCGGATATGACCAATCTTAGCACTTGACCCAGAAATCATCAAAACAACCTTCCTGACAAATTTCCAGAATATTTGAATCAAAACTGCAGCCACTAGAGTGTAAACAAGCTTTTTCTATTTTTAGCTCCTGTGACCTAGTTTTTGACCTAAGATGACCCATCTTCGAACTTGACCCAGAAATCATCAAAACAACCTTCCTGACCAATTTCCAGAATGTTTGGATGAAAACTGCAGCCACTAGAGTGTTAACAAGCCTTTTCTATTTTTAGCTCCTGTGACCTAGTTTTTGACAAGAGATGACCCATCTTCGAACTTGACATAGAAATCATCAAAACAACTTTCCTGACAAATTTCCAGAATATTTGGATGAAAACTGCAGCCACTAGAGTGTTAACAAGCTTTTTCTATTTTTAGCTCCTGTGACCTGGTTTTTGACCAAAGATGACCCATCTTCGAACTTGACCCAGAAATCATCAAAACAACCTTCCTGACAAATTTCCAGAATATTTTAATCAAAACTGCAGCCACTAAAGTGTAAACAAGCTTTTTCTATTTTTAGCTCCTGTGACCTAGTTTTTGACCTAAGATGACCCATCTTCGAACTTGACCCAGAAATCATCAAAACAACCTTCCTGACAAATTTCCAGAATATTTGACTCAATACTGCAGCCACTAGAGTGTTTACAAGCTTTTTCTATTTTTAACTCCTGTGACCTAGTTTTTGACCGGAGATAACCCATCTTGGAACTTGACCTAGAAATTATCAAAACAACCCTCCTGACAAATTTCCAGAATGTTTGGATGAAAACTGCAGCCACTAGAGTGTTAACAAGCTTTTTCTATTTTTAGCTCCTGTGACCTAGTTTTTGACCGGAGATGACCCATCTTCGAACTTGACCTAGATAATCATCAAAACAACTTTCCTGACAAATTTCCAGAATATTTGGATGAAAACAGCAGCCACTAGAGTGTTAACAAGCTTTTTCTATTTTTAGCTCCTGTGACCTGGTTTTTGACCAAGATGACCCATCTTCGAACTTGACCTAGAAATCATCAAAACAACTTTCCTGACAAATTTCCAGAATATTTGGATGAAAACTGCAGCCACTAGAGTGTTAACAAGCTTTTTCTATTTTTAGCTCCTGTGACCTAGTTTTTGACCAGAGATGACCCATCTTCAAACTATACCTAGATATCATCAAAACAACCTCCCTGACAAAATTTCCAGAATATTTGGATGAAAACTGCAGCCACTAGAGTGGTAACAAGCTTTTTCTATTTTTCGCTCCTGTGACCTAGTTTTTGACCGGAGATGACCCATCTTCAAACTTGACCTAGATATTATTAAAACAACCTTCCTGACAAATTTCCAGAATATTTGGATGAAAACTGCAGCTCTAGAGTGTTAACAAGCTTTTTTCTATTTTTAGCTCCTGTGACCTAGTTTTTGACCTGAGATAACCCATCTTCGAACTCGATCTGTATTTCATTGAGACAAACATTCTGACAAAGTTTGATGATGATCCAATCAAAACTGTGACTGCTAGACTGTTAACAACCCAATTGTTAGAGTGTTAACAAGCTTTTTCTATTTTTTAGCTCCTGTGACCTAGTTTTTGACCGGAGATGACACATCTTCGAACTTGACCTAGATATCATCAAAACAACCTTCCTGACAAATTTCCAGAATATTTGGATGAAAACTGCAGCCTCTAGAGTGTTAACAAGCTTTTTCAATTTTTAGCTCCTGTGACCTAGTTTTTGACCCGAGATAACCCATCTTCGAACTTGATCAGTATTTCATTGAGACAAACATTCTGACAAAGTTTGATGATGATCCAATCAAAACTGTGACTGCTAGACTGTTAACAACCCAATTGTTAGAGTGTTCACAAGCTTTTTCTATTTTTAGCTCCTGTGACCTAGTTTTTGACCGGAGATGACCCATCTTCGAACTTGGCCTAGATATCATCAAAAACAACCTTCCTGACAAATTTCCAGAATATTTGGATGAAAACTGCAGCCTCTAGAGTGTTAACAAGCTTTTTCTATTTTTAGCTCCTGTGACCTAGTTTTTGACCCGAGATAACCCATCTTTCGAACTCGATCTGTATTTCATTGAGACAAACATTCTGACAAAGTTTGATGATGATCCAATCAAAACTGTGACTGCTAGACTGTTAACAACCCAATTGTTGACGACGAACGACGACACGACGCACGGACGCCGGACATAGCCCCATCACTATACCTCACCATGACCACTTCGTGGTCAGGTGAGCTAAAAACAACAACTTTCTTACTTAAACTATTTTTTAATCATAAATATAACTTTGCATACACATATACAGTTAACTTTGTATCATGCGTCATACATGTAACTTTGACACTTTTATCAAAATGACAACACTTGCATTTCCATAGTTTTCTTTTATTTTTTTGACAAAATGGCAGAGCATCTTTATTTAAGTAAACATACGAGGACAAATGCCGGTTCTTGGTAAAAAATACTTGTTTAAAGATGCAAAATAATGTATGCATTTTCGACTTTCATATAATTTTGAAAAGTGCTGTGCGGCTAGACAAGACAGTGTGTCATGGCTAACCATACGTGACTTATATGCAGGGCTAGAACTTTTGGCTAGCCGTTTGGGCCCATATGGCTGTGAATAAGCCACTTTCTTTAAACAGCAGCGTGCTTAAACAAAATTTATTTAGAGGGCAAATGTCCAACCTTTCAAAACATACATAGGGTCAAATGTCCGCCAAATGACAGTTTTTAAAACGGAAAATGTAAAATAAAAAGTAACGAGTATTTTATACTATTTCCCTGTAAAAGTAAATAGACCTTGCTTTATCATTTTACCTTTTTCGTATAAATAGTGCGATCGACGAGCTCGCTTGAAGGGCCTGCTTGCAAAGCGAGCTTTACAGTAATGCGAGTACCTGCTAGGTAATGGTTTTGAAAACTTTCGTCCGAAGTACCGAATTGACACATCGCAACTTTTCGAATGACATGATAACGATAAAAGCTGATGTACTCTGATTGAAAATTGAACCATAACAGAAAGGAGGAAGCTGTGTATAAAATACAGAATGACAATTTTAAAACGGAAACTTTAAAATAAAAATGAAAGATTATTCTAAAATATTTTACGGTAAAAAAAAAATCGAACTCGCTTTGAGGCTTTGCCTTTTCCATATTATACTCCTAATTTTTTTATTCATTAACAAAGAAAACTTGATTGAATTGTACAAAACAGGAAAATTGCCAAGGTCAGACGTTCCAGTGATCGCGAAAACATGTGCTATTTTTGCCTGTAAACAAACAAATCGATAATTACACGAGGGGGAGGACAAAATTGACTTAAGATATATAAACCAATGGATAACAAATGGTTTACCTTTGAATTTGATCCAACTCACCACTTTAAACGAGACCCCTTTAAACCAAAAGTTTTTCGTTAAATCAAATCTTAATCACTAGGCGCTTGTTCATTTTCGATTGAACCTAAATGAGTTAAAATAGAAAAAAGAAGGCCCAACAGACAGAAAGAGCTTCCCCGGAAAAATGGACTTTTAAATAAACACATATGTTAAAGTCCATTTTTTAACTAAAACACAGTCGGCGCCATTTAATTCCAATTCATGTACATCTTATGTACATTAATTGCAGTAGGAAACCGATGACCTTGAAAAGAGTTCTTAGCTATAGGTTTGCGTTTTTTCTTCGTGAATTCTAGGTCCTACTGTTGCTACACGTTGTTTAGTCCAATATATTAGACATTACAGGCTTGTTATAGTTTATGTCGGTCAAGCCTGACGTTGCTTTGCCCAGAAGCAATAATATCTCAAAGCGACGTCATATATAGGACTACACGTTGTTATATTTTTTATCAGAAGCAAGCGTGAAATGTTGCCAGTGTCTTTAGAATGAGCCAGTGTTAGACTCTTATTAAGTTACTTCTCCATAAAAGAACGGTTGAATATCTGATGATCGAAAATATGAATAAATTCTCCTTTATTTGAATTGGAAACATAGGCATTTACCTTACTTAAATGTTAAATGTATTCAATTTGCAATTTTTTAGATTTATATCAACATTATAGTCCATGCAATTATATAATGTGTTTCTATTAAATAAATAATTGCTTTAAATGAAGAATAAGAATCTTGGTTTAATTAATTGCATATTATTGTATATAATCAGAATTGTCCATGGAAAGCTAGGTTCTATCAAACCAAGCCTGTATTTTTTCAGTTTCGGCGTTTTGGATGTTCTATATAGGGATTCCTTATTTTTCTATTCATTGCCAAATTATCGTTGTTTATGGCGTGTGGAGACCGTAAAAAATCGCCCCGTACGTTCAACATGATATCGAGATGTTATATATCTGACTATTGAAGATCGTTCACCACGACATCAATGTGTCTTTGTGGTACTTTAAGTTCTATCTTTTTCTAGTTGTGTGGTTTCAGTATACTTCAACCGAAATATTGTTTAATCACTCTTAGGATAAGTTGACTGCTTTTATACTTGGCTCAAAACCCCTGATCCCCTTTCAAAGTTCCATTTTATTTAGTTTAAACCGTTATTATATTTCATATTATTTATACAGACAATGAACGTTCAGTGACCAATCAAATAATGGTTGTTTGGTTGTTTGATATTATTTCCGTTTTTTTTTTTTGGCTAATTTTAAATTTTTCAAAAAATTATATTAATTTTAGTTAAAGTTTATATGTTTTTTTAAAGTTCATCACGTGGGACATGTTTTAATACATATATACAGTGTATATTTTCGTTAAAGTACAAAACGTCGGATTATGATCTGTTAAAGTGCACCCAGACAAAACAAGGAGGTGTAGATAACTTTTATCACATAAATTAATGTAAACATTGTGAGTTTTGAGGTCAATTTCTATCACAACTTGATATTGAAATGTAAAGTCTAACCTATTTCATGACATAAGTAAGTGAATTGAAAAATCTACTTATCTAGTAATTGACGTGATGATTATCATATCATAAGAAAAAACAACAGCCTTTTGATTTTATAGATCCGTTAAATCACTACCAAATACTGTTTTGGCATTGAAAACTTTTGGTATAACTCAATGCTTTGTATTTTATGTAAGCGGAATAAAAGCGGAAGACCACAATGTATTTTAGTTACGTCAATACAGTATCCTCATGGATCTGTGCAAATTTACCCGTATTGACGATTTTAAACTGTATGTCTTATACACATAGTTTATTTTCGGTCTAACTCTTTTTTTTATATTTAGGTAAAAACCCCAGTATTTGCCACTTGGGCATTTAACCCCTGTCTTTTATATTAAAAAGCTATAAAGACGACTTTGAAAATTAGGTCGTTAATAAAATAAAATTTTTATTAAAATTTAGGTAAATCTAGGGCATTTTGAAGGTACGTATAACCTTTTTATAACTGTACATGTAGAAAACGAGAAAACAAATGAGAAAACGAAACCAGGATTTATTTTTATGATTTGAAAATTGTATTTAAAAATAATTATTCTTGTTATCATTCCAACGAATTCACTTGGCTTGTCGTCTCAAGATGTGAACATCGGTTTCAATGTATTAACTCTACAATGACACAATACAAAAATTAAAAAATAATATTTAGGAAAAATTTGCAAAACGAAATTTTAAAAATGGTTTTTAAATTATGATGGGTTTTCAAAAAAGTTACAATTAAAGAGAACGTTTTAAGAAATGTCAATTTTATATAAAGTACGTTCGTAAGAGGTTCACAAATAAGAAGGCACAATAGGCCAGAGGTTCACACATACGTAAACACAATTATAGGTGACTCGACCATTTTAAACTGTCTGAATTTTTTTAATATGTGATGAAATATTTACATGTACTAGTTACTGACTTATAACTATTTAACGTTCTCGTATCTGCATCATGCATTGCATACAAAAAAATAGTCTCCTAAAATGAATAAATTTTAAGAATATCTTTTTTTCTACGATTGAACACGATAATATGATAAGTTAAATTTCAGTCAATACAGTAATATAAATAAAGTAATGAAATTGTTTTGCCACTTTAGTCTTATTCCAGAGAAATCTGCTTTTCTAGATATCAAATAAGTTAGCGACGTAGAGGATTTAAAAAGGATGTCATTAAAGGTATATAAGACAAAAACCAAACCAAAACAAATAATAATAATACATAAACGAAAAAAAATCAAATCGAGAAAGAAAGAAAGAAAAAGCCCCCGCCCCACCAACAATAAATAAATAAATAAATAATAATAAAAAAACACCAACAGCACACAACCAACAAAAAACAAACACAGATTCCAGTAACACCCACGAACAGACTCAATGAAACTGAGCCTGCAACATATTCAACTTTGCCGTTTGGACTTGCTTTGGAGATTCTCATTTTCTTTATTTTATTAAAAAAAGAAAGAAATTTAGTTGACTCTTCTATATTTAATAATTTTATCCTAGTAAGATATTGCAGACTCAGATTTGTCTTCATGTACATTTTTAAGCCGTTAAAGGAACTTAAATTTCTTTAACATTTTCAAGTGAATGTCCTTACAATAAATTGAAAGTCACACTAACCATCATCAACTGCAACATCTGACCTAAATATATAGGGCAAAGTTTATGTAAACATTTAGCACACGATAGCTGAGTCATAAACATCGTTACACATTTCCAAATTTGCGAAATACTATTATCAAAAGATAACCGAATCTCAATATAAATTTATACAGTGAACCGCATTTGAACGAAGAGGGTAGCGGTAACGTTTCAGTTGTAAAAGATGATGCGTACGATATTCCTTGTTGGTTTTGCGTTAATGTGTCGTTCTGGTCCTGGAAGTTCAGAGACAACAGCACCAAGCCAGACAACAAAGCTGCAGAGAGCTGCAGTGACCATTGCAGGGACTACGTTCGGACAGGCTAGCAATGCCATTTTAACTACCGTTCTAGATAATCATCTTGGAGATTTTACCACCACAAATATAGCCCACAGCACAGTGAATAATGCAAATATTACAAATGTTACAAATGTTATTGGTACTTTTCTTGGAAATCTAACCAATACAAATGTATCAAATGTTTTCGAGAATTTGTTAAATGATAAAAATATAACAAACGCACTCGGAAATGCTGTTGAGATTTTCAACAATCTATTTGGAGGTGGAAATATGAGCGGAATGGCAGAAATAACTAAAACAATAGAGGGATTGTTGGGTAATACTAGTGGTATGACAGATATTGCTAAAATGTTTGAAGGATTAATAGGAAATGGGACCGGCATGCCAGAGATTGCGAAAGTAATAGAGGGATTATTAGGAAATGGGAACGGAATGTCAGGGATTGCGAAAGTAATAAAGGGAATATTAGGAAATGGGAACGGAATGTCAGGGATCGCGAAAGCGATTGAGGGAATATTAGGAAATGGGAACGGAATTCCAGAGATCGCTAAAGCAATAGAGGGAATATTAGGAAACGGGAACGGACTTCCAGATATAGCTAATACAATAGATGGCATATTGGGAAATGAGAGCGGGATTAAAGGGTTACTTAAAGCACTTGCGGGACTGGTTGGAAATTCGAAGGGAGGAGATACTGCTAAAATTATTGAGGGGTTAATAGGAAGCGCGAACAATAGTGATAATGGAATATCATCATTGTTAGGCTCCTTGCAATTGTCAAATTCCGCAATAGGCGATTTGACAAAGTTATTACCTGTTGTTATAGAATACATTTCGTCTAGTTTTAATTCCCTTGAGCAAAAGAACGTGAGTGAGGCATGTATAAACGATTTGTACATGTGGAAAGATGGACTTCAAGCATACCAAGGCTGGGCATGGAAACGTAAGTTGAACTACCTCTATCAGATATAAAAAATGTTTCCAATTGTAACTTTAACTGTTTTAAACATTTCATATACTTCAACAACAACATTTGGTTTGGATTCATGGCTATAAATATAGATATGTGCATTTTTATCACGTTATGAATTCTAAATAATTATAATGAAGGCTTATCACAGTCAAACGTCAAAGAATAAACGTTTATGCGGTGACCCCCGAATATTTAGTATTCATTTCAAAAACATAGTTTAATTATTTACATTACATATCGTTTCTAATTTTTAATATAATTACTCAATGTCTTTTAACAAGAGAAAAAATAGGTGAGACTTATTTTTTACTTGTTTAAGGGCAAAAGATATTTCTAAAATAAATAAGTGGACTTATAACAACGTTTCAAACATTATGTTACTGTAGAATTCACCTTCATATAGCATTATATTACACTAGACCCATCAGATAAATTATAAACCATATAATGTGTTTCTATAAAATACATACAAGACTTTTTTCAAGAATACAAAAGAACAATACAATCTTAAGTTTCGAGGCAATATATCAATTACATTGTGCTAGGTAATGTAACTAAAAATTCATTTATCGTTCTGTGTCCTTTAATCATACTCTATGCTAAATAATATTGTTTTGTATTACTCTTTTATCTACTCCAGCCGTCAGAATACGTGAATATATATTTTCCCTTAATCACTGAGTGAGACTGTTCCAGCGTAATTATTTAGGTCGATACGATCCCCTATCTTATTTGAAAAGCAAATATTTCAGACTCATTAAACGGCTTATGCAACACAACTGTTGACTTATTCATAATAGATTGCTTGTCTTGGTTTAATTAACTTAGTATAATGAACTCTTGTGACTGTTTTCAAACAAAAGAAGAGACAGTTATTGGTATGAATTTTTACGGTAACACAAAATGGTGACGGCCATGGTGGGGTGTCAAAAACTTAATATCCATAAAATGATGAAATCATGCAAACAAAAAATCATAGCATGTACTATAATAAAATGAATATATAGATTGTAATAATACGTCAATCAATTGCTACCAATCAGCAAACTATTGCTGTAATAATTGCCATTTTGAAATGAAAATTTATTCGTTATTTCATTATTATTCATTATTTCGTATGTTTCATTTAAGAGATTAGCCTGTCCTGTTTTTATTTGGAGCCATCTTGGGCTCCTTGACGCTTGTTATTCTTGCTGGTCGTGAGGGGGTTGCGTTCGTTGAACGTCGCCTTTCCTGGTTGATCTTGCTTATCATATTTTAGTTTTGAAATTCATATGTTGATCACGCATTTTTGAATGAATTACTTACTACCTGCTAGATCAAACACGGTCACAGTTATTTCAGAGATTATCTTCCTTTACTTACAGTGCTTGATGCTGGCTTCAAGATTCCAAGTAATTTAGCCGGTTTTAATCTAAAGGCAATGGGTGATATGACTGAATGCGTCGGTATCCATGCTCAGTCCTTCAACAAGTATACAAATAAGATGCAGGATTTTGACGGAAAATATTGCCGGCTTATATTGCCATTAAAAGTCCCACAGGTAGTGCACATTTTAGATCAAGGTTTTAGAATATTTTTAGGAGATGAGTTCATGTTCTTTTTAAGAAGAAATACTTTGATTTGTCTATTTCTAAGCATTTTAAAAATTCAGAGCTTTGTTGTTGTTTTTTTTTCGTGCAACACTCTCGTTATCCTTTTTCAAAAATTTTGGGTGCGTTGATTTTTTTTAATTTCCAAACCTGTATCCATTATCCAGCTAAACATACATATTCTGCTAGTATATGAAATTTTGAACAAAATTATCGTACATGATGAAGGACAAAATAAAGATTTTCTTAGTTTTGTTACATTTTAAGCCAACAATGAGAGAAAAATATCGAAAAACAAGCAATCTGTGAGTCAAAAAACAACAAAAAACACACAAACAAAACCGGACGCGACTTTCACCAAAGATATTTTTTAAGACTATTATATTGTATAAAGAACATATACATTGTAGCCTTTTGTATATTTTATGTGGGGAGCTGTGGTTTAGTGGTTAAGGTGTCTGCCTCTCAACCAAATGATCATGGGTTCGAGTCAGACTCGGGTCAAGACCATGTTTCTTCTAATGACACCAGTACTGGTTCGTTCCAGGAAGCGCAGTTTTTAGTGATTTATATAAATTGTAAGAATTTGTTACGCAATCGGGCTTAAAAATGTTTTTAAATTTTATCGTTTTATATCTGAGAAAGTGTTAAACATATTTAATCTGCAAAATAGTTATTTGCTAATGACTCATTTAATGTTTCATCAATAACAAATACAAATTCATATTTACAAATCATTACTGTTTAAGTCTGTTTTTCAGTATGGCACTCAAATGGTGATTCTCGGTTCCTGTGCGTCAAGACATTGCTCCAACAACGATGTTAAGATTATCTTAGACGCAGGTTGGTATAATACTATTGCCATAGATATTTTGATACTTCTCTCATTCGTTCTAAAAGTTTGATTAAACATGCACCTTGTTTCTTTCGATAATTTGTGAGACAAGACGACTTCATATTGCTTGACCAAGAAACTGCCCTTTCTAGCAATACTAAAGTCGCATTACGATAACATTGGTTTATATTTGTTGTAAGACATCTATAACTTAATAATGATAACTATTACGTATTCTAAGTAATTCAGAGTTTATAAAGCAACCGATGAAATCTTTTTTTTGTTTGTCAGCGTAATTTGTCCGAGACAGTAATGTACAAACAAACAAAGCTGTTTGTTTGCCAAGTTACCTTTGCCCGAATGAGGGACTGTATCGTCCGACATTGGAGGGATTCTGTGTTGATTAAACACTGTCAAATAAAACAATATCATATAGCATGATATATTCTAAAACATCCGCATATTTCGCTACTGAACAAAGAAGGACCGAAAGTGTGTGTATCTTGCAATAAAATATAGCTCGATATAAGGTACGGCAGCATTTATTTGTTGATATCGTGTTAGAATCGAAATTATATATCCAAAACAGTGATTTTATCGCTTGATAAAATCACTGTTTGTTCTTCGAATGCGCATCATTATATCACGACGCGCATCCGAACTCCAAACAGTGATTTTATCACGCTTGGGATATATTTTATTTCTTAAATAATGAAAATATTGTTTTTGTGAAATGATTTTGCCGCACTTTATTTAGCGCTTTGTTCTTATCCTAATTATTTTTAAAGATGATGTCGGATATGTAATTCACTGAATTTAAGGCCTATTAAGCCTATACGTTAAATGAGCCGATTTAAATGGACTCCGCCAATTACATAATGCACTCAATTTGAATAGGCGGAACTAACTGTAAGTCGGTTATAGGTTATATACAGAGTTTAAATAAACTAAATTTTCTCGCTCGAAAATTGATTTCTTAAAATTCTGTATATATAACCTTAACCATTACGTTATTTACACGCCTTTTAACGCCTCCCCCCCCTTTTGTTGTCTCAAATGGTGAAAAAATGCCTTATTTAGGCCCCCAACACTTGTTTTTGTTTGAAAAAAGTTGTTAAAAAAAAAAAAAATCTTCGGCGCGGCTCCCCAACCAAAAGATACATCAGGGGGTTGCCAGAAGGGGGATGTGCCCAAGAAAATTTTGGACTTGTGAGAGGCTATAAATGAATGACCCCAGATTGATCATAAGGTAATGTGTAAGCAACGCTGAAAATCATTTGACTCTATCTCAATCCATTGAGAAGTTGCAGCACTTTGAAATCAATTTTGATGGAAAAAATCAACGCAAAATAGTGATTTTTGGCAATTTCTAGATGTCCCCTCGTTGCCATGGTAACAGAAAATTTAAGCCTGAGCATTTTGTTGCAAGGGCAATGGTCCAGTCAACATTTGTGCCAAGTTTGATTAGTGTTGAAGCAGTGTTTATAGTATTATAGCAATTTGAACTTGTAACGGGAGACTTTTCAATGAAAACAGCCATTTTTCACAAAATGCTCATGAAGTAAAGAACCTATACTTAACTTTTTTTCATTTTTGTATTTTCGTACAGCTTCCTAAAAGTTAATGATCAATATGCACTATCTTTTGCTTCTTTTGCATTTTGGAATATTGGTTAATAAAACACATTGTTTTACATTTGCTACTTCTATGACAAATTCAGCTCTAATTTTTTCCGGCAGAAAGCATACAATATGCTCTAAATCAATTGTTAAACGTTATTGAACACATTTTTACCATATCTAAAACGGTACAGATCATTTCTGAGTCATAACCAGCTTAAGCACCAATAATTCAAGGAACCAAGTTATGATACCAATCAATGAATAGAATATACATAGAAATTCAAATAAGATTCTTTTTCAAAATTATAATTTAGGAATCCCTTATGTGTATTAAATAAATATTACAAGAACCGGCACAATTTTGATATCCTGGATGACCATTACTTTTACTCACTATCCTTTATTAGTAAGTAATTGAGTAAAATGTTGTAAATATAGCACAAATAAAGTTCATTCTGCATTTGCTTGGTATGAAATTTTTCAACATGATAATAATAAAAATCTTGTCACCTGTTTAGAGCCAATCTGGCCATGCTCTATACTACTGACTGCTCAATATGCTTCAAATTAAAAACTGGACAATTTTTTTACACAAATTCAACGGGTGAAAGATAAAAGGGACCTAATGATTTTTTTTGTCATGGCGGGATTGCAAATAATTTTACAAGATTAATATTTATCTTTATAATAGTATTATGTGTTTATTTTACAGCTATACAGGCAATTGTACCTACAGTGCCCATCGAAACCACTGCTTCGTGCATTGAAGAGAAAACGTTAGACTCCAAGTCTATTGCGGTTATGTAAGAAATGTTATCTTACTTGTTAAATTGTTGCAAGCCGTCTTCAACGGATACTTTTCCAAAGTATTCAATTATTGTTAAAGATAATAGAAATGTTTATAACATATTTCTGAAAAATTAAATGTTTGATAAAGTTCTAAGTGATTTAAAATGAGCATTTATGTGACGAAAAATAATTTTGTTCTAGAACAATTTATGATCTGCCATATAGATACTTTATTTGACTTGTACAATTATACATCGTAATATAAATATAAATAATTTTACAGCACATATAAACATAAATCTCAAGATCAGATCGAAACATGTGCCTTTCAAATCAACATATAGGATGAATTATTAATATATTTAAGCTGTATTATCTACTTCATCTAAGGTATTTCTATAAGACATCGCATCTCTTATATTCATGGATGAATTTAAAAATATAAATATGTGAAATATCGGATAATGTATTTCACCCTTACCAACAACACCCATACATATTTCTTTTGTGATTTCATGTCAAGTATTGTACGTATTACTATCACCATGATTATTTATGATAATAACTATTACGAACATTTTGTCTGTGATATATAGGCTTCAAAACATGTAACCCATTTTAAAACTCCATTTTATTTAACTTCGCCCATTGTTTTCTGGTTTAGGGTACACGCATTCTTTTATTAAGTGAACCATACGCTGGCACTAACGTGTCACATTAAAGGTTTCGCGATAACCGCAATATTTCTTGTCAGTTTGAATAAATAATAAGCAAAGATATTTTATGCAGTTGTTATGAATTTCAACTTCTCATAGTTAATTTCTATTTCCACTTCAGATCCGTCCTTCGTAAATACTTATATTCTGTCAGGATAAGTTAAAATCCGCCATTTAGTATGAGACTGACAGTTATATTCTGTATGGTGTGACTATAAGGATCTATGCTCCTCGACATTACACAATTTTGTAAAGAGATGGATAGTTTCAAAGGAAACAATTCCACATATACATTGTAGTACACAATATATTATTAGCAAAATGTAAAGTACGACAATTACCAAAATATTTTTCAAAACAAACGCTGCAATTCATAGGTTCTTTGGAGTTTACAAGTACATGGTCCATTTTATCAAACATTGTTCCTCAATCATACTTAACAATAAAATTATAAGATTTTTTTTTATAAAGCTAAGCAATTATTTTATGATTTATAATCAATTGTAGATGCTTTCTTGCAATCCTTGGAAGCGTCGTAGCAGTTGCGACTATTTATGACATTGTGGCTATTCAACTTAACCCACGTGACGATGATCCGAATTCATACAGTCTTCAGAGCGATGATATAAAGATGACTAACATTCATGTTAACGGTGGGTACTCCGTGACTGAAGTTGAAAATGGTCCTCTACCATTTAAACAAGATCTTGGAAAGCAGAACGGTGCGGTACATGTCCCCGGCTTCAGCACAAGTAAACCCCGAGGAAATGAACAAAGTAAGAATGCCAAGAAATGAGTATGTAAATAACCTAAATGTAAACTTGATTATTGCTATTTTTAAAATCTTTTGTTTGATATAAAACTACTAGGGTTTTGACAAAATCATTCCAAATATCCTGCAACAGTTACAAAGGGTCAAGTTTTAGATTATCCGAGGAAAACAAATGATATCATGTAGAACCGAAAGTGTTCAGACTTTGACACTTGCATAAAACCAGGTCAGTCAACACATTCATGTATTCTGACAAGGCTGTATACAGTTGGCTCACTGACTTTTAAGTCGGCTCACTGACTTTTAATGTTTCATCAAGATATTCCAAATAATAATTATAATAATTACAATAATAGTGAACAGTTTCGAAAAAGAAAAAAGAAATTTAGTAAGCTCTAGCTTATGGTAAAAAGAAGTTTAATCATTGTTACATCAAAAGCATGTTATAACTTAGCCCTTGTCCGTCCGCCCCGCTGTCAGTTCGTAAACTGACAAAACAGTTAACTGTTGAGGTATCCGTGGTTTTCACTTTTGATTCAGGTATTAAAATTCATTTAATAAGCACGCAATATAACTGAATACAAATTTAATATTCCTGCCGTTTGATACTGTTATGAAAAAAGTAAAATATTTTAATTTTTAAGATATCGTACTGTCTAACCTGAAATAAGAAATCTAGATTTTAAAGAAAGGTTGGTGTGTAATTTGTTTTAAACACGTGTTCCCAACATTTGTATCTGTTTTACTTATGTATGACAAGAATTGTTTATAAGTTGTTTTGTTGTATATGCATTGATCACAGGTTAAATCACTTGTTAGTATTTTACATATTTCAGGTCGATTAGTGAAGGCGCTTTTGGCATTTTCCGCCTATACCAATGCACGGAAATTGCTTGGCACCAATCAAGCCGCAGGAAGTTTAAGCGCTATCAATGGCATTCGTTTCTTGAGTATGGCTTGGGTCATTTTGGGACACACCTATTATTTCGGCTTGAATTATACCTGTAAGAACCTTGTCAATGTAATTTAAAAATTGAAAGCAATATAATTTTATATGAACTTTTCTATCAAATATCTTTTTTACTCGACATTTAAACTAACAAACAGTAACTGAAGACTGATGGAACACATTGTTCTTCTTAGGTATATTGCTTCCAAATACCGTTATATAATTTTAGGTCTACGTATGGGTCAAATCTGACGTTGTAAAATGCACATTTGCTTTCTTCGATTTAAGATTTATACATAGAAGACGGATCAAAGTACAAGCTTATCGTATCAAGTTTGTTTTGAATAAGCATTTCAATAAGTATTTCAGCGTTGTTCTGTCCTATGATGAAATGTATTTATTTGATATATGAACAGGAATCATTTGGTATATGAACACGGATCATTTCATACATGAAAAGAGATAGATAAACAGGTAGAAGTTAATATATGAATGTATGACATGGAAAATTTGATAATTATATGAACATGGTACATTTGATATATGATTGGTGAAAATTTAATTTGATATAAGAGCAGCGAACATTTGATATAAGGAAGTGAAAATTTGATATATGAGCAAAAAAACTTTGATATATGAAAATATTTAATCTTAATTTTTTAGCAAACATGTTTGAGTTTGGAAAAACAAAGATTAACCAGTATTTATTTATGGGAATTATCAATGCTACACCGTCGGTAGACAGTTTCTTCGCCCTCAGGTATGTTGTAACGTGACTAACTAGTTATCATATTTGAGATTATGAATCGGATATTGAAAGAAAAACAACAACAACAAACATTTTTAAATGAGATTTCTATTTTCATTTCTTGGTTTCTTACCCAAGTAAAAAGCCAAAGGGCAAATGAGTTGGTTATTTCCTGAATTTCTGTTTGCCTCAAGAAGATTGAATCCTAGCTAAAACTCATTTCAAAAGCTGGAGCATTTACGCTTATACACAACACATCTTGTTTGTTTTGACCAATCTTGTTTCTTCTGTTATCAACAGTGGTTGTTTGGTAGCATATTTGACACTCCGTGAGATGAAAAAGGTCGGTGGAGCAAAAAAACTCAACTGGGGAATGTTCTACTTTCACAGATTTTGGAGGTAAAACAAACAATATTTGAGCCGCGCCATGAGAAAACCAACATAATGGGTTTGCGACCAGCATGGATCCATGCTGTTCGCTTACAAACAGTATAAAGGAAGCGCAGGCTGGTCTGGATCCATGCTGGTAGCAAACCCACTATGTTTGTTTTGTCGTAACGCGGCTCATTTCATTTTTTCTTCTTAAATCAAATTTTTTTAAAGAAATGAAGGAAAAAATAACAGCAGCAATATTAAAACATCTTATGCATTTTTGTTTAAAACTTGTTTGTTGTAGGACGTTTATATTTAAGAAGTAAATATTGCGATATTCCCGCCGGTCTTTGAAATAGCATAACTTCAAATCATCCATGGAAAATCAGTTTAAAATTGTATTGTTACAAATAATGCAGTATTTGTAATTTTTAGGCTGACACCTCCGTACATGCTGATCATATTGGTCGGAACGATATTGTATCGATACATCGGCAACGGTGCTCTTCAACCCGATGGCGATAATACATTTATGGGGAGCTGTCGAGATAATTGGTGGACAAATCTCTTGTATGTCAACAACTTTGTCAAAACAAAAGAAATGGTGAATACTTTAACAGTATTAGCAAAAGTTAAAAGTTCAAATTGTTTTATACCATGAAAAGAAATATCCCGCAACATCTTCACTGCGGATTCCTCATGTGAGAAAGCTCAAAAGCTAGCTTACGAACGTCGTTGGTTCTACTCATATGCCCGCTCTTGCATGAAGTAAGACATGGAGGGGCACCTGTCTTCTTCACCAGTCAAGCCGGAAAGTCACCACATAACTCATTCTGTTATGGTAAGTAAATCACCCCACCCACTTTGAAAGAAAAGAGAACTAAATCATATTGAGGTTCGTCTACACCGCTTGAAATCCATGGTGTGCTTGATTATTTTGTAAAGTCCCAAATTGCTTCCATCACTTCTAAACTTTATCCCATGGCGTCGTTGATTTAAATGTTATACAATGTATAGGTGATATAGGAATGATGAATGTCTCGTTAATTGATTCTGCCGGCTATTAGCGTTTTCTGACCTTAAAGTATAATATGTTTTAAAGAGAATTAACATTCAGTGACAAATTGCTAGATTTACATTGAAGTTTCTTTTGGAAAAGTAAGTGATTTGAAGGCTTACTATATAAAACAAATATGACCTGTGCATATCAATATTGATATCGAAGACATTAACATTTTGTTAAGTAATTAAAGCTTTAACACATCAATGACAAAGTGTTTATTAAAATAATAAGCCAGAAAGATTGACATTAAAGGAAGTACAATGGAACCAAATACAGTTTAAAATATGAAATTTGAAATTCTTGCATAGATCAATTGGAGCACTTAAAACAGAAAAAATATGCAAAAAATAATTAATATACACAAAATTTCATTGAAAATTAACATTATTTGTGCGATTTATTAATCTAGTTTTAGTTAAAAGCAGTTAACGATTTTGACTTTCGGCCATTTTACCTAATTCAAATGATTAGTATGGAAAAACGGAGTGAGCGAAATATATGAAAGTTATTGTTCATCAAGGTATACGAATCTCAATGTCCGTCATGTCAAGGGAGTCCTTAAATCATATAAGTTTAATTATATTTCCTGTCTAATGCACATTCTTTCCCCCCATTGTTTTCAGTGTATGGGATGGAGCTGGTACCTAGCCAATGATATGCAGATGTACATCCTAAGTCCGCTGATTTTGGTTCCAATTTTCTAGTACGTTTCTCGGTATAAATGACAAACTTCTATAAACATATATGGCAATATGAAAACAATTGCAAACTAATTTCTTATCTAATAAAATCTTTCAGTAAGATAAGAGGACATATTCAAGGGAATGTAGATATCAGGATAAAGTAACATGGTGAAATTTAGATTTGCGAGTTTAATCAAAATTGCATTTTTTTAAGTTTGTTCTAGTGAGAGTTATCTGAAAAAATAATGACAGTAATCTATGAAAACTATTTTGTAAGTTAAATTTTGTATGTTTTGCATACTTATCATGAACATTGTCTCTCGAATAACAAAAATGGTGTTTTTTTTCAATGTTACAGTACAATTTACCCGACAGTAAGAAAGTTAGATAAATGTAAGATAATTTACTTTAAATATATGTTATTCCAGTAACAAAATACTTGGAGGGATAGTGTCGGCAGTTTTCTTAGCCAGTACAATTATTGCATCAGGCGTTATTTCCCACATTCACGAATTTCCCGTGCAATCATTTTCACAGTATGCCCCGACAAAGTAAGTAGGTCAAAGACTTAGAGATATATAACTTGCAACATGAACATGCATGTATATTTAATGGTAAAAATCTACAAAATGCATGTCTGTTATAAGCATCTCAAAATTTGTACTATCACATTATCAACTGTGTAGCATGTATCATTTAAAAAAAAACAAAACAATACTTATGAATGATGATGTTTTTATATCTATATTTCTCATATAAGTTACAATTATATACACTTGTGTTAAAAGCTCTTAAATTTCACTTGGTTTTTAACTTATTTTTGTAAATAAACTAATTGAAAAAACAGCATATGCCCAACTTTCTTTTCCACTCGGTACGTGCACTTTGTTGAGAGGCACAGGGCATGAGCAGAATATTTGCAGAACTCTGGATTGCAAAAATAAACCGCGGACCAGCTGCCGATGTCCTGACTGAGCACATGCCTAATCCTGTATAATACATTAATTTTTGTCTTTGGTATCATTGGTAATGTTGCTATGTTGTTCTGGTGCTCAAGATGATGATAATGAAGACGACGAAACTGATAATGACAATGTTGGTAATGATGATATATATGACGGTGTTAGTAATGGAATTAGCATTACTAATAAACCTTCTTGTATATGTTTCCTTATTGTATTTTAAGACAAGATGAACACTATGGGGAGCTGATGTACATCCCGGTGTATACTAGAATAGGGCCATACATTGTCGGCCTTGTGACCGGATACATACTGTATAAATGCAACTGCAAGTGCAAATTACCAAAGGTATTGTGGCCAAGAATGTATCAATTTCTTTTAAATTGTGATTATGTTATCTTTCATAGCAGAACAGATCCCCCATCTTGTACACTATTTTATCTCACTTTTAGAATATATCATTAAGTTATTCTCTAAAATAGAAATCACAACATTTTGTTGGCCATATAGAGTAAAGGAAGTTTGGAGTGGTTTTACAGATGGTTCAGTTTTGATATAAATATTTTGCCAAAGCAATTATTCTTTAAGATACAAGCAATTGTAAATAAGAATATGAAACGATAATATTCTTCAACATATGTATATATAAGAACTGTTTTTATATTCCAGTGGATCAATCTATCTTGTTGGTTAATGTGTGTGCTGATGACTACAGCAATAATCTATGGTCCTTTTACATATGAAGACAACCACATCATGAGTACTAACGACTCAGCGGCGTATTATGCACTACACCGGACAGGTTGGGGTGTAGCTGTGTGTTGGATCATTTTTGCCTGTGCCACAGGAAATGGAGGTATATTGATATATGTTCACGTAATTGCTATATGTATTTTGTGAGTTATTTATATTAATTTTTGGCGGATTTTTAAAATAGACAGTCAAGAAATAACATTAAATACAAACGTATATATTCATTTAACAATAATACAATCATGAATGATACAAGTATTTGCCTTTCGCATTTATAATTGTTAAAAATATATTTTCCATGCTATACAACACCGTGAAATTATTCTTAATATCTTGAGCTCTTATGTTAAGTACACCTTTAACATATCAGGAACTATTATGTCTGAAGCGCCTGTCCATTTGATCTAAAACCACAAGAACGCCAAGTTTATAAAACTATGAGAACAGCATCAGTTTTCACAATATTAATACAGATGATAATTTCTTAAATGAAGGCGTCGCGATTCTTGTTGATTCCTATAATATTCCAATGACAAAATACAGAAAGTGTAAAAAAGGGATAAGAGAACAAACACACGTGCTAAAGGTTCTCAGATTAATACCATTACCTTTACAAAGGAATATATCTGCTGAACGACAAATACTATATTAAGAGTGTCAGTGAATTGCTTGAAAATATATTTAATGAACGATACAACCTTAGAATAAGCGGAAAATATCATCTCTCTATATTATAACATTTGCTTTAGGTTTTGTCAATGACGTGCTGTCCTGGAGTCCATACGTTCCTCTTGGGCGACTAACATATTGTGCTTATCTGCTCCACCCTCTTGTGATGTCAAAGTACTATGAAAACAGAATGCAACCTTTATACTTTACAGACTATGATACGGTTTGTGCTTCGTTTGTTATACCCATATAATTAAAAACAGGGAAATCGTTTAGGATTGAATCTTACTTAAGATGAAAGAAAGTATTCTTCACCAGTCTTCTATGACCCAGTAAAAAGCATTAAAACAGCAATGTAGGTACAAAGTCACTTTTGAGAATTTGAATTTACAAAAATGATCATTTCTTTATGTTGATAAACATGAGGAAATGCGCACAATTACTGGAGATGATAAAGAAATTCAATGAAATATAGAGCCACAAAGACATAACATTAAATCAGGAAGGATACTATAAACACAATTTTTTGACATAAATTCATTGCGAGATGCCTTCGTTTAGATTTTAATATTTAATATAGAAATAGTAGATGCAGACCTAAGTTAAATGCATGTTTTGATTTTAATTACACAAATTCACCAACAGGTGTTTGAATGTCCCGTGACATTGTCAACATTTACACCTACATTTTATCAAAATATCAAACCTATTTTTATCAAATTACGCCTGAAAGAGATAACCACATTTGTTATTATCAAACACTTATCTAAATTATTTATCACAGATTTTGACTTTGATACAAAGCAACGGCCATTTATCGCAAGACGTTATTAAACAAAAAAACTGTTCCAAAAATTGATACAATATTTAGATATAAATATTGACTCATAACAAAAATTAATATGATTAGGGTTTATATTCATAACTATACATATGTGACTATGTGAATATGTAAGCTTCAATTGCAAACTGTATACATTACAGCGATCTCTCCAAAAAAGTTCAAGGTAATTTCAAATATCAATGCCATATCAAGGCAGCAGTTATGTACTACGGAAGCATTAACAGGATTTCTTTAGAACTCTCTGAATGCTTAAAGCACATGTAACTGTAACTTAATTTAAAGTATAATGCAAAAGAACTGTGGTTTTATAGCGGCTATTTTAGGGAAACAGAGATAACACAGGACAACATTCTCGCCAGAGATATTTAATTAAGTTTTATTGCAAGCCAATGTTTATCAATTGTTAAGATGTGTGAGCTCTATACAAGAAAAATACTATTGAACCTACACGAATATAATAATTATTCTATTCATTATATATCCAAAAATAAGAACGATTTATTGTTAAAATGAGCCATTGACGCGTATACAGTGTAACGCTTTCATTAGCGCGCTTTATTGATATGTTTATATAATATTATACTGCAAAGCAAATGACGCCACGTCCAAGCGTTATTACAATAGTGAAATATCGTTTTTATTAGTTTGCTTTATTTTGAAGGTTTATTACTGTGTCGTGGTTTATGTGATGAAACTGGTATATATGTACTGTAAACAGAAGCCTCTACAATATCGAACTTCAAAATAATATTTTGATTACATTTCAGGTATACCTTTTCCTTGGCAACCTTGTTCTGTCGTACGGTGCTGCATTTGTGGTTTCGTTGTTCTTTGAGTCACCTATGATGGGACTAGAAAAGGCTGTTTTTAAGAAATAGAAACTTCATTGATGAAAACTTGCAGAGCTAAAATATGAACTGAGATTTTCTTGCAAATTATGTACAATGAATTCGGAATGACAAACGTGATGTTTTTGTGAAGTAAAATATATATCTGTAAACTGTTATATTTGCTATCCTAATTAAAATAAATTATATAAATAATTACAGTTTTCTTGTTACTCTTTTAATATGAGAGCGGTCAATACCATTCATTAGATGTTACCGCAAATTCCCTTTACAATGCTTTCAAGACAATAATCTGCAATAGTTCTGGCAGCTTAAAAAGTGTTGTAATATAAAAAATAGACAATTATATATCACCTCACAATGTGAGCTTCAAGTAATGAATTGATCATCCGGTCTGAATGGTCATTGCCTTTAATGCAATGACGGCCTACGTGGTGTTTTCTTATTTGTTTTAAATATCAGATTTTAAACGCTATTTAATGATACTAGAAGTAGTGTCTGATCATCAGACAATTTTCAAGTAGATGTTATTAGTTGCTTAAACAAATATTATTACTGAAATTATTTGAATAAATACACTTGTTGATAAAATCGAAATATTTTGACCGATCTGTCAACCAATAAGCAATTAATATTAAACAGTTTACTACAAAAACATGCTCAACAAATATAAAAAGAGAGTCAGTATATTTACATTTACAAAACTAATGTAATTCTTGAAATAGGGAACGTGCCTCTTTCATGAAAGTATTTTCTACGAATAAGTATATGTCTGTAAGGATTTTTGCATGAATGTGTTATTCTTGTGGGTTGTAACCTAGATTGTGAAATGTTGTATCCCCACGAGTGTGCGGCTTTGCACAATTAATAAGAGTGATTAAAACTGAGAACATGAATCAACAAGGCAAAGGCAACGTTTACAGGACGCAGCCCCGACACAATCCAGGCCCACAACAGCACACTCGTGTAATTTTCCTCTTTCTATTTACATTCTAAAAATGCGTATTGAGAAAAACTGATCAAAACCGATGGTTCAATATATGTTAAGGTGTATTGATATAAATCTATTCATACACGTGGTAAATACATTAGCCGTCGTTTATTTCGAATATAATAAAAGGGAGATAATAAAGATATTGCTACGAAGTACGTCACAATGGTTATTTTGGTTTGATAAGTGCATAGTCAAATCCTCCCTTCACAGAGATTTTTTTACATCAATGTTTTCTTTTTTCAACTACATCAACATTTTAAGTACAGATTAATTATAATATTTGTATATGCATATTTCAAAACAAAACGGCATAAAATAGGCTGGCTTAATGCTCAGTATTATATGCATATCATAAAACAATATCATCATCTATAAAAAGACAATACATTTTACATGTTGGAACACCAAAATTTTGTCGATATTGACTCTTTTTTAATTTTGGTCATTTTATATTGCATTGCTTACAGCTGGGCTTTCAAGCACATCTAACGCAATATAAATTAAATGACCAGAAATATGAATAAAAACACAGTATTTTAAGGCGTTTATAAATAAATGAATCTCCAAGCTCAATATATTAATATTGTGAATTGTTGATTTCAAATTTATTGAAAATACTTCTCACTTCCATCATTTCTAGTAAAAATAACAAATATACAGAATTAACGAGTCAGCCAAGAGTACAAGTGATACTTAGAAATAATTGTAAAATGCATCTTAACAATCAGCTGATTCCATCACCTCTGAAGTAACAATAGCTAAAGTGATAATAAGATTGTTATTGATCTTTCCGATATACTTAAAACAGACTCGTAAACAAATTCATGTCTTCGTCTCAATTGAGTTAATGAACATTGGCAATTCTACCTTGTCCATTAAATTCAGTCTTGTACTGTCGTTTGAAGATGTCACAGTGTGTTTATGATTTCTTACATTAGAAGAAGATGTTCTTGCAAACATGGACGACTTACTAAGAAAATCAATAAAGGTAAGTTATAGATTATTTCTCTTGATGTTATACTTTTTTATCATAATTGTTCAAAACTTGAAAGTTTTAGCAGAGCCATGCATGAGTGTTTGTATCAAACTATATTTTAAAAAATGTAATTGCAAATAAAAACACAAAAGTCGTTTTTCTAATTTCAAACGAAGTTTCATTTAAACAGACTAAAATCCTTAAAATTTATATCTTCATTGTTAAATCGTATGGTAGAGTATTGACGTTTTTAAAAAAAATTAAAAACAAAAAAAAAAAACACAACACACAAGCATTTTAAGTTATAATTACCTCTGCAGAACAAAGATTTTAATGTGTCTTATATATCAATTACCCTTGAATGTGGCAATATTAAAACAAAATATATCTTTCTCGTGATTATGTTTATAAAGTTCATATGTATCCAAGACAGAAAAAATACTCTTATTTTGATCGCACTAAACATTTGGCGTAATAATGTTATCTTATTTATTACTGCGATAAAACCATTTTCATAAAAGATAATATAAATGAATTCTATTGTGATGGAAATTAATAACATGAGACTTTTTTTAGCTATATGGAAAATCAAATGCACCTGTCAGCTGAGAAAGACATGGTGTTTTCTAATTTACCTGTCTGATCGGAAATTATGTAAATCATAGTTCATGCTTATCAATTATATGTAGAATAAGAAGTGTTTGTTACATATAGATACACTGCATAGATATTTTCATTTCAATGAGTATTATTGTTCACTTCCAATGTGTGATTGATAATTAAAGACAAAATGAAAATAATGTTATAGCTGAAATATCTTGAGAGCACCGGCCCGTTAACTCATTTGGAAGAGCGTTCGACCCGGGCGACACGGGCTTGATTTGGATTATAATCACGATCATTGAAATATTCTCAGCCTTCAATATAACCTTTTTACTCGGATCGTGTGCCTTGCCAAATAACTAATATTGTGCATAATAATAATTATTAGAATGCGTTTATACTAGGTCAAACAAATAATCATAAATACTTTTCTTGTTATATATAATACCTTTGTCAGATGAAAATTCCATGTCAGAGATATTCAGTCTTAATGTACAGAGGATGGTCAATATGTCCGGGTCATGTCATTGGAAGGTTTGATGGGAATGCGAGTTCATTAAGCTCAACATTTACCAGACGGCAAACAATGAAATGGTTCCAATAGCTATGAAGTAGTATTAAGAACATAATATAAGAAAAATGCTCTCATATACTGGTAAATAAGTCACATAACTTTTCATTAGGTATGAATTACATTGGTGCATGTAAACAGGATATGGAATACACTAGTCTTTTTTCTAGTCTTTTTGTTTATCTTTTCTTAGATGAGGGATTTATCATCGATATTGATCCTGGCCCAGTATAACACGATGATTTGTATGAAGTTGTTTCTTAATAAAGTATTGTCCAATGTCTTATCTATCAAACATAAATACATGTTGTACAGCCAGGTCAAATAATACGTAAAAAGTATCATACCACTGAACTTTATTAACGACTGAAATATATAATATGGTCGTTACATAGCATCGTATCGTTCTGCTTTCAATAGCTGTTTTCCAACATATGCCTTGTGATTTATCTGGAGATTTTATAAAAGCCATTTACGGTTTCTGTTTCCCACTAGAAAACATTTTTTACAATAAATTAATGATTTAATGGTCTGGCAACAACAATTATCCTATATAATGTGTATATGTGATGTCTTATTTTTGTGCAAAATGATATTAACCGTTATAAAATGTAAATGGTAATCGGATTCCTTTATTAATATCCTTTTATGTTACTTTTAAAACGAGTAGTAGATTCAGTTTAAATGTGTAGCTTATCAACTATATAATTGAATTCTATAAAAATGATTTGAATATATTATGTCACACTTCAAAAACAGAATTATTAGCGTATTGATATCTATGTTTCTTGCTACAATTTAGGTTATAATACACGCAAATTATGTGTTTGATTGCTATATCGCTACGAATTATTATTTTGATCATACTTTACAGCAAATTAGAAGTGACATAAACTAATTTTATTTTAAAAAGGGTTTGGCTCAGTGTATGGAAAAGGAAATGGTAAAATTGGACCAGTTGTTCCATTTCTTCTTTAACCCTTTCCCCCATTAGCATATTGTGAAAAATGCCCATTTTCACTGAAAAGCCTCCTCTTACAAGTTCAAACTGCTATGAAACTGTGAAAAATGCTTCAATACTAATCAAACTTGGCACAAATGTTGACTGGACCATTGCCTTTGTAACGACATGCTCAGTCTTAAATTTCCTGTTACCATGGCAACAAGGGGACATCTCAAAATTGCCAAAAATCACTTTTTTGCCTCGATTTTTTCCATCAAAATTTATTTCAAAGTGCTGCAACTTCTCAAGGGATTGAGATAGAGTCAAAGGCTTTTCAGCGTTGTTACATGTTACTCTATGATCAACTGGGTCATTAAAGATCTCTCACAAAGTCCGAATTTCTTGACGATAAAGGGGACTCTGCCCCTTCAAACCCCAAACGAATGGGCACATCGACTTCTGACAACCCCTGATGATTATTTGGATTGGGACGGTCGCGAAAAAAAATATGTCACTTTCTTTTAACAACATTTCTCAAAGAAACAACAGTGTTTGGGTCTAAATAGACATGTTTTCATGTTAGCCTTAAAAATAAGGGCAGAGCGGGCAAAAGACCGTCAAAACACTATATATAAGGAAAAGGTTAAATTAAAAACCATGATCACTTCACAAAGGGGTTGTGTAATCGTTAGCGGACTGTAACAATAATTATCAAATATTTGAAAAGTGTTGTTAGTGATTGAAAATCTGCAGTACTGAATATTATTTTATCGAACATCCAAATAAAAATTGTTCATTAATATATCATTAAGAACCGCATTTCATTTGCTAGCGTGACAATAGAAAGTCAACTTCTTATCGCCATGCGATTGCTCGTATACAATATACATACAACATATGTTTTGGATGTGAAGTAAAATTTTTTTCAGCGAAGTAGTTGTCTTTATTTGCGTGAAAGCCAACGTAGCATTTGTATTTTTGTGTTATGAATTTGAAATGGTCCTAAGTAAATACATTAACAATTGTATTCCTTAAGCAATCAGGAGTAACTAAAAGAACGAATTAAGATATAAAATCTCAGTAAATGTGAATGTAAATTGTTTACTCAAGT